GTCGCGGATGCAGAAAACATGATACATTAATGATGTTTATACGAATGCAAGAATTATTCGAATGGATTTTGTTTGTTTTACCAGGCCACGACCATATTTTATATCGTACACAATTTTTGTACTAAATTGTATTTTGTACAAACATTACCTACTACAAATTTAAATATGTACCGTAAAAGACAAATGTATGGAAAGTTTATTTTGCAAACATTTGTTTCACATTTTACAAGGTATCTGCACTACGATTATTTGAACAAATAATTAATATGGTGGATTTTGTCGTGTTATCCCAACGTTGAAATCTTTGTGACTGTATATATATTGAATATGGTATACATTATATGTATAAATTCAATTTTATAACTTATAGCTCTATATAAAATGTTTAGTTTTTATAAAGCTCATATTTCTTTGATACAATATGTTATATGCTTGTTTGTTGTTTTCATTTATGTGGGGCTATGGTTAAACAGGTTGCCTCGCCAACGTGCATGACGTATCGTCGCTTTACCAGTCATTAGAAAGAAACTAATAGTGATAACTAACGGCAAATGCCAAAACAGAGCTCAGACGACGCATCTACAGTGATATAAATGACGTATTGTCACTTTAATATCGGCTATCTTGTACCCTTAAATCGTTGGCAGTTTTCAATTTGGCTATCAGTCAGTCTAGTTGTTTTTATGAGAAAAGTTGGCAAGTGGTTCACCTGATGTTAAGTTATCACCACCGCCACTGGGCATGTATAACTCGCCGTGGCATTCCCCAAGATAAGCCTGCCCATTCGTGTAACAGCGAAACCTTCTTATGTACGATCAGACAAATATTTTAGTTAGTTCAAGTTCGTTTTAATCGTCACAAAAACAGATCAAGCAATTCCATCGGTAAATCGCGAAATTCGTTGAGTGGACGTATCTTGGGATCCTGCTCGGCAACACTACACCCACAGATAGTACACTCGCCAAAGGTACAGTCGCGTTCCACGTTGATTAATCAACATTTACAACGATTACAGTCAACGGCCATCGGGGTCACGGTAAGTATCAAATCTCGATGGCCAGTAGGTGACATTCCTCCCATTTAGATGACACAGGCATGAGAACGTGCGCGGCTCTACCCAACGCGTAGAGCCGTATCAATCTCGTGGTATCTACGAGTACGTTCGACGAAGCTTTAACAAACAAAAAAAAGTGAAGTAACAGCCTATATACGTCTCACTTCTGGGCAGAGACATGCTCTCTACAGAGGATTTTAGGGCATAGTCCACCACGCGACCCCACTGCGGACTAGAATACTATTATGTCGAAAATATACAGGTTTCTCCACGACTTCCTTCGCCGCTTCGCACTTTATGTCAACAGATGAATTTGCAATTAACAATTTCATTGATCCCCGGAACCCGAACTAAGGTCGCTCGAATATGCTAAATTAAAGAGCGCGCGGACTCCGAGCTATCAGGGTTGTAGTAAAAGTGAATTAAATTAGTTTATTGAGCGTACGTCAGTCGTTCTCTGACGCCCTGCGACTATAAAAGACCCGACGGGAGTGTAACCCGTATCCGCTGGATTAGGACGCACGTGTGTCTTGTTTTTGTTAAACGGGAACATAATCTGCGCGGTCTAGGGTACGCTTCCGCGCGCTTTGTGCTCGCAACACACTCGAGAGGGATATTGTCTATGCTTTGCGCGTGTTTGCGTTAAATTATCGAAACATTTGGCGGTCTTTTAGCGCGGAGACACTGTCTATGGTGACCACGGCTTTATAGACGACCGTATTAGAAGTATTTATGTTTCTGCGTTTCATCCGGTGAGTGAGATAACTGAGGCCTACGCTTGAAGGTTGGACAGGCCCGTCTGGGGAAGTACTAAGCCGTCACAGAAAACCGGCGTGAAATACTTTCGCACCCCGTGGCGAGTGGTGAGTAAGGTAACAGGAGTAGTTTTTAAAGGTTGACAAGGCTACCAGTGTTGAGGCTATCTTCATCTGGACAGCGGTACTTAACATCCGGTGTACCGCTAGCTCTTTAAGCACATTCTGTAGATCTTATGTAGAGTGTGATTAGGAATTTATTTAGGAACTAGGTTTAGTGCTTCCACTTCCCTCGGATAGATATCCCAAATATGGTTAATATCATGCGCGGATTTAGAGATCATGTTGGGAGGAGGTCATAGCATGCACGGATCCGAGGACCATAACCATGAGGGTCCATGACCACAATTAAAAAAAAAATTAATCCTAATTCAAATCTCACATGAAGGTGAAGAAAAATTATTCGTCACAAAAATTATTTTTCTTTTATTATCAATCATTATGAATAAATGAGTAAAAAAATTATTTAATGATATTGATGAAAATACTTGTTCATTTATCCCAAAAATTCCCTTTTTTTAAATTTTGTTAAATGTTTTGTCCTCCTTTGAACCGCGGTTTGATGAACATTATGAATACAATAGAATCTAAAAAATACTTACATCTCTCGTAAATTCAAAACAATACTTGACGAAAAAGTCCTTGATAGCAAAGCACGCCAAATAATATTAAAAAAAACAACAGTTCATTCGGCAGATCGGAGCGTCCGATAAAAAACGCTGAAGCGCTCTCGAGATTCAAATTTCGAATGACAGCTTTTTCTACGCGTCGAATTGCAACTGTGCTTTTGCCATTCGGCCAAGATGGCGGCAGATATGCAAATACGCGTACACGTCGGGCTCTATCGGTTTTGTTCCTTTGTCCGAACGCGGTATTAAGATATTGTGTGAGCGCGCATAACGATCACATTTTACGATATCGTTTGCTAACAAAATTATTCTCTGATGAATTATCGAATGGAGGCAACGGCTTTGTGTCGTCAATCCAAAGAAAATAACAGACAATTTTAATAAAGACGTATCACTAAATGCTTTGAAATATATTGAATTATTTTATTTTATATGAAAAGTTGCCAAGCGAAAAGACGGTTCACCTGATGTTAAGTGAATACCGCCGCCCATGGCCATCTGCTACACCCGAGGGTTCCAGATGCGTTAACAACCTTTTGAAAATTGGGCTCGAGCCACCTCACTCACCAGACGAAACGCGAAAATATTATACTTCCACTTTACGCCAGTCTTCTGTGAGATCGTGGTACTTACCCGGACGAGCCTGCTCATTCGTGCAACAGCCGAGGCTGCTGCGTGGCCCTACCACCGTGAACTGATCAACGATATGAACGGGAATGATTTAACTGTAAACATCATAATGTCTCTAGTAATACAGAGCTGCAAAATAATATATTGTTGCCTTGTAACGAGCGTTGTTTGCGCACTCAGTTTGTAGAATATAAAGCTTCATTGGGCACAGAGCTCGTGGGAAGCTTGGCTCCAGAGTATGATAGACCCTAACTCAGAAGAGTCACATATGTGTACATGTGTACACACATAAAAAAAAGTTAGCGATCAGTTTGAAAAATCGATATCTTTTTAGTATGATAGAATATGATTAAAATTGCTTTTTCTTTTGAATTCTTCTTTATACATATTATAAATAAAGTCGCCCCCGCTGTCTGAACTTTTAAACTATGAAACGGATTTTAATGCAGTTTCAGCAATAGATAGAGAGATTCAAGATGATGACTTGTTATTTGTTCTTGTTTCGCATTTGGGTGTTTGTCCGTGTGAAATTTATGATTGTAAAACGTTCTTACAACACAGGATATACACAGATATACACAACACAGGATATGTACAGATCTTTTTACAACATTTAAAGCCTGAGTAGTATCTGTGTTATAGATAGGCTGTAGACATATTTTTTACATTTTGCGTCCCAACTCAAAAAAAAAACTCATGGGAAAAAAAATCAAATACCTAAACATCGAATGTTTGAATTTGGAATTGTATTTTTTTTTTTAATTAAAACTGCTCCCGTGCTAAAATCGTCTGAATCCTGTGCTGCGAATCCCACGTGAAGTCACGGACACAAAATATATCCATACTCCGAACCGTTTCCTGTGTCAAACTGTAGCATTAAAAGTTTGTTTGTCGAAGACCGAATCAACCCTCGTGCTATCAAAAAGTAAACGAATTGATAATTAAACATTGTTTTCTTTGTTAGCAATACACATGTTCATATATGTGTTATCTACGCATCTTTTAAAGAATATCACGTATTATGGCTTTAATAATCGAAAATCTTGTCCCCCAGCGTTGATTGAGACCGTTACATGACAACATTGTCATCCGACAATGCTAGTCAATCGAACCGTCAAACAAATACGGGGCCCGTATTTACGGCTATGCGTTAGGGAGGTTCGCGCAAGACGTGTGGCAGTCGATATCGATATTTCATCGAATTTGTGTTGTAATTTCATACATTTCTTTAATTTTACCTATCTAGCATAGACCTATCTCTGCGCCTTCTGACAGGGGGACTAGGATTGTACGTATCATTATAATCATCCTCCTGCCTGCATCTTCCCACCAGATGGGAACCTAGGTTCCTCCAATAATCATCACAGTTTCCAAAAAAAATAGCTCATCGATAAATACACATCGACAATCGACTAACGCGGTGAGCACATCCCTAAACCGAATTCGCTATTGCACTATTGTTCGGTACCTGTCGCCTCTTTTTTTTCGGAAACGGACATCAGGAAGCGAAGGTGACTCTCAGTGAGCATTCGAACCTGTCCGCGTAAGGTGTTGTGATTTTTATTTATTTTTTTCCCACGCATATCGTCGCATGTACTTCGAACGACGAACTTATGTCAAAGTGACGTTTGTTTTTATTTTATTTTTTATAATCTATAATGAAATACCCGTGCAAGAGAGCCCTCTATGGACACTACGCTGAGTTCGAAATGGAATTTTGTGAGTATATATGTTATTATCTATGAGATACGTAAAAACCAAAAGTGTAAGGCACCTGCCAGCGTTGCCAACCAAGATGCCGCCATCTTGCTATATTTAACGATACAGAAACAAAAAAATTAACGAAAATTTAAACGAAAACATTTCGGAGGAATGGGGTGGGTCTTCTTATAAACTGAAGTTACTCCTAACATGTGTCCCCGCATCAAAATCGGCATCCCCTGACACATACACAAACACTTCCACTTACAGAAAAATGTTAGAAATATTTATTAATTTTTATTCACATATTATGTTAAGTACTCGAACAAAATATATAAGTTGTACCGTTATATGAAACTAGTTTTTGTGGAATTTATCCCATGACATTGATATACGAATCTTTGGGACACAAATGCGATGAAATCCGTAAAATAATTTCATCTAATAATAAGTAATTGCATCAATGCGAGATATAAAATTACGAGACTACAAATATTTGTGGAACGCGTGATATCTTTTTCGTGATTTTAAAACGTACATAAAATTATAACATCCATTAATTATGCTGATATTCATTCGACCATAATTATGCTGATTAGACAGAGATAGAGTCTAGCTGATTTATTGGAGATCGATTCATTAGTCTTCAATGACATATTTTAATTAGGGTAATATGAATAGAGAAGAAGCGAAACTTTTTATTTTTAAACGGTTACAAAAATATAGTCTTTCCCTTACACTTACACATACATATATTATATATAATTTATTTTTATAAACAACACAATTTTTTTTTATTCCCAACAATAATACATTATATATTAGAACTGGCGGCAGCAGTGAAAATCTCATGGGAAGCAATCCAAATTCGAATTTCGAAAATCGCCCGCGCGCATTCCAATCGAACGGCAGCTCTCAGACGATAGTTTATGGCCAGTTACAACTATAAATGGGCCGCCATATGTTTTGTTTATTGTCGCACGGTTTTAGCCGATAACTGGGGGGCGGGATCGACGTACATTCCCGTAAGCTGGCGGCGTCATTTGTAAGCATTAAGGTCGAATTGAATAATTCATAGTGACGCTGTTGTTTTTCCGCCGAGCGACTCGCTTTTTTTTTCACGAGGCACAGGCGCCGCATCAAGAGCTTTCATAGCGTCCCGCGTTATGCACAGCGCTCCGTTGGCGTCCTCAATGGAAATTTCTCGAATGCATAATTTCCGTTCGTTAACATTTTGCTTGGGATAGGTCGTCTAGCGCCACTCCAAAGAGTTCATAATTTAACAATTGCACATAATTAAACAATGCAAATACGAGAAACATGACCTAATTGGGTGCTGTCAAGTTTTATGATAGCATCAAAACACTATTACAGTATTACTATTTACACTATTACTATTTCAGTTTTATGCGGATTTACCATTTGCTGCGTTTCTCTGAAAACAAATGTGTACAGTTTTCATATTTTGATGACTCCGTGGCGCAGTTGCCAAGGTATTGGCTTCGGCGTCGGGGGTCGTGGGTTCGATTCCCACACGGGACAACTATTTGTCTGACCCACAGATAGTTGTTTCGCATCTGGGTGTTTGTCCGCGTGAAATTTATGTTTGTAAAAACGTCCTTTACAACACAGGATAATATTATCCTAAAGTAAGGGCAGTGTTTTGTAAATAAAAAAAAATAATTAATTAAAATATTCGATAATGATTTTCATATTCATATCTATACATACAGATAAATAAAATTGAAGTGTCTGTTTGTAATATTAAAATAACCTCTTTTTACTAAATGCATATGGATGTATCTTTTTACTAAATGCATTTGGTACATATACCAAAATAACATTTTTTTACAATTTTTGTCTGTCTGTCCGTCTGTTTGTTCCGGCTAATCTCTGAAACGGCTGGACCGATTTGGACGGGACTTTCACTGACACATAGCTGATGTAATAAGGAGTAACTTAGGCTACTTTTATTTAGATTTTTTTTTATTTTAAATTCTAAATATATATAATAATAATAAGCCTATAAATAAAAAAACGAAATGGGCTAATAGATAGAGTCATACATACATACAAAACCTGGCGCTGCGGTTTTACCGCCCCTGCAAATGATTTGGACAATCAGTCAGGAATAAAGTCTTAACTCATTCTTACTTACCTAACTATTTAATACATTCAAAGTGACAAAATTGTAAAAAAAATGTTTTCACCAACGATTCAAACCTGTGCCTTCCGAGTAATGCGCCCATGACCTCTAACCACTAAGATAAGTGATATCCTCACCACGCGGAAATCACCGTCTTATCTTTTTTTGATTCTGTTAAATTTTTACCAACGCTTGGCGCCATCTAGTGTGCTTCTTTACGATTATGTTTTAACAAACACCTTTAAGTTTCTTACAAAGCATATTGTAGTAGGGCCAGGCAACCGTCTTTGTTGTTGCAAGAACGGGCAGGCCCGTCCGGGGAAGTAACACGACCTCACAGAAGACTGTGTGAAGAAGAAGTGTAATGCTTCTGCGTTTCGTCCGATGAATGAGGTAACAGGAACTGACTTGCTGGCAGCGCATCTGCAACCCTATGGGTGTTGTAAATGTCTCTAGGTGGCTGTTATCACTTAAAATCTGATTAAATGCCAGCTCGCTTGCCACCTTCTCACATAAAAAAGTGCAGAGACTAGCACTAAGGAAAATTAAACCGCATTTCTTCTTGACTCACAGTCCTGTCATCTCGCTCTCTCTAGCCTGCAGGAAAGAGCAGCGGCCGCTCTCGCTCGACGCGACGGCCATCATGAAGGAGAAGAGTAAGAACGCCGCCCGCTCCAGGCGGGAGAAAGAGAACTCCGAGTTCCTGGAGCTGGCGAAGCTCCTCCCTCTGCCCTCCGCTATCACATCGCAGCTGGACAAGGCGTCTGTGATACGGCTCACCACCAGCTACCTGAAGATGAGACAGGTGTTCCCCGACGGTGAGTGATATCATCATCATCGTTTCAGCCTGTTATGGTTCACTGCTGGACATAGGTCTCCCCACAGACTGCCACGAAGCACGATTCTGAGCCACCTGCATCCATCGAGTTCATTGACCTTTCCCCAGATCGTCACTCTATCTGTAAGTCGTTTTATACTGCGATGTGCAATATCATCGATAGATCAAAGATTATCCTGCTATGTCATATACAGTTTAGTTTTTTTATACCCTCAACTGTGTTAGAGCCCAACAGGCCCTGAAAGAGAAGTTTTGCCACGAAAAACTTTGCGTTTCGTCAGCTGAGACTTTGGAAACCATTATGATATTTCTCATCTAAACTCATAAAAATTAATTTAAAGTATATATGACCTTATCTGTATACTTATATATTGCTACTGCTTGTAATCTCATTTATGTTTGAGTACCAAATCGTTCTTTATGAGCAAATATTCTCTAGCTTTATCTCCATCAATTCTCTGTTTTTCTACTCTTTCTGATGCGTAAACCCAAGGGACACCAGAGACAGGAAAGAAGTGGGAATTTCCCATAACCAAGTTAATATGCAGAGTCCATTCGGTGGTCAGGTCTCGGGGACGCGTGGGGGGCCGCGCCACCGCCCCCACAGCCCCGCGAGCTCTCCATCAGGGAGCTGGGCTCCCACCTGCTGCAGACCTTGGACGGGTTCATCTTCGTGGTGGCGCCAGACGGCAAGATCATGTATATAAGCGAGACCGCCTCCGTACACCTTGGACTTAGTCAGGTATCTATTGTGTAGATGTATCCTCTGATATGTACCTGATCTTTTTTTCAACAATCAGAAGCAATACGTCTTCATTCAGACAAGCTAAGATAGATTAAAAACTAATGGTAATTTGTTTTTAAAAACAAGCTTTTTATTTCATTTGAATGTTTATAACTTACCTAACTAAGGTCATTTAAAGTTCGCTTCCATTACACTTTAATCCCTATGTCCTACTTTAGTAATAGATTATCTAAAAAATGTCATACAATTTGATGACCCGCTTAGCGTAGTTACTTAGCGAGATACTTCACCGTGGTGGGCCTTGGGGTCAAAATTATGCCACAGATAGTTACAAATCCAGATCTGGAACTATCTAATCAAATAAGCTTAAACAGCCAGGTGTTTAAGCTTATTTGATTGGTGTTTATAAAACGTCTCTTAATAAAGGATTCTACATCTTCATGTTGGTGGAATCGGCTAGATTTTACGACCGGTCGCCATCTAGATCCAGAATAACTACAGTGGATCATACAAATAATTGTCCTGTGTGGGAATCGAACTCCCGACCTTCAGCGCGGAAGCGAATGATTTAAAAACTCGGCCACCGAGTCATCATGTATGTGTATGTGCTTCCGTAGGTAGAGTTGACCGGAAACTCCATTTACGAGTACATTCACCAAGCAGACCACGAGGAGATGAGTGCGGTGCTCAGTCTGCAGCATCCGCACTCGTATCTCGGACACCAGTACTCCAGTTTGGGGTGAGTAGAAGTACCTAATATCCTCAAAAGTTATTGCAACAGATAGAGATAAAAAAAAAACATTACAAAGATTAAAATCGTTGCAGAGGTCAACCAACAAAGGCAATGTTGAGTTTCTTGTCGGTATCTTCTCAACAGAAACTGCTTTCCGAACCGGTGGTACCTTACGAATCTATATTATACATAATTTTTGATGTAAAATTTGACGATTCATAAGAGCGCGCAAGCGTCTATTTGAAGAAATATATTTTTGATTTTCATTATTTGAATGAATGTAAGTGGTAGCCCCGATTAACTTTGATATAGAATGAACTCAGTATATCACGCAACCATGCCTCATTAAAATCATTGGGAGTAAAATTTGTAAATTTTTGTCTTTATAAACTACTCAATGTAGTTAGCTAGAGAAATACAAAATTACTATATAAATTCTAATTAATATGGCCAATATTTTATTGAAATAAATTAAGACGTCATGTTTTCGATTTAACAATTTGATTTTTATATTTGCTTAATAATATTTATTTGATAAAATTGACATGTGGCGTATTTGAGCAATAAATGTTTTCTTTCTTTCTTTCTTTCTTTCTTCTTTCAAAATTAAATTGTGTGATAAAATATCGATAAGCTGAAATTAGAAAGCTAGTTAATTTAATAATACCATTATTATTATTATAGTATGTATTAAAAATTTAAAAATCGATTAAGTTTTAATCACCATTATTACGTGTACATAATTCTAATTTCAATATTAGGAATTAAGATTTCTCCATCCCCTTACCGTAAAAACGTTTTATACAGCGTGTCATTACCACCGCGACAATAAATGAACACACGACTAACGCTACTTGCCAATAATCATTAAAAATATTAACGTTAAACAAAATCCATAATTAAAAAAAATATTTTTCAAACAAACTAATTAAGTAAAAAAGAAACAAAATTTGTAACATCCTATACAACTCGCGCCACTGCGTCGCATTACAAGCCTCTCCTTCTAACAGTATGTTTTGTCTCTTTTAAATTCATTCAACCCATTCATATGCTTTGCGACCTTTACAAATGAACTTTACGTTATGCTTTTATAGGTAAGGGTGTTCTAAAATTGTTTGTTTTATAAAATTTTATAACTCTGTAAATATTGATGCTTAAAGAATTTAAATGTTTAATACAACTTTAAAAAGTTATCCCCTATATGTGTGTTCATTTATTGTCGCGATGGTAACGACACGCTGTATAACGGACACGAAGAACGTTACAAGAAGGAAAGTCTCTTTGTTTCTCCCAACTTCTTGATCATCGTTTGATGTACGTGACTCAAAGTGGGGGGTCCGTCAGATATCCAGTGGGGGGCACGTGGGGGCCGACGGTGGACGTGGAGTGCGAGAGAGCCTTCTTCATACGGATGAAGTGCGTGTTGGCGAAGAGGAACGCGGGTCTCACCACTTCGGGGTACAAGGTAAGCGTGTACAGGTTGGGGGGGGGGGGGGGGGGGTCAAGACAAAGTTTAAATTTACTGGATATAAATAATGGAATGGATTAAAAATAAATGTAATGGATGAATTAACATAAACGGTTAAGGATTTGATTATGTTACTATCACGAGGTTGGTTGTAAGAATTGAAGTCAATAGACGGGTAAATGTACCGTGGAACGCTAACGGTACCTTGAAAATCAGTAACTTGTAAACCGACAATAAGTGCACACAATCCCAAATCTGTTTTTTTTTTACGTTCAATTAAAGCTTAAATTAAGCTACTTATATTAAATAGATATTTTGACTTTGACTTCACTTTGAATCACCACAGTTGGAACAGATTAGGAAATGTGGTCCGGTAGACCGATTTCATAACATTAACATTCTGAGACAACGTCTGCGCCAGTCGCCCTCATACACTGTTGAGAAGTTCAAACGCAACTGCGAAAGATATTGAAGGAAAACATCCGTACATCCTAAATCCGTACTTTTACGTTTTTTTTTATGTGAAAAGTTGCTAAGCTAGCAGGCGGTTCACCTGATGTTAAGTGAATACCGCCGCCCATGGACTTTTGCTACACCCGAGGATTGCAGATGCGTTGACAACCTTTTGAAAATTGGGCTCCGGGTATCCACTTAACGGACGAAACGCGAAATTATTATACTTCCAATTTACGCCGGTCTTCTGTGAGGTCGTAGTACTTACCCGGACGAGCCTGCCCATTCCCGCAACAGCCGTGGCTGCTGCGTGGCCCTGTGGCTGCCCTGATGCCAGTAATTATGTTCAAACCCTAGAACGCCAGCACACGATAGCTTCCACGCTACCTAAAAAGACACCTCACCGGGCAGCCGCGTACGTGTCATCGGGTAGCCTACCGTTTCTGAAGCAGTCGAGTTACAAAATCAATATGATTGGAAAGTGGACAGCTGTGTCGCAAGGCCTATGCCACGCTGGGATTCGAACCCTGAACAACCCACTCCAGGTGATCCACTGCTCCGGCTACCTGCGCGCGCGGCGCTTCGGCGAGGCGACGGCGCCGCTGGGGCTGGTCGCCGTCGGCCACTCGCTGCCGCCGTCCGCCGTCACCGAGCTCAAGCTGCACTCCAACATGTTCATGTTCCGCGCCTCGCTCGACATGCGCCTCATATTCCTCGACGCGAGGTGAGTCATTGACTAGTCAACGACCAAACTGTGATTGACCAAACTGTGATTGAACGACAATATGACTGAGTGGCTACACCCCCGACGGGCTGCCTAATGTGTTTTTTTCGACGGACGGACAACATTTCCTAAGCCACCTCTTATTATCGGCAACAAAATTTCAACTGATGTTCATGGACAGTAATCACATAATATTCCGCCATAATATTCCGCAATAACATTCCGTCTGCTCGTCTTAACACATATAAAAGCTATGAGATTTTGTAATGTAGTTTATACGTTATATTACGCAATTATGACTTAACGACTGACCTATGACCAGACGACTCAACTGTGCGTGATTTTCTATTTTATATTTTACGGTTTACATTTATTTTACAAAACACTTCCGTGGTTGCCACGTGTAAATTATAATAGTAAAATAACCAAGTCTGTCCCGTGACCACGGACGCTGTTGACCAGTGTCAATCGTCAGGATTTAAAACCAAAATTACACAGGATAAATTTTTATACTATCTTTACTATAAATATGTTCGAAGTGAATTTTGTAGCGAACAACTCACGGCTGGTATTTGGCACCAACATACAGCGTGTCGCTACGATTTGTAAGTGTGAGAGATTTGTAATGCGACGCTGCGACAACAAATGAAAAAGTGTCTGAATGTATGAATCAGTCAGTTTGTAAATTTTGTTTCTTTTTTACTTAATTTGTTTGAAAAATATTTTTTTTAATTATGGATTTTCTTAACGTATATATTTTTTATGATTCTTGGCAAGTAGCGTTAGACGTGTGTTCATTTATTGTCGCGATGGTAACGACACGCTGTATATCGATTCTTGGACAATTTTTAGAACCAGAGTTAGGTCAACGAGTGCTTTTTAGTTACATAAACTGAATTCAATCAACTTCACCCTGACATTACTTTTCAAACGATGTATTACTTTACTCGAAGTCCAAAATTCTAAATTACCAATAAATAAATACCCGCTGCGTAAAGGGTATTAGAACGACCCCACCGTGGATAGGCGTGTGATTCACATATCTTCGAAATTTTTTTTTATTACTAAGTAGAAAAAGTTTACCGCCTATATATGTTGCCACTGCTAAGCAAAGGCCAGTACAGACAGTATTAAGGCATAGTCCACCACGCGACTCCACTGTGGATTGGCAATCTTCGAAATATTTTTCTTTGTTATTATTTCGAAAATATGAAGATTTCCCCACGATATTTTGCTTCAGCGCTGAGCACGTGATAAGTCAGCACTAAAAAGTAAAAATTTAATTAGTTCCGGCACCGGGGATCGAACTCAGGTTGCACGAGCATGTTGAAAGAAAAGCGAGTATCCGGAAAATGAGCTATCACAGCTATATTTATCACCATATCGAATAATATCTCATTTCCTCATGATGAAATGAAATATTCCCGAAGAAATTCGAACTCCAGATCCGCGCATGGCGCGCTCTAATCGTAATCCCCCGCGAAACTGTAATGAATTTCCGAGAGTTATTAAAAACCCCTCGCGGCCGATAGCGGAACGCACCGCTGCGAAACGATTTTACACGGACCAGGGCCCGCCTTGGCGATACAGCGATACGAGACTCGATGATAAAAATCGATACTTTTAACGCATTCGTACTTAAGTTAGAAAATTAACGGATAAAGTTTAAAAATTAACGGTTTATTAATTATCGCGCCATGGTATCATGCTATAACATGATATATTTCACGCAATCTTTTTAAGTTGTTTCTTACAATTTTATTGTAATGGTACATATAGTATCACTCTCTGTATGTGTATCAAATGAGGAAAAATTTGAGACAAAAGGGACTTCGTTGTGGTATATATGTCAACTCATTATTTTTCTTTCATGTAACGTAAAATACAAAGATAGGATGAACGGGGGTTAAATCAAAAGAATTTCACATTATAAAATATAATGAAGTAACCACAATGAAAATAGCTGTTTTAAAAATGTAAGCAATAGCATTCTAAACTTTTGAAAAAGAAAATAATATCGTCACCTAGAAAAATCCTTAATAATATTGATTTCTTCTTAAAATTGCTCAATCTGCAAAAAGGCATATAGGCAATAGAATTACTTGTTACAATATTCATTGCAACAAATGACAAAACTCGACGTATCGAAAACATTAAATGTCACGTACAGAAGCATGTGTCAGACGAATGATATCGAATGAACAAAATAAACCTTCATAATACGCATTGATTGTAAGAAATGTACAATATTTAACAATCATTTAATATGAAACATGACGTAATGGTCCTAAAAGAACTGTAAAATAAATTATAATAAGTTATATGTTAATAAGCTATAGAATATGGGTTAATAAATATGCTTGAAATTCATAATATATTAAATCATTAAAATAAATAAACTTTTGCAATTAAAAAATGAAATTACGGATTAAAAAAATTTTAATGATTCGAAGTATCGCCATCTTAGATTTGAACAGAGAAATTGTATTAGCAACGAAAATTCTAGCTCTTAATTTTACGATAAAAGATAAAAGACATTTATGTTAAGCCTAAGGCAAAGCAGAAAAGCAACTTGTTAATCAAAAGTGAAGGTTAAATTGGCTTGCAGGTCAAACAAAAACATCTGTTAATTTGCTGCACGTGAATCGTATTTAGACAAAATTAAATCGATATCGCTTTAAGAAATATGAAAATCGATTCAAGTCCCACTACCATCACTATTGATATCGACCGACAATAAAATGCGGCATTCCATGGAACTCGCCCGTGTCGTACGAACAATACTGGTCTCGGGCCATACGCCGCTGTCCACTGTCAACGACACACCACAATCCCGACACAAGGGATATCCTCGCAATTTACCATTTTTTGGAAGTAATACTTTTTTGGCGCGTTTGGGAAAAATGATGAGTTACCAACTTCATGGTGTTACGATGGCAACCAATACTAAGTTGCACGCTTGGGTAGAATCTTGTGGAAAAGTTCCGACCTCACAAAAGACCGGCGTGAAGTGAAAACATTGCACTTTTGCCCTAGATCTGCATTACCAATAGGTAATGTAAAAGTCCCTAAGCGGCTGATATTACTTAACATCGGTAAAATGCCAAACAGTATAAAGTAGACCGTTCATAATATGGACTTAAAGTATTTTCTATAAACAATAAGAGGCATATCAATCAAAACCCTACATAAGAACGACGATCAATGCCTGGAATGGTTGAATACACTCATTTACATCTTTTTTTTTTTTTATGCGAAAAGTTGTCAACTCTTCTTCTGTCTACTTACCCGGACGGGCCTGCCCATTCGTGCAACAGCCGAGGCTGCTGCGTGGCCCTACCACCGTAAATCTACATTTACATTTTTGTCAAAAAAACGAAACCAAATTCAATTATCTCACTCCCTATATATTTTCTATTTGATTTTGAAGAGTTCTCTGATATATCTGTAGAGTCCAAGGTTCAATACCAATGAAATTCATACGTGACATGGGAACTAAACTGAAGCAAATGAAAAATGAATACATAAATGATGAGGTTATAAGGTAAGAAATAAAAGAAAACTACAACCGAATCGAGAATCTCTCACTTTTTCGAAGTCGGTTGAAAACAGGCGTCAGTTTGGCCGACACGGGCCGTGTCGACGACAGTGGAGACGAGCGCGCCGCGTTTATGGTTTCATGGCAATCAGAGGCGCGTTAAGGCAGCGGGGCCCGGCGATTCAGTTTCGCGGAAACCGGGCACCATGACGCCCGAGAGGCCACACGACGGCATACGTGAAGCGGGTGGGCAGACAGACTGCAAACAAGTTTTGTTACAGGTCGAAACAAATCTAAGACTGGAGCGCTATGACATAGGCAGACTGTAAACACTGCAAACAAGTTTTGTTATAGGTCGAAACAAATCAAAGTTGAATACTTAAAAGCATTTTTACTGTCTGTTACCTATGTGACCCACTGCTGGGCAACGGCTTCCTCTGTACAAAGGGTAGAGCGTAGCACCACGCGAGCACACTGCAGATTGGCGGACTTAACATAGCTTCGGAATACTTTCTTTAATCTTATCTTTCTTTAATTCCTTACTTTCTTTAATTCCTAATTACAATTGCAATTGGCAATTTCATTGGCGCCGGGTCGGTACCATCATCGAGATTTAAAATCACATTGTTCGGGTATACTAAATTAAAAACTGGCGCCCGCTTACTGCTCTTACATCAAAATCTGATTGGAATTAATTTCGTTTCTTCGTCAAGTAAAGTAGCACATTCAATTAGTAGTCTACATGTGCTGACTTTTCATTTTTGTTATTTAGCTAAATGACGGTTTTGATTGTGACGGTATTGATAGCATTATCTATGAAAAGGGCAAAAAAAATCATGTTTGTTGTAGGGAGCGCCCACCTAAATATTTTTTTCTGTTTTTTTTTTTTTTTTAATATTGCTGTTATAGCGGCAACAGAAATACATCATAATATGTGAAAATTTTAACTGTCTAACTATCAAGGTTCATGAGATACAGCCTGGTACAAACGCACAGACAGACTGACAGCGGAGTCTTAGTAATAGGGTCCCGTTTTACCCTTTGGATACGGAACCCTAAAAAGAAAAGACTTTTATTTCAGTCCACCCGTTTAGCGTCAAAACTTGATTTATACGTGATAAACAAAATAGCTAGAGAGTCGAGTAGGGTAGCTGACGCGTTGCCAACCTATAAAACAGTGTGCCGGTCACTTCACTCGCCGCTCTTAATTAAGGTCGATCTTTGTAAGATCCCCGAGCTTGCCAGTTTGCTTTTTATGTGAAAAAGCAAACTGGTTTGTAAGTTTGTAAAGTTTGGCCCCGGTTACCAGACTCGCCAGACGAAGCAAGATAGTGCAATACTTCCCCGAAAGAGCCTGCAATCATATATAAGTGAACGTGACAGATGATATAGAACGTATGAAACGGAAAGAGATAGCAATCTAATTCGATTAGTGTAATTTCAGTGTCAGAACGGGCGTAACACATTCCGAAACTGATCATCGTAGAAATTAACTATTCTGCTGTCAAATGGCTTCTCAAATGCCATTTGAGTTGCCAAAAAGTTTGTAAACTCTTTCAATTGATCAGAAACGATCGTCAATCATCAGTTCTTCCATTTGACAGCTGATTAGTTAATTTGTACGTTGATCAGTGTTTCAGAAACCGGGCGTCAGTTTCGATTTGCTAGTGTCATACCTACCTCTTCTTCTTCTAAGGCCGTCGGCGGTCCTATCTACCTCTTATTTGTATGTACTCGTAATATCGTGGTTAAAACGCCGTCATTTCTGAACGAGTGACAGATATGCGCGGGGGGTCGTACTGTTGTAATCTATATCACTTACTGAGAAGTTTCGAATGAATATTACGTTACAAAACATCGGAACGCTGCTTAGGCGATTTTAACACCTGGCTTTTACGTCGGTGCGGGCGCAAATATCACGAGTCTATGACACCGGTTAGAACACTGCGGTCTCGAATTGGTGGACGACATTGCGAATCTAAAAAAACTGGCCAAGTGCGTGTCGGGACCGCGTACGAAGGGTTCCGTGCCAAAATCATGTCTGTTGTATGGGAGCCCGATTTAAATATTTTTACTAGCTTTCCGCCCGCGGCTTCGCTCGCGTTGAAGCCCTTGAATATCTTTCTTTAAAAAAATCCAATTGAAAAATAGCCTATGTCCTTTCTCAGGCTCTAGACTATCTGTGTACCAAATTTAACACAGACAGAGTTACGTTAGCATTTATAATATTAGTATAGATTCTGTTTCTTAATTTGTTGTTATAGAGGCAACAGAAATACATCACCAATTAAAGCTGTATAAATATAAGGTTCATGAGATACAGTCTGGTGACTGACGGACAGACAGACAGACAGCGAAGTCTTATTAATAGGGTCCCGTTTTACCCTTTAGGTATGGAACTCTAGCAACGACGAACGGCTAATTCCGTGCTCTGCCGCTGCAAGAATAGACCAACTACCGATGAAGACCGGCAAAGTATCTTTACTAATATTATAAAGGCGAAAGTTTGTATGTATGGATGGATGTTTTTTACTCTTTCACGCATATACTACTGAATGCATTTGAATGAAACTTTACAATAATATAGCTTATACATCAGAATAACATATAGGCTATAATTTATATACATATTCTTATGTAAATCTGTCTTTCTGTCTGAATGTTACGCCTTCAGCCTAGTCTACGCACACATAGTCGCGGGCAGCAGCTAGTACTTTATACTTTGCTTTACTTTGACTGATGTTTTTGTTTTCGGTCCGTATACTAAACTATAACAGCTACATCCAACGTAGAACTCGTAGGGGCGGTGCCAAATATCAATCCTCCTTGGGAAGCATATTCAAATATTCTAGCAATTAAAAAAGTAAACCATAATTGCGCCTAATATCTCTATGTATTTGTTTCAAAGGTATTTTTGTCATAACACCACAACTTCCATGATTACTCATCTAGTTGAATGATTCATACACCATTTTAAAAATTAGTTGTACCACTTTAACGAAATATGGACAAATATATTATAGTTAATGTTTTCCTCTGAGCCGTGATAGCTCAGTGTCCGGGCGCTCGCCTTTAATTCAATATACTGGAGCAACCTGAGTTCGATCCCCGGTGCCGGCACCAATGAAGTTTTTAACTTTAAGTGCTGACTTATCACGTGCTCCGCGGTGAAGGAAAACATCGTGAGGAAACCTGCATATTTTCGAAATAATAACAAAAAAAAATATATTTCGAAAATATGTGAAGTCCGCCAATCCGCAGTGGGGCCGCGTGCAGTTGCAAAGCAGTGGGACATGTATAGGCTGTTACTTTTACTTTTTACTTACTTTCCTAAAAACAAATAGTTTAAAAACTTCTTATAAAGAATGCCTTTGGCAATGGCATTATCATCCATCTGTTGACAGTTTGTTTAAATGAAATAGTGAAACAAACTGTATTTTACCGTTATTCTTTAAAATAAGGTATACCTATTTGCACATTATTAGGGTTCCGTACTTAAAGGGTAAAACGGGACCCTATCACTAAAACTTCGCTATCTGTCTTTTATGTCCGTCTGTCACCAGGCATGTATCTCATGAACCGTAATAGTTAGTTGAAATTATCAAGAAATACTAAAAAATAGAATAAAAAAGTAATTAAATAGAGCATGTTACAAATACGTTACATACATGTACAATTTTTTTGCCGTTTTTTCATAAGTGTACCCCTTCGTGCGAAAGTCCGACTCGCACTTGGCCGGTTTTTATTGCCATTTGGTGATTGATCAAGGTACAGGTTAAAGTTAAAACTTTATTTTGCGGTGTGCAGACTGTGAGGTACGTATTTGTCTCGTGTGTTCACGACTCGATAGATTGTCCAATTTAGCAAAGCATTTCCGTCATAAGCAATTTGAGGCCTTATTGCGGCGGGGTAAAGTCTATTCGGCTCTCGTCTCGCCGTCAAAGACATCCTTGGCTTTTCTACGTGACGGAGTGCGCTCAGCAGAAATCACTTCCGCGCGGTCAGCAATGCGCCGGCCGTGGAGTCGCCTTACCGCGCAATTTTTTTGCATTATAACGAATTTCTCATACCGGTTATAATGATTTAACACATAATTTTTAATTAATTTTGCTTATTGCTATTTTATATACTGTGGTTTCTTTTTATTTTAAATTATAGAAATGTTATTTTTATTTATTGGTGTTAATTCTCTTTTGTAATAATTTTATACTACTTGCCGTACAAGTGAAAATAAATCTAAAATTGGGATAAGTAAATACTACTACGGTATTTATTGCTAATAGACATTCTTTTGATCAAACTATTATTTTGATTCGCGAGAAAAGGAACTAAGTATTCGTTGGTAGCTTTATGAAGAGAATTTTAATACCCAGGTCGTTGTCATTGGCTACGCTTAGGTAAATCAATTCAGATTTTTTCTGAAGAACGTATAAATTTCTAAGAAAATTAGAAATCTATTCACGTTATACATTTTGGTGTCGTGTGTTTATTAAAAAAAAAAACTTCTTAAAAAATAACTTAAGAAAATTATACCCTGGGCCAGTACTCTTCGTTTGTGAAAGACATTAAATGCAATTGATCATATTTTTCCAAAGGCGCCAAAAGAAGTATAACTTCAATAATAGATCAATTGCAACGATCAGCAAAACGACCAATGGTATACCAATAGGAACACGTGACATCGGATAGCGATGATCTAAAACATTTAGTTAGTTCCATCATAGAACGGAAGCGTGTCTTTATCTGTAAACATCGTCCCTTTTACGGCTCGTCTATTATTAGTTGGGCTTCAAACGGCGACAGTTTCGTGATAACTTAGTTCTTAATACGGCGATGAGAATGACGCGAGGGCGATTGGTGTACGCAGCGAATTGTGTTTGGTTTATCTGTACCTACGTTCTGAGGTCCGATAAGGTTCCAAGTTGTAGGTAATAAAAATAATAATAATATTAATATATATATATATATATAAATAAATATAAACTCACTGCTGCACCGCTACCAGCCCGGTTGAGGTACGCGGCGGTGACAGCCCAAAAAGAAAATTTACAAAAAAAAACCATGTTAATCAAAAAAGAGTACGGACCACGAGTCTGTAGAGTTACTTTGTTAAAATACAAAAAAAAACGTTGTAGGTACAACTTGGAACCTTATCGGATCTCAGACGTAGGTACGTCGGAGCTACTAAAATTGTTGCGCTATCAATATGAAGTAGCGGATACCAATATTAAATAAGGTATTGTGTCGTAAGAATTAATCGTCGGTGGTAGGGCCTCGCAACAGCCTCGGCTGTTGCACGAATGGGCAGGCCCGTCCGGGTAAGTACCACGACCTCACAGAAGACCAGCGTAAAGTGGAAGTATGACAAATACTTTCGCGTTTCGTCTGGTGAGTGAGGTAGTCGGAGCCCAATTTTCAAAAGGTTGTCAACGCATCTGTAACCCTCGGGTGTAGCAGATGTCCATGGGTGGCGGTATTCACTTACCATCAGGTGGACCGTCTGCTCGTTTGGGAACTTTTCACATAAAAAAAAAAAATTATAAATAGACGTATAATCAGAGTAACTGTACTTTATTTTGTTTTGTACTTTTGTTTTTTTTTTCTTATTTACGGAGCGTTTTGTTACCATATTTCTATATATCACTATATTACATTTTATATAGACATAAATATTCCATCCATTAACAGTAATGTGTTAAGTCATGTAAATTTTAACATATGTATTACTAAAGTTCGGATTGTCTCGACATTGTTGCGAAATTCACAATAAATGTCTGACAGCATTTTAATGAATCTCGGTAGACCGATCTGTAGATTAAACACAATATCTCGTGATCTCCCGATCTTATGGTAAGTTTAGTTATTCTACAGCCGTGTTTTCTATACATAATTAGAAAACATTTAGCAGATAACAAACAACAAAATCTTTCGCTCGTCGTTACCAAACCAAACACACATATGCTGGGGCATCTACACTGTCTGTCTTCGTTCGGAAATCGTTCTATCAGACAAAGTTATCGGCCGCAGATAAATCAGATAGAAGATACACCTAACAGTTCTGGCTGTCATTATCAAATAAACATTTGTAAAATAATACCTACTCCATGCACGTTGTTGTCCCCAAATTGCAGGGACGTCAAAACAAAGGGCGTAATGGGGTGAGCGGGCGCCGAGTAATTGCCACTCGTTTGCGCGCCCCGTATCGGATATCCCACCTCGTGGGGCTGAAAAAACCCATAGTTCATACGCCTGAGAAAACAGAACGGTTCGAGGGCCATAGATTCCGCCGTTTTAAGATTTCGTTAAAACATCAAATTGAAAAAGTTGAAACACTACATTACATCCTTTGATGTCAATAGTTTCTCGAATGTTTAAGATAAATTTTTATTTTTAGTGCCACTCAAGATGAAAATTTGAATTGCAATGAATTTTTGAATTTCTATGTAAATGTTTATCTATCACCTTGTGTAAGTAATATTTTCATTGTAACAAAAACTTTCAGCGCTGCGGAATTCTAACCTGCGTCTTATGCTTTCGCGCCCGATGCTTTACCAACTAAGCCAAGCGGCCGCACTCACGGTGCGAGAATCTTGACATCTATCTACGTTCGTTTCATTGCATTTTTAGCAACGCTTGGCGCCATCTAGTGTGCATGCTGTAAAAGATCCGTGGAATCCCGCAGTGCTTAAAGATTTTATTCATTTATCTACAGAAAATTACAATTAATATACTCGAGTATAGACTCTAAAATAATGGCTATATGGCGACTCAGACTCGGGGGCGCAATTGTTTAGTTGTTGGCTTCATCATCAGGGGTTTTGGTTCGGTTCGGTTTTCCTCGAGAGAAATATTTGTGTGACCCATAGATAATTGTTCGGGGCCTGGGTGTTTATTCTCAATGATAGTTATCGTCCAGCAATATCAACATGATTCACAAGTGCCGATCCAAGATAAGTGTGATGGTGGTAGGAGTATTGCAGTTGTTTTTAGGATTACTTGAAACAACTAGCCTACGTCATCGACAGTGCACAAAGTAAAATCGTAACCGAGACATTGAGTTTTTCGATAATGAAATAAACAAACCCATTAGCATAAAAGAGTGATACGTTGAACAATCGTCAGCTACGAGTATAAGATGACAAGTTATGCTCACACGTCGCGTAACAGATAACATAAAAAACGCTTGCATTAAAAACAACACCAAAGTCTACAGAGAAAAAATCCCCTTTTATTCACACAATGCAGTGAGTGCGGCAAGTTGATCGAGAGGGCCCCCTCGAAAACAATATGCCGCGAATTTCGCCGTTAATTGGCGGAAGTGTACGAGTTTTTTTTTTCCTCGAGCGTCAACAGTTTTTTCGGATGACGTGACATTAATGGAGCGGAGGGTCTATTGTTAGTCTGTGCGAGAGTTCACATCCGTCAAATGTTTTCGCGCGCGATTATGACGCGGTTGTTATTAAAAAGCTTTTTGGTTTCTTTTTTTTCTATACGTCAGTAGTCACATCAATTTCCTTCAATCGCGGTTAATGTGATATTCGACAACTTTCGTGTATTAGCAGAATATGATGACATAGACAACGAAATTTGTAAAATAATGCTGATAAGTAAACTGCATCGAAAAATCCCAAGCCATTCATTACACATTCGCATAACTTTAAATAACTTAGATGACAAGAGGATACCTACTAGTTTCTTTCACCAGTTTCTTCTCTGATAGGCGAACTTCATTTTATTTATTTATTTATAATTTATATAATTATGAGAGAAATGTAAATACATGAAAGAATTTGTACAAAGGCCCAGCTTATTTCTTAAGAAATTTCTTCCAGAAGACCTGTGACTGGAAATTGGTTAAAAATGGTAGTTAATTGTGTACATACATTAATTAGGAGTATAATTAGGATGTAGCCGTGATTGCTCATGAGGCCGTGATGGCTCATTGTCCGGGCGCTCGCCTTTAATTCAATATACTCGATCGATAGTTCGATCCGCGGTGCCGGCACCAATGAAGTTTTTAAATTTAAGTGCCGACTTATCACGTGCTCCGCGGTGAAGGAAAACATCGTGAGGAAACCTGCATAATTTCGAAATAATAACAAAGAAATATATATTTCGAAGATATGTGAAGTCCGCCAATCCGCGGTGGGGCCGCGTGGTGGACTATGTCCTGATACCCTCTGTATAGAGGCCTTTGCCCCGTCTATAGGGTTACTTTACTTTTTTCCTACTTTACTTTAATTGTTACTTTACTTGATACTACTTTATTAATTAGGAAACGGTGTGCGATTTAAAAAAATGACCATCGGTAGATGAAATATATGTTTATTATGTCGATGAATAAATGATTTGATTTAATTTTAGATAGATTTTTATTCATTCAGATATTTTTTATTTTTGCTTTTTATTTTTTTTAAACATTGCCCTTACTGTAAGATTTCACGCGGACAAACACCAAAATCCGAAAGACATATGTGGGTCACACAAACAGCTGTCCCGTGTGGGAATCGAATTCGTCACGCGCCACGGAAACATCAAATATATAGGATACGAGCGAACCCAACAGACGCTGTCCTGTGTACACGACCTGAATCCGACAACTTATAAATAAGAAAGAAAAAACGAATTGTGAACCTAAACCATTCTCGAATCGACCTGAAGACACAAAAAATTTCATTAAAATCGGTCCAGCCGTTTAGGAGCAGTTCAGTGACAAACACACGTACAGCAGAATTATATATATATATATAAGCAATAGAAAAACTCGTTTGATGACTCCGTGGCGCCGTTGCCAAGGTATTGGCTCGGCGTCGGGGGTCGTGGGTTCGATTCCCACACGGGTCAACTATTTGTGCGACCCACAAATAGTTTCGCATCTGGGTGTTTGTCTTCGTGCAATTTGTGTTTGTAAAACGTCCTTACAATACAGGATAATGTTATTCTAAAGTGAGGACAATGTTTTTAATAAAAAAAAAAATAAAACAAAAAAAAAAACAATGTTGCCGTATTGTTACTCTATACAGACCTTGATGGAATTTTTTTCTTATTCACAGAGTGGCATCCCTTACCGGTTACGAGCCGCAGGATCTCATCGAGAAGACCCTTTACCATTTCATACACGGGACCGACGTGCTGCATATGAGATACTCACACTGTACTTGTAAGTACAAATTTTATCAATGTTAATAATATACCTACAATGGAATCGTTCCTATTTCAAAGAAAAAGCCTCCGTTCATTGACCCCGACCCGTCGGAATAGTGATGACGAATATTCAATAAAATGCATTCCATTTTCAAGTTACCCTCGAAAATCACACGGCAAATTCAAAAAAAGAACTAATCATTGTCTATTCTATGCCTCCACGATCTATCTCAACACTGCTTGTCGTTCGAAATAACACATTCCATTTTCAAATCTATGAAGAACACGTCACCAATGCAAAAAAGGAATCAAGCATTCTTTCCATCTCCTTTATTATTATTAACTAGCTGAACACTCTTTTTCACTTTCTTTGGAACTTAGATTTAAATATCTTTATTGAATGTAGAAGCATTACCATTACTCATTGATTTTCAAAATACTCCTACGGGTCCGGACTTAAAAGAATAAATAAAAGAACTAAAAACTTCGGAATAAACAGTAAATAACAACACTCTTATTCAATTGCTGCTATGTTGAACAATATCAAGTCAATCCATCGGCTAGTTTTTGAGATTTATGGAGACAGACATACGGTAGCCATATTTTTATGTAAAAATATATTACCGCATAGCTCTTTCCTATTCAAATCGTTTTGAACGGTCGTTTGGTATTTTATTTTATTTTAAACAGTTTAGTTACTTAAGTTTTATTAAGTTTTATTTTAACCGGTTTAGTTACACGGTCACAAACTAAAACATACACAGACAAGCAATTTAGAGGATACATAATAGACAAATCTGTAACCCACTTATAACTAAATACAACATTCACTAATCGTGGAGATAAAAAATATTATCGTCTGAATAATTAAAAATCAATAAAAGAATTCAATAAAATGAAAAATCAACTTATCGAGCAAAAATAAAATGAAATAATAAAATGTATCCGCTACCGTCTGTACCGCAACACGTCCGCCCCCAGTGCTGACGAAGGGGCAAGTGACGTCGCGCTACTACCGCTTCCTCACGAAGTCCGGCGGCTGGGTCTGGATGCAGAGCTACGCGACCATCGTCCACAACTCCAGGTCCTCGAGGCCGCACTGCATCGTCTCCGTCAACTACGTGCTCAGGTATGCGATGTGAAGTATCCTCACCACGGTCTTTGGACAGCGATTAGTTAAAAAAAGCAAAGTATCTACTAGCTGCTGCCCGCGACTACGTCTGCGTAGAATAGTCTTAAGGCGTAACATTCAGACAGAAAGACAAATGAACACAATAAGTATATAAATTATTAAATTATATGTTTTATTCTGATGTATAAGCTATATCATTGTAAAGTTTCATTAAAATCCAATCAGTAGTATTTGCGTGAAAGCGTAACAAAAATCTTACAAACTTTCGCCTTTATAATATTAGTAAGGATTATTTGTCATTACCGCCACCCGAGGACACGTAAACACCTTTATTAATATACTTTATAATTTTATACGACGACCCGAATGGCGTAGTGGGTAGTGTACCTGCCTCCTACGTCAGAAAGTGTGGGTTCGAACCCACTATCGGAAAAATAATTTGTGTGATGAACGTATTTTTCCAGTGTCTGTGTGTTTATGTATGTATAATATGTATTTATTTACAAAAGAAAAGTATGTTTAAGTATGTCTATCAGTTATCTAGTACCCATAGGACAAGTGTTGCTGAGTTAGAGAACATTGTGTAAAAATGTGTGCTACAAATATTTTTATTTTATTATTATATAGTATAAAATGGTTTATTTACCACGAGAGTTGTGGTTAAGAGCTTCCAACGCAAAAAGCCCTTGAAAAATGCATTTGTACCGTCTATCGGCCAACTCTTTCCCTTTCACGAAAGCACTCCCACTGATAATAAGGAAGCGAGAATCATCATGATCATGTAAAATCGTTGATGAATGTTTTATTTGTCTTTACGAGACCTTTTCAGTTTGTCCATGAATTCTGATTGCCTTGCCTGAATATAATCTCCCCTCACTGAATATTCTTTTTGTCTAAATCCATCCTAATCCTACTCATCGGCTGGTAACGCGACCTCCGCTCGTTTATCTCTTATCGCACTCTTCCAGCCCAAACTCAAACATCTTTTGTAAATTATCCGAATAACACCTACATGTCTTTTTTATGAGAAAAATTGTCAAGCGAGCAGACGGTTTTTTTATGCGAAAAGTTTTCAAACGAGCCGACGGGTTACTTCATGATAAGTGAATACCGTCGCCCATGGACATCTGCGTCACCCTAGGGTTCCAGATGCGTTGACAACCTTTTGAAAATTGGGCTGTCTGTATAATTAATAATTGTCCACGGCTATTTTTGTGACGCGCCGCCCTCCCGCCCGCAGCGACATCGAGGAGAAGCACTTGGTGCTGAACATCGACCAGGGCCCGCCGAAGCTGGGGCACGCGGAGGCCGCGCCCGCCCCCGCACACCCCCCCGCCCCGCCCCTCCCCAAGCCCGCCCAGGACGGCGACTACAGCGCGGACGGCTACGCGTACCCGGACTACGCGCTGCCGGTGCCCTACGAAGCGCACGACGACTACCAGCAGCCCGGCTACGAGCTGTTCTACGACGCCTACGCGGAGCCCGAGGTAGCGAGCTACGCGTACCCCGCCGCCCAGAGGCCGTTCTCGGCGAGCTCGTCCAGCTGCAGCTCGGTGGAGGGCTCGGATGCGGCCGGCCAGTACAACTACACGAGCCTAGTGTCGTTCTACGGCCACGGGCAGAGTCAAAATGGCGGCCGACCGATGAACGCGCAGAACTTCGGCGGCAACTTCCAGGGCAAGATGGCGCCGAGCCCCGCGGTGCAGGAGGGCGCGTACGCGAGCGTCATCGTGGACAACACGCAGCAGTTCCACCACCACGGCGTGGTCAACGAGTTCGTGCACTGATGGCGTCGGCGATGTCGCGGATGACATCATTGGTGACGTCACGGTCAACGTCACTGACGAGCCTGTGGGTTCAAGAATCCACACTAATTTGTCGGTTTTAGCATTAGATCCTCCTATTTCTGAGCAACGTGATGATCCCGACTTTCGATAACGCAACCGATTTTGGTACAACACTATTTTCGATTTTCGTGTTAGTTTGCACGGCACAACACTATTTCAAATATCATCAACGCTGATGTTGAAAGAGTACGCCGGCTTTTAAATTAAAAAAGACTGTAATAGTATGTTGTGAGACTGTGTTGAAAAATTTGTATTACATCTCTTGCCAACATTTTTAAGTTTTAAGTTTATAACAAAAATACACCAACTTTAAAGTGATACGAATGTAATATAGGTACCCACTATTTCGCTTCGAAGGTTAAATGTGACAGAAATTAAATCGATTTGGTTTTTATAATCAGTCGCATTTTCCCTCCATTAGGCAGTTGTATAAGAGCGCAATTCGCTTATTGTAAATATTTTGTAAATAAAATAAATATAAATTATAATATACATGAAATAACTATATTCGTAAGTTTGAATGTTATGTGGTCTTATGAGTATTGCATAAAATACTCTTACAACTTTAAGATCTGTCTTATTTAATCACTGCTATATTTGAATTATGAACAATGAAGACGTTTATATTTAAGATTTTGTTTTAGAAACTATATCGTTCGCATATAAATATTATCGTATGTATAATTAAATTACTGATCAATAAAATATTTAACGAATTTATGAATTACTTTAGAAATATTTGGCTCATGCCAAAATATCAAGCATAGACAATAATAGAGTTAATATAATGTACATAGTAATATACTCTAGAAGTTGTAACTGATATATTGCACAGTCGATATTACCCAACATATTATTTACCTATCTAATTTTTTTTATTATTAATGTTGAAAAAAAATTAAAAAAAAGACGAAAATATCGATTAATTATCAATAAAAAAGTATAATTAAATCCATAAACCTTAATAGCAAATATCCGTAATAAAATATTTAAGCGCGAACAATATCTACCAAAGAGGTGTAAACTCTCACGCTTCTACGTAAGAAAGACGTAAGAGTAAGTACCTACTATCCTTTTAATTCCTAAGTTTCGTTTCGATCTTTATATGCCACGTGCCATTGTATCGGAATGTGCTAGTCTGTAAATACGTAGTAACTACACACTAGAATTAAACTTAAACATAGTGAGATCTATATTAGCTTGCATCGAAACGAAGAGAAAAATCTCGTAGGCTATGTACTTATAATGATATATTTAATCGTAACTAGTTTATTTTATAGCACTACTAAGATATGTGTCAACCAAAGCGCGAATAAACGTATGAACATTCTTAAGAAAATTACACGGAGTCGCTTTTTAGCTGGTCTGTAAAAGAAAACAAACACAACCTTGGAATTGGCGCTATGTAACAAATGTAGTGCATCTCTTTCTGACGCATGGTTCTACTAAGCGCTAAAAAGATACAATATATAGTACAGAGGCACCGCTTATACAGATTTCCTCTGTTTACATATTATAATGTATTTTTTCGTAAGGATCCGTGGCTTTGTAGTGTTACAAAAATTGTAAAGCAAATGTGACCTTGAGATTCGGCGTGTATCGAAAGAGGTGGAAGAGAAAAAAAACAAATTGTGATATCTCAAACATATTATTTATGATACGGAATAATTAAACGACATTGGAAAATTTATGTGTCAACTTTTATTTGATATCAATAACAGTATTTAGTAGTATTTTTTATGATTATTGGCAAGTAGCGTGTGTTCATTTATTGTCGCGATGGTAACGATACGCTGTATATGTGTTGATATTATTTCCGAAAGACAAAATTTTTTGGACCAAATTTGCCGCCCCCTAAAATGTGCGGCCCTAGGATCTAGCCAACAGACTGCTGGTAAATCCACCACGGTGCGTTGCCGCCTTTTTATAAAGCGGGCTCCGGCTACCTCACTCACCAGACGAAACGCAGAAGACACTTCACGCCGGTCCTGGCACTACCCGGATGTACCTGCCCATTCGTGCAACAGTGAACAGTGTTGTGTGGCCCTATCACAGTTAATGAATTAAATGCTTGCTACATTACTGGAGGCAGATTTATCGAATAACTTGTTGTCTACAAAAGCTGTTAGTTTCATGTTAGTTGTTTTCGCCAAAACAATAGTTTTCTCAGCGGATCGAACCTACGACCCCCATCACCGAAGGCAATTCCTTGGCAACTTACAAAGGTTTACGGCAATCGTTCTGACTCCCAATCATTTTGTGCATCAAGGGACCGGGCCAAATATTTAGAAACAGATTATTTTAAGGAGTACATCACTAATATAGAGAAAAATTTTAAAAATAAACCTAAAGCATTTTGGTCATACATACGGAGAAAGAATACGGACAAATCATACCCTGCCGGACTCCGTTACGGAGAGCGGGTTTCTAGTTCTGGAGAAGACACATGCAACTTATTTAGTGAGTATTTTCATTCAACTTTCACCCACAACACGTGCAGCAATAGCTCTAATGTTAAAGAAACTTCTACCTCAGCGTACGATATAGGTGATATCGAAATAAATAAGTCCGAAGTGCGCAAAATGTTGGAAGGACTTGATTTAAATAAGTCTGCTGGTCCTGACAACATTCCAGCTCTTTTTATCACCCGGTGTGCAAATAGTCTAACGACACCTCTGACTTGCCTATTTATACGTTCTCTGAACGAAAGTGTCGTTCCCACTATTTGGAAGTCGGCGTACATCACACCAATTCATAAACAAGGACCGAAAGATATGGTCGATAATTATAGGCCTACCTCCAAGCTGTGTCTGTTTGCAAAAATTTTTGAAACAGTTGTCTATAAGCAATTATATGAAACCCTGAAGCACGCCCTGACTCTGGAGCAATATGGTTTTCTAAAAGGTAGATCTACTACATTTAACCTTATTGTTAGCAGCGACTACATCCAAAGCATATGGATCTGCCATCACAAATCGATGTAGTTTACACTGACTACAGAAAATGTTTTGATAGAATCGATCATTTGATACTTTTGCGTAAGCTTCAACTTATTGGTATAAGAGGAAACTTATATAGATGGTTTTCTTCTTACGTCCAAAATAGGTGTCAAACCGTTGTACTAAACGGTTATACTTCAGCAACATTAAAGATTCCATCTGGTGTCCCGCAAGGATCCGTGTTAGAGCCTTTGCTTTTTAATATTTTTATTAACGACATCTTAACCTGTTTCCCTCACTTTAAAATAATTTTATATGCAGATGACATGAAAATCCTCAAACAGATAAAATGCTTTGAGGATGCGATTTTTCTTCAAGAGGACCTCACCCGATTTGAAATATATTGCGAAAAATACACATTTGATCTCAATATCTCAAAATGTTACATCTGTTCTTTCATACGTAAAGTAAACCCAATCCGTTTTTCGTACAAATTATGTGACATTAAACTTACCAGAATAACTTCCATTAAAGATCTAGGCTGTAACTTACGACACCAAATTACGTTTTGATGAACATATTAATAATATAATCAATAAAGCATCTAAAGGGTTTGTAATGCGCATGTCAAGTGACTTTAATTCCATAAAAACATTAAAAATCCTATACTGCGCCTATGTGTGCAGTCATCTGGAATATGCCTCTCAAGTTTAGAATCCAAATTATAGCATCATATGTTGATCGTATCGAACAAATATAGAAAAACGCTTTTTACGATATTTGCAATTTCGAACTAAATTTCATATTTCAGACTACATTAAACGGTGCCAAGCTTTTCACTTTCTTCCACTTGAAGATAGAAAGCAAATAGCAGATATTGCTTATCTACTAAACATAGCAAATGGCTCGCTCAATTGTCCAGAGTTATTAGATAACATAAGTTTAAGAGTTCCAACCGCCGCATATCGCAAACCTGCAGTCTTACACGTATCATCAGCTAGAAAGAATTACAGGCAGAATTCCTTCTTTATTGGAGTAAGCAATGTTTTAACGCGGTAGCTAAGCAACACGACGTTGATTTTTATAATTCCTCTGTCTATCAGATTAAAAACTGCTTAGCAACGCCTTTTTTAAAAAGAAAAAATACGATTAGTTAAATATATTTTTTTTAATAAATTTTGTAAATTTTATTATAATTGTCACTGTACACTCTATGTCCGTTATACTTCTATGTACGCGTTATATTCTTTTATATTTAACTAATTGTGGAAACTTATAATTGGCCTTCTGTACTTATATTCAAATACTAGCTAGCTGTTAGTTTCCCTAAAATTGTAAAATAAAATAAAACTGCGCCACGGAGTCATTAAAATGAATGAATACGGTATGTATTATTTTTAAGTGTATACAATATAAAATATTATAAGTGCTTTTATTTGAAATAGAACTTGTTATTATATAACATTTAGTTTCATGCTAAAAGTGACATCTATTGTTGGATAGCAAAACTGTTAATATATTATTTCTTTTTACAAAAATCATAGCTAACATTTAGGCTCATCGGGCCCCCCAATAATGATTACTTTGAATCTCATATTTGAATGACAAATATCTTAATATATATTGTCTTAAAGGAATTTTTATGTCGGTACGCCACAACTTCCATAATAATTCATCAAATTTAAGGATTCAAACACAATTTTAATATAAGCTTAATAATAAGCTTAGTATTGTGGCTTTTGTCGCAAAATAAAGTTAATTTTTTAATTATTGGTTTATAAATAATGTATGATAATGCCATCTATTGATACTTTTTTGTAGAAAAAGTTAATTTTGTTCTGCATTTTATATCGTTGAAACAATAAATTCCTAACATACTACAAAATAAACTCAATTTGTGAAATTTACAAATGTATTTTTACGTATATGTTATCTTTCACCTTCAATTTGCATTTCTCCTTTTTGACCCGAACTTGTTATAAATTTTCGGATCATTTTAAGAAAAAAGTTATAAATTACAAGTGGGGTAAGGGACTTTAAAAACATTGCAAACAAAATTGTTTAAAACGAAAAATCAAGAATAAAACATAAAGTGGTATGTGAAAAAGAAAAAAATCGCAAATACATTTTGAAGTACTTTAGCCATAAGCTTGCCTCCAGTTAATTTGCAATTACACAAAAAATATACAACTCATAAAAAATAAATGTATTTTCTGAAACAAGCGCTATATGCGCTGTTAACGTTAATTAGCATGTACCATGTTTTATTTTTTGGCAACACAGCGCCCTCAGGCCCGCTGCTAAACATTTTTGTAGTTAGCAATATGTATTCTATATATCTTTATATTTATTTTTATGGTATGCACCAAACCAAATTACCAATTATATTATATTGCCATTGATACGGCAATTGCCGAATTTTGAACATATAACTTTAGACAATACGGCATACGGCTTGTTATCCATTACCATAATTCACAAGGCTACTGTTATGAGTTAAGTACTCATTATTCAAACTTTAAACAAAATTGCTCTAAGAGGCTCATCCCTATTACATCATAACTTTGAATCCCTGGACATCAGTGGCAGAGTTTTCAGAGATTAGGAAGCCAACCAAAATAACTTACTAGCAACAAGCCGCAAAGAAATCAAAAAAGGTATGATTTGTCTAACAGTGTTCTTCCAATATTGAAAAACTTGTCACCAGATAATCTAACGGTGGTAGGGCCACGCAGCAGCCTCGGCTGTTGCACGAACGGGCAGGCCCGTCCGGATAAGTACCACGACCTCACAGAAGAACAGCGTAAAGTGGAAGTATGACAAATACTTTCGCGTTTCGTCTGGTGAGTGAGGTAGCCGGAGCCCAATTTTCAAAAGGTTGTCAACGCATCTGTAACCCACGGGTGTAGCAGATGTCCATGGGCGGCGGTATTCGCTTAACATCAGGAGACCCGTCTGCTCGTTTGGCAACTTTTGGCATTAAAAAAAAAAAAAAAAAGATGGAGTACATAGTTGCATTTAGGTACATGATATGTGTGCGAAAAAGCAAAATTAGGAAAAATATTGTTTAAGTAAAAAATATTGCGAAATATTTGAGTCGATTAGAAATTTCTAGGGTGAATCATAATGAGTAGGTTATTTTTTTGTCCTTTTGTTAATGCCTTAAATTTTTAATTAATGAAACTAAGCAATACGGCCTTTTCATGATTTTTATTTAAAAATACGGCAATTTAGAATCTCGAATAAGACAACTCAAACATATATACTGAAAAAATTAACAAAGAGTACTTTTATATATCTGAAAATTAAAACATCTGCAACATCGGCAACTGGCAACACTGTTATGAGCTTATTTAGGAGGCTTCTTGCTTGCGGCAGCGCAAGCGCAAGTGCCATAGAGTAAAGTAATACTACTGAAAGTAATACTACTGGCAAGTGCACTAACTAATGAACTAACTGAACTAAGGCCATTTGAACTTTATTTTGCGTTAAAAAACATCAAAGGTTCGTATGATTGTTTTATTTAATTTGAAAGGAATCTTATTTCATCTATTTCCATTCCGTGCAATACTCCAACAGCTTTTGATTTAATTTTAAATTAGAATATTTTTTCTAAACGTTGGTTTAGTAATTTAAATTTTAAACAAAGTATCTAACTACTGAACCGTGTTTTAAATCTGTATTTAACTTTTTTCAGCTTGTAATTATGAAAGCCACCCGGAAAATTAAACCAAATGAGGGAGATCGAAAATTTAATAGTATCATCGCAAGTTCGCAAGACATCTTCAAAAAATCTGCAAGGAAACCGAAAGTCGAAAACGACTTCCGATTCACCCGTTGTGGAAGTCTGTCCCCAGATGATAATATACTAGACTCTCGTTATGATAACCCAATCATGATTCAAGTGGTCCAACAGTTCATTTAGATCAGAAAAATGGTGCGATGAACTTCCCTTGGGTCAAAAAGGCTTCGAGGGTAACGATGTGGAACCGAAATATATTAAATCAACAAGGGACATTGGAACAATGACCGACCACATATCAGCTAAAAACCTAGAAGTTGAAACCAAATGTAATGAGTTATTTGGAAAGATGGTGGCTTGTGAGATATCAAATATCAATGGGAAAGTACGCTATGACAAAATGAAGGAAATCATTAGTTTATTTCAAACATTAAACAATTGTAACTAATATGTTGATGATTTGAACAACAGAAAGCCAAGGCAATTGCCAAATTATTATTATTATGTTTAAAAAATTCTGAGATATGTAAAAGATTGTATCATAAGAGATAAAAGTTTTTATGATTAACACACAAAATACTCTATGACCTTATTTCAGTTTTAATTATAAAAATATCTAGTGAAGGTAACAACATGTTGCATACTATTTAAATTGCAAACTAGTTAGTAATATTAGTTTAGCAGTAACTATTTTTTAAGTGTTTTGTAGATTGAGTAGTTTCATTAGAATTCTTATAAATAAGATGTTTAACAAAGTAAAAACTGCAGCAAATGTTGATAATTTTAATAGTCTCACTAATACCGATAGTTTAAAGGTATATGATTGTTTTTAATTAGGTCATATATAGATATTGCAAACTTAATGTATAGGAAATTAAGCTAGGTTTCTTCATGTTATATTTTTTATCATTGTACAAATTTATATCGTTTTTGTTTTGTATTACAATTTATATTTATTACAATAAATAAATCTGTAACATCATTTATATTGGCTTTATTGGAGATTTTTTTTTTGTGACGTGTAGTTTGCTGTTAGCCCGGCGGCTTTGACAGCTTCGGCGGAAGAGGTCCGCGGGCAGACGACCCACGGACTCGGGAGAACAACGTAGCTGGTGCACAATGACTTATTGGAGAAGAATTATGTTGATACCATTGTACTTGGCATACTAGTGCAATAAGTTTAATGACTGATGATTTCTGGTTGGTTATTTTGAAGTCCGAAGCTGCGTTTCCGTAAATGACGCGTGAATTGTTACGGCGCGCGTTTCCGTGGCAACCAACTTCGTTTCGCAACTTCTTAGTTGTGTACATAAGTACACAAAGGTTGTTTCTTTTTTCAATATTAAGTTATGAACAGAATAACACATTTTGATTCGGTAGTTATCATAGACCCATTCCAGTAGTTACCTCCCACACTTGCTTGTTAGAAAAAAACAAGCAGTTAAGTGCTCCTATAAGGTTTGCAACTATAAGGCATAATTCAATGCTGTATATTTACGGAACAACATATATAATCATTATGTTAGAATTATACAGCATGGTGATACAACTGTGACCTTAAATGTACACACTTCTAACGTTATTTGCCAATAATCATAAAAAAATAATAATTTTCACACAGATTAATTAAACAAAAAAGAAACAAAATTGGTAACATCCTTCCTATACAACTACAACTGAGTGAATCATACATTCAGAGACTTTTTCATTTGTTGCCACAACGTCGTTACAATCTCTCCTTCTAACAATATGTTCCAACCAACCAATTCATATGATTTGTGATCTTTACAAATTAACTTTACGTTACAGCTTTAGACATATGTTCTTTAATTATTTGTTTTGGAAAATTAAATAACTTGGTAAATATTGATGTTTCATGAAAGTAAATGTTTAATACAATTTTAAGAAGTTATCCTTTATATGTGTGTTCATTAAAGTAGAATTGCGTAGTAGCGCCACGTTGTATAAGTAAGATGGGCGATCATCAACATTTATGGCAAGTAGAAGACTACCTAATAATTGCTTCTATAGTCTCCATAGCATATTATGGATATGAAACAAGAAAAAGAACTGTGATAATTCGGAGCTTACCCAGTGTTGGCCGTGTGTGCCACAATCGTTACATAGAGTCCATGATTAATTATTGTTAGTGATTTAATTAATATCAAGTAATCTATTTGTGAATAAGAGCATACTAATTTATTTTTATAACATAGGAAGAGACTATTATGTAAACTGAATATTATCAGATTACGCTTGTTATAGAACTTTATGGCTTTTACTGAAACATATGTCGCATCAGCGATCAGGTCATCCTTATCAAAGATATAATATTCTTGGGAATTCTTTAACATCTAGTAGTCTGTGAATATAAAGTTTTTTTTGTATAACTGATGTTACGCTTTCAGTCCTTAGTCTATTAAAGCTTCATCGAACGCAGAACCGGTGGGCTAGCCAGAACCCACGGGTTGATTATTTCCTCAGTGGGTAGGGCCGCGCGTGTACTCATGCGTGCGTTACTTGTGACATGTCGCCTACGGGCCATCGAGGTTCGGCGAGGACTTGCCCAGACCGTTGACTGTGCTTGTATGGTCGGTGGCTAGGCATGGAGCGCGGGTGAATATAAATTGTTACTGTGATTGTACTCTCGATGTTATGAAAATACATTCGGCTGAGATTTCATTCATAATATCAGTGTTTGGGTAAAATGAACAGTCTACATGAACGTCAACGTTTTTATTTCCAGCTAGTCTAGGTCGAACTCTATTATGTCTAGGTCGCCGTCGCTGTCGGTGCTGTTGCCGGCCTGCAAAACAAAAAATAAACACTTTCCCTTATATAACTCGTACACACAGGCTCGTCTATACATATACACATATTTTATTTTGTTAATTTCCTTCAGAACTGTGTGCCACTTGATTTTGTATGAGCTTTTTGCATCATAGAAATCTTTCGCTTTGTTTATACCGTTAGGTTTTATATTATACTAGCTGATGCCCGCGACTACGTCTGCGTAGAATAGGCTGAAAGCGAAACATTCGGACAGAAAGACAGATACATACAAATAATAAAAAATTAATACATAAAAATATTCATACATATAAATTATAGCCTTATTCAGACATATAAGCTATATTATTGTTGTTACATTAAAATCCATTCAGTAGTTTATGCGTGAAAGAGTAACAAACATCCATCCATACATACAAATTTCGCCTTTATAATATTATTAAGAATAGTGTAGCTGAGGTCGCCTGTTCAAATCTTAGTGGCGTGCAAATATCATCACCCTCTGGTAGTTACGCCCTGGTGCTTGGCGATGAATTGTAGGAGCTTTACTACTGTTATGGATAAAAGCGCAGCCAAGGTCGTGACCGGGATGGCCGACGAGATTGACCAAATGATTGGAATTTGGATGAATTGGTGTGGCGGCATCTTGTAAACGCTCCGAAACACTGATGTGTATTGGCTGTCAACTAACTTTGGCACACTCACAAAAGTGAATGGTTTCCCAAATTGTGAACGAGAAATTTAGTAACGGTATGGACTTTTTACTCTGAGGGTACAACCACTTGTGCGGAGATAGCTAGCAGACGTGTGTGAACTAATGGCTTTATTAATGAATGAAAGGACGAATGGTGTTATGACGCACCCGTCTGCGTGTCCTGACGCCCCTCCTGGGGCGCACCTCCTCCGCCTCCTCGGCCGATTCGTCGCCTGAGCTGCCGCCCTCTCCCAATCCCATCACTGCATTGCGTAGCAGGCTCGTAGCCACTGGTAAAATAACATCGCGTAAGTTTGTATTTTGTGTGGGTAACAAGTTCAAACGACCGCTGCATCCTAGACAGATCTATTGTAGTCTTCCCTTCGTAAATATTGCCCCCTTTCTGTATTACAACATTATCCTGTCTTGTAAGGATGTTATACATATAACAATTTCACATGGACAAACACCCAGATCCAAACAAAATCAATTATCTGTGGGTCACACAAATAGTTGTCTTGTGTGGGCATCGAGCCCACGACCCCCAACCTTTGGAGCTACGCCACGGAGTCATTACAGACCCATTATATGCATGCACATGACATTATTATTAGTTAAAATCTACTCATAGTATGTAAGGGATGAGTATTAAAACCTACTTTACATGTTTTAAATAAGTAATAAATAGTTTAATTCCTAATCACAGCAATAGGACTTCAACTTGATGGGATCTTAATGCTTATTTGTTCGATAGAACGCTAATGCCTGTAGTAGCTGTATTGTGAAATCTTTAAATGCTTCACACTCAATCAATACAAGAAGGAATATGTAGTATGTTTTATTAAAAGGAAAGTAATTTTTTGTAAGGAATTTGAGTAATTATGGATCTGTATTTATTGACTAGTATATTGTGGTGTTTACTGTGATTACATGATAAAATATTGCAATTAAATGGACATAATATAAATATGTAATATTTAACAATATTTAAATTAGATTTCACACGCAAAACAAAAGTAAAGAGTAAATTAAATTAGTTTTAGTTAGATAATCATTTAAATTTATAATAAATACAAAAGCGGTGTTTGTTGGTGTCCTTGCTTCACGCAGCTACTGAGAAATGTCAGCGATAAATGCACCTCCAGCGTTTAGATTTTCACAAAACCCATGTGTGATCCGAAACAAATATTAAATTTACTTAACGCCGGCATTCCTCGGATCAGCCCATTTAGCAGCAGTTGCAGAGGGGCCCTGCTACACAAGCGTGGGTACAGGGTTGTCACCTGTCGAATGTCGCGATTAGGGCCACGAGTAACTGTGGCCAAGTACACTTACGGTCGTCGTCGTTGTCGGACCCGGAGTCGGAGCCGTCATCGTTCTCGGAGCCACCTGCCATCTCCTCTTCATCGTCTTCCTCCTGAAATGATACACCGCAAGATGGTAATGTTAGGTCTTTGGTGGGTCGAGAATTCCTTTTTAGGCTTCCGCGAACCCAAAGGTAAAACGGGAATCTACTAATGAGACTCCGCTGTCTGTCAGTCTGTCACCAGGCTGAATCTCATGAACCGCGATTGTTAGACAGTTGAAATTTTCACAGATGATGTATTTCTGTTGCCGCTATAACAACAAATGTAAAAATCTGAATAAAAAGATAGTGGCCGCTATAACAACAAATGTAATAATAAAAAACAGAATAAAAATATTTAAGTGGGGCTCCCATACAACAGACATGATTTTTTTGCCGTTTTTATAGATAATGGTATGGAACCCTTAGTGCGCGGTTCTGACTCGCACTTGGTCGGTTATTGATGTTGTCTTAGGGATGGAAATAGCAGAGAACTTCCAAATTTAAAGTTTTTGAATAACTATTACCTGTGGGAATCGAACCCACGCTCCCCGACGCCGAAGTCATTCTTATTAACTATTTATTACTGATAATATTATATAGTCCAAAACGCGACCCCACTGCGGATCGGCGGACTTCACACATATTTAAATATTATTATTATTTCCTCACGATGTTGCTCTTTTCCGCTGAGCACGTTTATTCTAAAAAAGTAAGGAGATTTATGTGATAGAACGAATGAAAAAGAAATTACATTTATCTAGATCATTACTAGTTTCTAGTAACGGGAGGTACAAAACTCGGCGCTGGACGCATTTCAATAGCCTCAAATCTCTAATGGTGAAGTCCAAAGACCAAGCCCTCATTCTTCTCAGGGCAACTCTAATTGAGTGCGTGTGGTACCATCGGGTTCATGCGGTGCTTAAAGCGTTGGTATCCAGACCAGTGCTGGGCATACATCGACCATAGCGCTACAGACCACGCCCAACGTTGGGAGGGCTCCTCCCCCACGCATCCCACGCCCACGTACACTCACCGCGTCGTCGTCGTGGTCCCTCTTCCTGCCCACATCGTAGAGCTTCACGCACGACTCCTGCACCTGCTCGAAGTCGCCCATGTTCTCCACCAGCGATATCTGGGTGCCGTAGCGAGACACGCCCAGCGAGTAGATGTTGCGCTTCACGTCGATCGTCGCTGAGGAAGAGAGAGAGAGAGGGAGTAAGAAAGAGAAACAAGAAGAAGAAGAAAAGAGAGCCAGAGAGTAAGTTTTGTTTATACAAAAGGCTAACATTATACTGTCTTATAAAGATCCAGGATGCATACATTTCACACGTACAAACAAGTGTAGAGAACAATCATTTGTAGGTCATATTATACTTGCCCTGGAGAATGAAACTAGTACCAATTGACAATTGGTACCTCTTTCAAAATACCAACGATGTATTGAGGATTTTTAATAATCAATTCCGTTGTATGAATTATTTCCAGAACCAAATATCGCTCATTTCACTCATTTGTACCACAATCACCACCGTTGAGTTTGTCATACCTGTCACCTGTCACTTATCACATTTGTGCAAGCGGTTCGGGGAGACTTGATGGCTCCTTCCTTTGCAATTTCACTATTGTTTAATGTTTCATTTTATCTTTACTGTGTATTTACCTATATATATCGATAAAAATGAATCCCTATTTCTCTTGGTCACGCCATCACGCGTGAACGGCTGGACCGATTTTGCTAATTATTTTTTTATAATATTCCTTGAAGTAGGAAGATGGTTCTTACGAAGAGAAAAATTTAAAAAATTGCCTGAAAAAGTCTAAAAACAACACTTTTCTATATTCCCGTATAAAAGATTCGTAATAATACTTAAAAGTCAAATTGAACTTTAATACCATACCATAAAGTTTAAGTGTTGGTGGAGGGGTTCCGGGGAGGCAAAAGAAGCGAGGAACTGTGGTAAAATGTCACTTGAAATGTAAACGTCTGTTTGCTGTGCATCACTACATAGTATAAAACAAAGGCGTCCTGCTGTCTGTCTGTCCCTATGTACGCTTAGATCTTTAAAACTACGCAACGGATCTTGATGCGGTTTTTTTACTAAATAGGTTTGTTACTAAATGGAGTGATTCAAGAGGAAGGTTTATATGTATAATACATTGCACCCGTGCGAAGCCGGGGCGGGTCGCTAGTTCTAGTAGTTTCCTAATATTTAATTCAATATGGTTTTTTTTATTTATTGAATTACTAACATAAGATACAGCTAATTAAGATAAATACAAATTACTTGTTACATAGTTTTTTTTTATGCGAAAAGTTGTCAAACGAGCAGACGGTTTACCTGATGTTAAGTAAATACCGCCGCCCATGGACATCTGCCACACCCGAGGGTTACAGATGCGTTGACAACTTTTGAAAATTGGGCTCCGGCTACCTCACTCACCAGACGAAACGCGAAAGTATTTGTCATACTGTCACTTTACGCTGGTCTTCTGTGAGGTCGTGGTACTTACCCGGACGGGCCTGCCCATTCGTGCAACAGCCGAGGCTGCTGCGTGGCCCTACCACCGTAAATATAATAGTATAATAGATAGAACTGTTCTCACATTTATAAGTAACCACATCATGTGTTTTATCCTGTTACTGTAATGATATACAATATAAAAATCATATAAGTTAAAAACGAATTTTAGTTATCATCACCTCTAGCGTTGGACGATATTGTAATATTTGATTTTAACTTGAGTACAAACTTGTTTGTTGGTACTTGATTGTTACTGTTTTTAGTTATTAAAACTGTTAGAAAAAAGTAGACGAAGAGTCTTTCGCCGCTGCGAGAATCGAACCCGCGTCTTTGCCGCCCAACAGCTTTAACCACTAAGCTACACGGCCGATTGCCCCGCCTAGATGGCTTATTGTGTGTACCTATACTGGAGTAGTCGTAGGGGTCCAATGTCTTGAAGCTGGTGTCGAATTGGCTCCTCTCCTCCGAGTCCTGGTCGGAGCAGACAGCGTACAGCGCCGTGCAGGTAGGGTTGAAGATCACCTGGAACGTTACCAACAACACGGCTGACGGTGCAATCGGATGGAGAGAAAGAGAAAGGACGATGTTCTTTTTTTATGTGAGAAGGTGGCAAACGAGCTGACGGTTCACTAGATGTTAAGTGATAATCGTCGCCCCTTAGCGTTGCGTATGTGAATGCGTTGCAATGTTCGTTGTGAATGGGTTATGAATAATAACGATTTATTGACAACCCGAATGGCGTAGTGGGTAGTGTACCTGCCTCCTGTGCCAGAGGGTGTGGGTTCGATCCCCATTACTGGAAGAATATTGTGTGATGAACATAGTGTTTTTCTAGTGTCTGGGTGTTTATATATGTATAATATGTTATTATTATTTACAAAAGAAAAGTATGTTTAAGTATGATAATCAGTTATCTAGTACCCATAATACAAGCGTTGCTTAGTTTGGGACTAGAGAACGTTGTGTAAAAAAAAATGTGTTCTAAAATATTTATTTATTTATTATTTATTATTTATTTATCGCTGACGACCCGATTGTCGCAGTGGATAATGGACCTGTCTCTTGCGTCAGAGGGTTTGTGCTCGACCCCTACTACTACTTACTTCTACCTATTGAGTAGCCGGGGCCTACTTATTAAAAGGTGGCAACGCATTTGCAACCCTACGGATGTTGCAAATGTTCATGGGCGGCGGTTATTACACAACATCAGGTGAACCGCCAGCGCGTTTTCCGCTTATTAACTAAAAAGACGGAACCCTAAAAAGGGTTAATCCCCGTAACCTCACTCGCCAGACGAATCATTGAGATACAATACTTTCACTTCACGTCGGTCCTAAGAGTATGCCCATTCGTGCCGCAACAAAGCATCATATCTATGCCGTTTTCGTGGTCTCACTGGGAACTTTGAAATTCGAGAGAAGACGTCAGAGCCGGATTAATGAGAGGGCAACCGGAGCAACAGCCCCGGGGCCTCCACAAACGAGGCGCCCCCACAATAGACTTCGGGAAAAAAAATTCAAATTCAGACTAGTAAAGAATAGTAAATAGACAATAGTATATAAGATAGATAGAATAGCATATAAACAACTTTTCCTTTCATATTTTTTTCGTGTTTCACTTTTACCTACAGTACTTTGTACAAACATGATTACATTAAATATTTACAGAATCGATAGAGAATGATTTGGGGCCATGGGGCCTCCACTCCTTTGTTGGCCCAAGGCCTCCAGACCTCTAAATCTGGCTCAGGCAGACATAGTGCGTCCAACAGGGCATAGAAATTGACGCCGCTGGGCCACACCGTTCCAAGCGACGACCTCCGACGTACCTCTGACTTGTCCAGGGTCGGGACCGTCCGCAGCAGATGGAACGTCCTCAGGTCCCACACCTCCGTGTTCGAGATCACCTGCCAATTTAGAAATAGATGAAGTGGGACCCTGCAACAGCTGATTATAAATGGTAATGTCACGTGACATGTGATAAGCTTGTCGCCGTGCATGGGACGACAAACGAAATTTAACGTATAAGCACACTACTGTAATAATAACCAGTTACCTAATGTTGCTAATTGCGATTATGGTTTTCGTTGAGTACCTTAAGTTGTGGCTGGAGTAGTCATTTCTGGTTTAATAATAGAATTGTCGGGGCAGGAATAATTCAGTTTAGTTACTATGATTATATTTCGAGCAAATATCAGTGTTACCATCGAGTTCATGAGGCGATAAACTCGTCATTCATCACGTTTTTAACTTGACAAGTTTAGTGAGAAGTGGAACATTAAACATGGATTAGCTCCCTCTATTATAATGTCTAAAATGATATAATATACAATTCACTGGTTGTTTGCAGAGGCAATGCTGTTTAATTCTTAATGCTGTTGTTTTTCTGGCTTTAATAGAGGGGAAAGAACTCCATTTACATGTAACACTAAACTACGGTAACTACTAAGGTAACACTAAACTACGTTTCGTTACTCCGAGAACTGTGAAAAGCATTACCCGCTTAATCTTCCTTGTCATGCTTAAAGTGGTTGTTAGGCTTATTCAAGCATTATGTTTTTAATTTTATTTTTTTAATATTTAAATGCATGCAATATATTTTAATCGATTTCAACCATTTTCATCACTTCTTCACGTTTTTAAATTCATATACATTAGTAAGTTTTAATATATGCATGTATGTCCGTATGCATAATATATTGGATCATAATATTTTTCGATTGTTATTATTTCAATAAAAATAAAAATTCCTCGCACCTCTAAGCCGTTGGGGTGGAACACGCCGCTGTGCGTCTGGTTGAGCTTGTCGAATTTGTGTATCTCCTTTCCGGTGTTGACGTCCCATAGAACTCCATCTGCGTAGAGAGAAGAAAGAAAATGAGAGAGGGAGAAGAGGCGGGGGGAGTGAGAGAGAGAGATTGGGAAGGCCAGGTAGCAGCTTCTGCTGTAATATGAATGGCCAGGCTTATCTGGACAAGAAAGTATTACTTATTACTTTACTTTACTTATTACATTTTGTTTATTGATTGAGGTCCTTTTGTTTCGCAGTAAAAAGGTTGTCAATGCATTTGTAACCCCAAGGGGATAGTAGACGTCCATGTGGCGATAGTCACATAATATCAGATGAACCGCCTGGGCGCTCTCAAACATAAAAATAAATTAACTTCTATATTTACTTAAGAGTTGATAGACGCAAATGACTAGAAGAGTGATGAATATTAATGTGGTTGGAGGGTGCAAAGCTAGAGGAAGAACGAGAAAGATCTGAATGGAGTCTGTGATATATCAGTGAAAAGGGTCGGTAAGTACTGAGATGACGGCTAATAGAGGAAAGTGGAAGGAAAGGATATGTTGTGCCAATCACACCTTGTGTGGGATAAGGGCAGGTGAGAGAAGAAGAAGAAGAAAGTTAATAGACGCAAAAGTAAGATCAACCAATATCATGTATGCCCAAAAGTGACAATGCAAACGGGATGCATTAATGAATGAACGGGCAGGCCTCGGCTGTTGCGCGAAGGGGCAGGCTCGCCCGGGTAAGTACCACGACCTCACAGAAGACCGGCGTAAAGTGGAAGTATAATACTTTCGCGTTTCGTCTGGTGAGCGAGGTAGCCGGAGCCCAATTCTCGAAAGGTTGTCGACGCTTCTGCAACCCTCGGGTGTAGCAGTTGTCCGTGGGCGGTGGTATTCACTTGACATCAGGTGAACCACCTGCTCGCTTGACGACTTTTCACATAAAAAAAAAAAACGGGCGACCGAACGGCATACCTGACAGCACCAGCTCGTCGGTGGGGTTGAAGGTGGCGCGGTTCTTGGCGTACTGGTTGCTGATGGCCGGCGTCAGGGTCATCAGCTCGCGGCCGGTGCGCGTGTCGAACACGGTCGCCGTCTCGCCCTTGGTGCCGATGATGCGCTCGTCCGACATCTTCGAGAACTCCACGTACTCCTCGTTGTCCAGCTGGAAACTGGGGTGGGGGGGGGGGGGGGGGGGGTGTTAGTCGTGGTTAAATATTAAAACGGGGTCCTATTACTAAGACTTCGCTGTCTGTCTGTCCGTCTGTCACCCGGCTGGATCTCATGAACCGTGATAGACAGTTGAAATTTTCACAGATGATGTTTTTCTGTTGCCGCTATAACAACAAATACTAAATATAGAATAAATAAATATTGAAGTGGTGCTCCCATACAACGGACATGATTTTTGATACAGAACCCGTCGTGCGCGAGTCCGACTCGCACTTGGCCGGTTTTTAGATTCACGGAAACGTGTAAACTATTATTATATATAGTTACAATATAGGAAAACTTTTTTATTGTGAATTTTTGTAGATAAATGAAGAAAAACTTTCGGCGCTGCGAGATGCTAACCACCGTCTTCCGGTTTTCCAGGTGCTTTACCAACTAAGCTCAGAGGCCGATGACCTCACGGCGCGAAAATCTCTCTCCGTCCCTTCTATTTCATTTTTATAAATACTTAGCGCCATCTAGTGTGCATCCTTGACAGCACACAGAACATTCAACGACGTACATTTGTTATGAGAGAAATCCCACAGCGCTTCAAGTTTATGTTCATTCATCTACATAAATTGACAACTTAAAATATAAATAAAATATAGGAAGAATCATACTGACAGCTGTTCAAACTCCTTCATATTCCAGAGCGCGGAGAGCGGTCGCCACGTGGTGGTGGCAGAAGCGAGCAGCAGAAGACCGTCTCTACTGGCCTGGAATAAGAAAGAATTGGTATTTTTTATAAAAGTTTGTCAAGGGAGCAGGCGGTTCGCATGATGTTAAGTGCCCAAAGACATACACAAGACGTGAGGAGTTGCAGATGCGTCAGCAACGTTATATAATGGGCAAAGCGCAAAACCATGAATAGCTATTTACTAACTAGTGCGGGGAATTACAAAGACCTTGCAGAACTTAAACTAGACGTTAAGTGAAAGATCAATCACTGTCTATCTATGTATCATTAGTATACAGCGTGGATTTTCCAAAGGTGCCCAAATTCACACAGGAAGTTCAGACTCGGTAGTATAATCGTTTATTGACATAAAAACAAACATTTTTTTTTTTCAAAAATATTGCCATTCCATTCCGTAAAAAACAGAACTTGTTGACAATGCGTAGTCACACATAAATGCGTCGTATACTTTTGAAACGAACTTGTGTGCGTGTTAGTTATGAATGATCGCGCGTAAAATAAATGAGTTGCCAATAAATCACGCACTTTTTGAAATAAGTTCAAATGAAGGTATTTAATTAATTACGAGTGATTTTAAATATTTCTTATTTTTTATATGACATTGTTTATGTCTAGAATTTAATAAAAAATGGATACACTTAAAAAAGCCTCTCTGTATATACTAGTATAGACTCTTAAAGGTCCATAAAGTGTATTAATTACAACATTTCGATGAAAAACTGCTATTATAACCACAACCACCTTGGACCACTTCAGTAAATAGTCGATTGTAACCTCTTTATTTCGACCTGTGCTGAATTAATCGAATATTCGATAATCGGAATATTTATATAAATTTTTCTAATTCTATATATGCAATACGAGCTATAAAGCATTTAGTACATATAATATTAATGGATAAAGTAAAGAATGCAAAAAGACATACGTATTCGTTTCTTATTTATTAAGTCTTTGTAAAATTGCATTTAAACGTGAGGATTATATTTATTGCAAAATAACATTTTTAGGTACCCCTATATAAACATATATTTTTTTTATTAAATTCTAGACATAAACAATGTTATATAAAAAAATGAGAAATATTTAAAATCACTCGTAATTAATTAAATACCTTCATTTGAACTTATCTCAAAAAGAGTGTGATTTATACGTAACTCATTTATTTTATGCACGATCATTCATAACTATCACGCACACAAGTTCGTGCACACAGTTAAATTTAGGTATTTCTGAATGAACCGCATTGTCAACAAGTTCTGTTTTTTAGGGAATAGAATGGCATTTTTTTTTTTTTTGGAAAAACAAACTTTATTTTTTATTTCAATAAAAGATTATACTACCGATTCTGAACCTCCTGTGTAAATTTGAGCACTTCTCAAAAAATCTCCGTGTATTGTTTTAAACTGTATATAGTATAGCTATAGGTCCGCCCATCCGCAGTGGGGCCGTGTGGTGGACTATGCCCTGATCTGTACAGAGGCCTTTGCCCAGCAGTGGGACATGTATAGGCTGTTACTTCACTTATACCTGAGACACAGTGAAATACTACATGGTTGCAAACCTAGTTGCAAGACGTAGAAAATCACGTGTCTATTTTCATAGGGGAACAATTGGACTCGTAGCGCGACTGACTTGCATATGGTATATATATGACTCGTGCACTTGGTACGAGCTCTCCTCGGCGCCGCTGAACAGGTTGAATATCCTGATGTCGCCTGAGGAGGTGGCAGCCAGGAGTTGCTGCTGCGTCGGCTGTGAAGATGAAGTGCCTATTAGTCTTTTTTTTTTAAACAATTACCCTTACTTTAGGATAACATTATCCTGTGATGTAGGGACGTTTTACAAAAATAAATTTCACGTGGACAAAAACCCAGATGCAAAACAACTATCTGTGGGTCACACAAATAGTTGTCCCGTGTGGGAATCGAACCCACGACCCCCGACGCTGCAGCCAATACCTTGGGCAACTGCACCACGGAGCCATCAAATAGTCGTTTGTTAGAAACCATTTTTATTAAGAAACGTGTGAGTGTACTTATGTATAAAGTTATACTTCTCTAGTTGTGTGTATTTATGCACGCAACTATTGCTTAAGCGTTACAATGGGATATTAATTTTATCTCGTGTGCCAGTGCTCTTTGTTCGTGAAGAGAAGACATTAATTGCAATTTGGTAATGGTTTAATAAAATAGCTTAGAATTACTAGGTCAATATCAAAAAGTTGTTATTGGTTGCTGTGGTAACACCTTGTCTCCGCGCGTTATCTTTCGCAAACGTCGTCCGAAGAAGTAATAACATCAAAAATAACCATTTTTTTTACTAACGTAAAACAAAACCGATCTGTATTAATTTTATAATTGATTTTCAGGAGTTCCCTAATTACCTCCGGAGCCCAAGATCCAATGCCGATGAAATTAATATGGGACCACGCGGGAAGCGCCAGCTTTCAAATAGAAAAAAAAAGATTCATCCAAATCGGTTCACCCAGTCAAAAGTTACGAGGTAACGAATATAAAAAAAATACAGTCGAATTGAGAACCTCCTCCTTTCGAAGTCGGTTAAAAATACAACAGAATTGAGAACCACACCTCCTTTCTTGAACTCTTGTTGGCTTTTACGGTGGCAACCATTTTACCGAGCAACAGTGTTCGCTGTTGCACGAATGGGCAGGTCCGTCCGGGTCAGTACCACGACCTCGCAGAAGACCGGCGTAAAGTAGAAGTGTTGCACTCCAGCGTTTCGTGTAGTGACTGAGGTGGCCGGGGCCAACATTACTAAGAGGTGGCAACGCATCTGCAACCCTGCGGGTGTTGCGAATGTCCATGTGCAGGCGGTTATCACTTAACATCAGGCGAACCGCCAGCTCGCTTGGCAGTTTCTCACATTAAAAAAAAAAAAAAAAACAAAAGCGGGCCGCACTCACGTGGAATATCGTGTGCGTGAAGAACGCGTCGTCGTCCTGCAGCCGGAGCGTGCGCACGGGCGCGAAGTGCGCGTGTATGAGGCGCGAGTGCGCGCGGCGCAGCGGCGGCGCGCCCAGCTCGCGGCGCACGACGCGCGCGCACACATTGTGCGCCTCGGGCCCGCGCGCGGCGAACGCCGACAGCGCGCCCAGCGACGCCGGCTCGGGGCACTTGTGCGGCCTGCGGGGTCTCTTAATTACAACGTTTTGTTTGGCTTTCGGCACGGAGGGTGCCCCAGGGAGACTTTATATCGCCTATGTTGTTCAATTGTTATTCTTACATTAAAGGGGTGCCCCAGGGCGACTTTATATCGCCCATGTTGTTAAACTGTTATTCTTACTTTAAAGTCGTAGCCAGTCATTATAGTTAGGGAACAAGTTTTCTATGTGGTCAAAGACTATTGACTTTGTGGTGTATCTGGACGCAATATTTCTAATACGCAAACAATAAACGCTAAAAGTAAGCACAAAAGCGACTCTACGTTTAAGATCAAAACAATGTCCGTAACGCGAAGCGACTCCTTTTATAATGCAAACATTTTTTTACAACGGTCAATGCGAAAGCGACCTTACGGCAATGGGAGCAATGGGTGCACTGTCCACTCACTCGAACAGGTTGAACTGGGGGCAGGTGACGACGGGGTTCTTGCATAGCGCGTGCTGGTTGTACAGGTACTCGGTGATGATCGAGTGGAGGGTGACGCGGGGCGGGGAGGGGGCGCGCTCGCCGCCGCAAGCGCTCAGCTGCTTCTGCAGCGAGCGCTTGTGCTCGGCCGGCGGCGCGCTCGACGACACGCTCTGCACCTTCCTGCGCAGGGAACAGGGTCGATTTTCGTATGAATTTAAAACAGCGATAGGGTTGTTGGGGGTAAACGGATCCCGGCCGTCGATAGCTACTCGAAACATGCTGTGCCGGCCTTTGAGGCAGGCTCACTTGTTGAAGGTCCCATAGTCGTTTCGGTCGGAAGTACAGATGATTCCAGAAAGTGGTTAGGGTTAATATTACATTTGGATGAAATGTAGTCGGCCCCATTCAGAAATTTTACTCTAGTCTCGACGGTCTATCTCAACGGTGGTAGGGCCACGCAGCAGCCTCGGCTGTTGCACGAATGGCCCGTCCGGGTAAGTACCACGTACAGATACCGGCGTTAAAAGTGGAAGTATGACAAATTTTTCGAAAGTCCAATTTTCAAAAGGTTGTCAACGCACTCAAACCCTCGGGTTAGCAGATGTCTATGGGCGGATTCACTTAACAACAAACCGTCTGTCACAACTATTTCTACAAGTTATTTCGAAAGTCTTCAAGGACTCAAACTTTTTACGGAAGAGCCAAAGTCAATATTTCTTTATTCCGTCTTGTTTTATGGTCTTATTGAACGTCAAATAGCTAACACCGGTTCATGTTAATTTAGACATGTACAGAGAAGACACCGTAAGAATTTTTTAATGAATAATATATATTTTGTAAAGTACAAAATTAGGCCAGGGGACTTTACAGCGCAGAGTAAGAATCATTATAACAGGCCCATACATTACAGCTTGCTACAAAATGATTGACAATGTTGAGCGTTAAAACGTTTATTTGCTGCAAAAGGCGCTGTAGTGACCCAAGTGGACCCAAACCGAAGAGTAGAATGTTTTAGTGTGTCTGACGACGACGGTGTGCTGTGATTTTTTAGGGTTCCGTACCCAAGGTGTAAAACGGAACCTAATGACTAAAACTCCGCTATCTGTCCGTCTGTCACCAGGCTGTCTGATAGTTAAGCAATTGAAATTCTCACAGATGAGGTATTTCTGTTGCCGCTATAAAAACAAATATTAAAAAACAGAATAAAATAATATTTAAGAGGGGCTCCCATCCACAAGCCATTTTTTTTGCCGTTTTTTATGTATATAATGGTACGGAACCCTTCGTGCGCGGGTCCGACTCGCACTTGGCCGTTTTTTTAATACATCTTCTATTTTACAACGATAGCAAAACAATAGGCAACGTACCTTAGTTTTATCACTGGCGGTAAGGGGCTGTCGTTGTCGATGGTCATGTTGTGGTGGTTGTGATCGGCGCTGTCGCGGTGGTGGGGGGTGCTGGACGTGCGGGACACGGAGAGCCGGGACTGTAAACAAAAACGGTGAGTTTTAGGTCAGCTGTCGCAAAAGTAATCCTATAGGGGCGACCATACGGTCCATTTTCACTGAAACAGCTTGAACTAAGTAAGACGACGACGTAGGCACTAAATGACATCGGCGTCGAATGTAACGCATAGCACGTTTGAACTTCTTCTCTCAAGGGGTCGGTTGGTCGAAAAGGGTCGTTTGCCCTAACTTTCTGTTGTAGGTAGCTCGGGAAAGTGGGCGGGTGTTGTTGGGGGAGACGATCGGCGGCGCTTTGGAGGCGTGTGCCAATACGAGTGGAAATTTGATAGACACAAGCTCAAGTTCTGCGTGTAGGTCCCTCAGAATGCCACTTGATTAGAGTGGAAAGGGCAAGGGTAAATGCATAATCCTTGAGGGACGACTTCGTTAAGAGAGTAGTGGAATGGTACGGTTCGAGAAAAAGACTCGGCAAAAATGGGGCAAACGAATCAAATCGAGAACGAGCAGCTTGTAAGTCAAGCTGGATTTATGTCCCCAAAATTGTGAGCGAAGTAAGCACCGAAAAGATATACAGCCGCGCGCGCGCGCACTTGGATCGGTGCTCTCACTCCGGTGGCCGTGTAGACAAATAGCGGGTATAGTTAGGCGCGCACTGGCGTAGGGGACTTGTTAGTGGGTTGGTACAGTCGGCCACGCACTGGGGCTGGTACACTCATCACTCATGGTACATGGCGCGCGCGCACTCGGGGCGGTACACTCACCCTGACGGGCGTGGAGGGCGTGTAGGCGGGTAGGTACAGTCGCGTGCTGACGGGCGTGTAAACCACCGGCGGGTACAGTCGCGTGCACACACTCAGAACGGCACACTCACCCTGACGGGCGTGGAGGGCGTGTAGGCGGGTAGGTACAGTCGCGTGCTGACGGGCGTGTAAACCACCGGCGGGTACAGTCGCGTGCACACACTCAGAACGGCACACTCACCCTGACGGGCGTGGAGGGCGTGTAGGCGGGTAGGTACAGTCGCGTGCTGACGGGCGTGTAAACCACCGGCGAGTACAGTCGCGTGCACATACTCAGGCGCTCTCGTGCAGCCCGCGCGCCGCCAGGTGCGCCGCCACCAGCTGCAGCAGCTGCCGCTCGTTGTAGTTGATGCGCGTCTGCGCCACCACGTTCGCCTTTTGATAGACAGATAGGATGCCACTTGTGTGTATGTTCTTTCACGTGACACATGCAAACATGCAGCAACGTTAAAAGCGTTTTCACATATATCCGCAGAAATTTTATAATATATTTTTTAGTTTAATAATATACGCATTTAAATTTTATATTAATCTCTGCACTTAGGCAGTGATATTAAAATGATTTGCGTTTAAGTTGATGAAAAGTTGGCAAGCGATCAATTAAATCACCTGATGTTAAGAAATTACTGCAGCCATGGAGATTTACAACCAATGACGGGTAGCAGATTCGTAACCAACAGTCAAAAAATGGGCCCCGGTACATAGCTTACCAGACTAATCGAGAGAATATAATACTTCCATTTCACGCCGCTCTTCTATGAGGCCTTGTTACTCCCCCGAATGAGCCATCACATTCGTGTAATAGCGGAAGCTGCTGCGTGGCCTAACCACAGTTTTGCTTCCAAACACACTCAACCTGTTAGGGACTAAACTGGCCCATATGCATTAACGTTGACGTCGAAGGGAGACGGACGTCTGTTTCTAGCGAGACGAGCGGGACGGTGAGCTGTAGCCGTCTCTATCACACTGTAGAAAGTGAACAGTTCATACCCGATGTATGTTCGCCAGCGACGTCTCGAACTCAGTGCCCATATGCTTGCTCTTCCCCGAGACTCGTTCCAGCAGCTCCAGAGCGTACTTCTGGAACATCACGTGCTCCTGCCTCTTCTCCTGTAGGATGGGGTCACGCATCAACGCTGAAAACAGTGAGAAAGAGAGTTCAACTTTTCATTAATCTCATTTAATTCTTGTTTTATTTATATTAAAAATGACCCTAAATTGTTTTTCTTTTTCTTAAATTAAATTTATTTTATTATATATTAAATCAATACCTGAAATCTGTAATACAGTACACAGTTCATAATTGACCTTAACAATACACTAGTTATTGAAATGTCATTTGACGAAGATTTTCTTTTATTTATTTTACGGTGTGGCAGTATTTCCCTGATACAGCGCCGGGCTTACACTGTATGATAAATGAATTGTGGACAAGAAGTTGGGTAGTAAGTTTCATTGCCAATACCTGTACAACAAGCAATTATAATACCGCAATGCGATCCTGCCAGGATTCGAACCCGGAATCTCCTGATACATAATTTGTGTGATTTTTCGGTGTGGCGGTCTTTCGTCAGACGGTTCACCTGAGGTTAAGTGAATACCGCCGCCCATGGACGTCTGCTACGCCCGAGGGTAGCGGATGCGTTGACGGCCTTTTAAAAATCGGGCTCCGGCTACCTCACTCACCAGACGAAACGCGAAATTATTGTACTTCCACTTTACGCCGGCCCTCTGTGAGGTCTTCCTTCGATCCGCCACTACTCACACTGTATCTGCGATGTGGTGAAGAGCGGCAGCTTGGAGATGATCTGCCGCACGGTGGGGCATCGGGCCAGGCCGGCCAGAGCGCGGCACGCCAGGCCCCGCAGCCGGTCGGCGTCCGTTATGGGCGCCTTCACCAGCATCAGCGAAAGCAGCACCTTAGAAAATAAAAAAGTGAATAAAAAATAAAAAAGTGAAAGGCAAACGAGCTTGCGGTTCATCTGATGTTAAGTGGCGCCAGCCGCCCATGGACGTTTGCAACACTTCGTAAGGCTGCAAATGCGTCGCCACCTTTAAATAAAGTGGGCCCCGACTACCTCACTCACCAGACGAAACGCAGAAGTGTAACACTTCTACTTTACGCCGACGTTCAGTAACGGACCTGCCCATTCGTGCAACAGTGAACACTGTTGCGTGGCCCTACCACAGTTAAAGCACCTGCGGACGCACGGTGAGGCAAAAGAAAAATTAATTTTCTTTTCTTTCTTGTATCGCATGTAGTATTACGGAGCTAATGTAAAATACCTATCGCCAATAACCAAATATACGGATAGATAGAATATTTCTACATTTTAATGTGAAAATATGTGTATATTTATAAGTAGTTTATTTTTATATAATTTTGTATTTAAAGTATTTGTTACTATTTTGGTTGATTATTTTACATTTTAATTTTAGTAAGTTTTATAATTGCACCTGCCTAAAGATGTCACCACACCATAGGTTGACTGGCAGAGAATACCTTGAGGCATTATGTCCGCCTAATGTGTTCCGTATTAAAGGAAATGCAATAAAGACTAAATAAATAAATAAATAAATATTGAAACCGACCGAAAACCTATTTAAGGAAACCGAGAGTAATTTAGCAGTAGAGTAGTTTACCATAATTCCGTTGTTCGTGCGAACGCTCTCCCACACTTTCTGTATCACGTCCTCGCACGATTTCAGCGTGGTCTTCTTCTTGCTGGAGCCGGTCATGGAGAAGCGAGTGGTCGAGGTGCCCGCCTGCGAATATAAAGGCGTTAGTGACAGTCACAAACCCGAAAAGTTTTTGAACAACACTACTAATTTTAATTTAAAATGTGATTCTATACTATATTTAGCACTCTTGTTTAACACTTTTTCCGTTCCAGATGTTTGTGATCGTCAGTGAACGGAAACTAGTCAATGTTTGGAATGATTGCTACATTGAAAGTAGTTGTATTATAGTGTACCTATTTTGTGAGTGAGTCGATGAGTGAATGAGTGACTGAGTGTGAATTTGTGCGGTTTTCGTGAGGGGCCTATAACTTGGAAATATCAGAAATATCAGCTAACTAAAATTGAAAACTAACAAGAGATATTTGCTATTGAAACGAACTTAGAACATTTGCACATTAAGCCAGCCAGACCGCATGACAAACTGATTAACATTAATTTGCCATATAAGACGGCCATTCGATGATTTTGACGTAGAGCCCCGACCTTCTTAGGACCTCAAAAGTAATTTGGCATCACAAATGTTAGCGACCGACCGACGGATGTCTTTATTGCGAACTCTATCACGCAGAGAAACACCGAGCATAGCCCGCTGAGCGACTTTGAGCTTCACCAGTCTATGGGCGAGGCCTATGTTCAGCAGTGGACTCAAACAGGCTAAAATGATGATGGTGATGACGATGGTGATGGTGATGATGGTGATGGTGATGGTGGTGACGACGACCGTCCAACGTACCCTGTGAACTGGCGCGCAGACGCAGTTGACGAGCACGTTGAGGGCGGCCTTCTGCACCTCTGGCTCCGGCACTATCTCGCCGTCGGCGGCGCCTGCGAAACGTTCCGAATGCACGATCAGAGAAAGAGACGTAGATAGAGAAGAAGAGATAGGTAGAAAGATATACAGTAGAGTCCAAGTAAGTCTTCGTCCATAACTGCTCACCGTTTTCAGCGACGAAAATGCGGACTCAAGTTTGGTTTCTCAAATATGTTTATTCAATAGACGCATTACTTATTTATTGATTGTTAAAAACACTACTACCGGGTCGGAAAAAAAGCCACTGACCTAAGAAGAAGCGGCGAAGGCGGAAACTTTTATATATATATCATCATCATCATCATCATTTCAGCCTGTTTGAGTCCACTGCTGAACATAGGCCTCCCCGACATAGCTCAGAGGATTAGCAAGCTGAAGTGGCGATGGGCCGGCCATATAGCTCGTAGAACCGATAACCGTTGGGGAAGAAAGGTTCTCGAGTGGCAGCCTCGTACTGGCCATCGCAGTGTAGGACGACCCCCCACTAGATGGAGTGACGACCTGTGCAAATGTGCGGGAAGTCGATGGATGCAGGTGGCTCAGGATCGTACTTCATGGCAGTCTATGGGGGAGGCCTATGTTTAGCAGTGGACTCAAACAGGCTGAAATGATGATGATGATGATGATGATGATGATGATGATGATATACGATGACTCCGTGGCGCAGTTGCCAAGGTATTGGCTTCGGCGTCGGGGGTCGTGGGTTCGATCCCCACACGGGACCACTCTTTGTTTGACCCACAGATAGTTGTTTCGTATCTAGGTGTTTGTCCGCGTGAAATTTATGTTTGTAAAAACGTCCTTACAACACAGGATAACGTTATAATAAAGTAAGGGCAATATCTTAAAAAAAAAAAAAACAGAAAAAAAAGATATAGACGTACTATAAACATGTATCCATAGTATGACTCCTGTTTAAGAGATCAACTGCTTATAGCGATCTTTTTTGTCACCAATCGTTCGTTTAGAACGCACGCGCAGTGTTTTGTTTCTCGCGTGATTTAATTCAAGCAACCCACTCGAGCAACCCGAGTTCAAGTCCCGGCGACAGGTCCATAAAATTGTCAATCTTAATTGCTGCTTTATCACATGCTCAGCGGTGAAGGAAAATGTCATTATCAAACCTGCATATTTTAGAAATAAACAAAAAAATATTTAGACGACATGTTAAGTCCGCCAATTCGAAGTGGGGTCGCTTGGTGGACTATGCCCTAATACCCTCTGTGCAGAGGTGGCCTTTGCCGATCGCGGCGAGATGACGATCGTGGCGAGATGACGATCACGGAGAGATGAAGATCACGGAGAGATGATGCAACCCACCCAGCACGATGTTGACTCCAGTTGTGAGATCCGCGTCCCGCATGTCGATCTTCTCGGTGAGCAGCAACTGCACCTTCGGGGCGACGCAGCACACCGATATCACGTCCAGAGCCGAGCGAACGGTCTCCGCTCTGAAATGGGAAATTCATCATCAGCATCGACGGATCGCATTTAAGAGATATTCTAATAATTGAATTGCTTTGTCCGTGGAAATGTATGGAAATTTCATTTTGTAAGTCAATGGGCGGCGGTGTTAAATCACGTTGATAATAGTAAGGAATAAAAGAAAGTAAAGAAAAACAACAGCGGTCCTACATAAAACGCGAAAAAAACGATGTAGATAAAATACGTTTAAGACTTTTTTGTCGGTGTGGCAATCAGCCGCTTAATTGAGTAGTTAAAGCGTCCGGGCGCGTCCGGAAGACGTGGGTTCGATTCCCGTAGCGGCGAAAAACTTTTCGTCGATTTTTTTCAAAACTCTGATGCTGGTGAAGGCACTCATAACGGACGCAGACGTTATACAGTCCCAAACAAAATAAAGTAGAGATTTTATGGAATCTATTTAACAGATAAACATGTTAAAATATGATTGACGAGAGCTTTTCGCAATTTTTTCTACAAATTCCACCGGTCCAGCATTTAACTCCGGGCGGTCTATTCTAATGTACTCTTCGTAAGCGCATGCGTCCATCGATATATTTTACAAATACCATCCAGAGGTTTGCAACTCGCGGACCGCATACATCCATCGACCTATTTTACAAATACCATCCAGAGGTTGGCAACCCGTAACTCGCGGTCCGCAAGCATCCATCGATCCATTGTGCAAATACCATCCAGAGGTTAGCAACCCGCGACTCACGGTCCGCAAGCATCCATCGATCGATTTTGCAAATACCATCCAGAGGTTAGCAACCCGCGACTCGCGGTCCGCAAGCATCCATCGATCCATTTTGCAAATACCATCCAGAGGTTAGCAACCCGCGACTCGCGGTCCGCAAGCATCCATCGATCCATTTTGCAAATACCATCCAGAGGTTAGCAACCCGCGACTCAAGGTCCGCAAGCATCCATCGATCGATTTTGCAAATACCATCCAGAGGTTAGCAACCCGCGACTCACGGTCCGCAAGCATCCATCGATCGATTTTGCAAATACCATCCAGAGGTTAGCAACCCGCGACTCGCGGTCCGCAAGCATCCATCGATCCATTTTGCAAATACAATGCAGAGCTTAGCAACTCGCGTTCCGCAAGCATCCATCGATCCTTATACAAAATACCAACCAGAGGTTGGCAACTTTCGGTCCATTCTACAACAGCCGCGGTTAACGCTCAGCCGTCGAGCGGGTAACGGCCGGCGGTACGTTCTACAATACCTGCCGTTAAAGTTCCACTCGTACGCGTAGCCGACCACCTGGAGCAGCAGCGCCACGCCGCCCAGCTCCAGCAGCTCGTCCACCGGCGCCCAGCGGGACCAGGCCACGCTCTGCAGCAGCTCGATCTGCTCCTGGATCTCCTCCGGCGAGGACTTCGACGCCTGTAAGGGTAAATTGGATAACTAGCTCGCTGGCTTTTAATGCTTTCGAGAATACTATTTTCCTCAACAAGTGAACTGTATAATGATTTTTTTTAAATGGGCATGTATATTTTTTTTACGTGGCAAGCGAGATAGTGGTTCACCTGATGTTAAGTGATAACCGCCGCCCGTTGACATTTGCAACTTGAATGTGCTGCCAGCTTGTAATAAAGTAGGCTCTGGCTATCTCGCTCATGTCTCACCATACGAAACGCAGAAGTGTAACATTTCCAGTTCACGCCGGTTTTCTATTAGGTCGTGTTACTTCCCCGAACGGACCTGCCCATTCGTGTAACAACGAAAACTGTTGCTTGGCCCTACCACAGTAAAATCAAATAAAAAATACAATGGTGCCCAATGATGTTTTAATAAATTTGGCGCGTGTCCATTCTGTCAGGCGTTTAAAAATTGTGCCGCTTCACATTATATGACACATATAAGTGAATGTGACAGATGATAAAGAAATTTATGATAGGGAAAGAGATAGCTGTCTAAAAAGTAGCAATCTACACTACTTGGCGTAATTTGTGCGTCAGTTTGATTGCGCTAGTGTCATATGTACTTGGTATTTGTATATAATATCATCGGTGGTGGCCCCTTTACCTTGTAGGGCGGAGGTTCGGGAACATTGTCGCCCTGCTGCCTCGCCACCTGAGCGGCCCTCAGCCTCAAGTGCGCCTCCAAGTACCTACGGACGAGATGCATTTAATGGACAGTAATTAATAGTACTGACATAGATAATACCGACACACGAAAGAGCGGGATGGCAATAGTTAGCGAATAATTTAGGCTGTAGTGAAAAATTTAATTGTGGTTAGAATTATTTTTAGACATGAAGGGACATTATGTGATCAGATTGCTATCTGAGCACAAACAGCTTCGAACTTTACATTCCGGGCTATGACGTCGCAAGCAGTGACGTCATCGCCAGAACTGCTTTACACGTTTCTTTATAAGAGGCTAAAGTTGCAAGTCAACTTAGCTCTTCCCGTTGAGGGCCCTTTTTTATATAAAAAGATGACAAACAAGCAGTTGGTCCACTTGATGTTAAAACCGCCACCCGTATACGTATACAACACCCGAGAGGCTGTAGATGCACTGCCAATCTTTTAAAAGTCAGCCCCGACTACCTCAGTCAACAGACGAAACGGCGGTCCTTTGAGACCGTGGTGCTTCCCCGGACGAGCCCACCCGTTCGTGCTGCGAAGTCTACATTCGGGCTTTTTGCTAACTTTGCCCTTACCATGTAGGATAAAATTATCCTACGTGGTAAGGACGTTTTACATACATGAATTTCACCTGGATAAATACCCAGATCTAAAACAAAACATCTGTGGGTAACACAAATAGCTGTCCCGTGTGGGAGTCGAACCCACGAACCCAAGGTCGTCAGTCATTCTGCGTGCGGTGGATTCGCAAGCCGTGACGTCACCGCCTCTAGAAACTAGGGAGGGTCACACAGCAGCCTCCGCTGTTGCACGAATGGGCAGGCTCGTCCAGGTAAGTACAACGAACAGTAAAGTGGAAGTATAATACTTTCGCGTTCCGTCCGGTGAGTGAGTTGGCCGGAGCCCAATTTTCAAAAGGTTCTCAACGCATATGCAACCCTCGGGTGTAGCGGATGTGCATGGGCGGCGGTATTCACCTAACATCAGGTGAAACGCCCGCTCGCTTGGCAATTTGTCACATAAAAAAAATACGCCGCGGTCGCGCGTGGTGCATTCGCGCCGTGACGTCACCGCCGCCCGGTATCGCCGCAGCCGCACGGTGAATTCGCAAGGAGTGACGTCACCGCCCCCACCTGCGCAGCGCGACGCACACGTGGCGCACGATCTGGCGCGCGGCGCACGTCTCGTCCTCGGACACGCGCGACTCCTCGTCGTCGGAGCCGAGGATAGGGAGCGTCGAGATCACGTTGTACAGCTTGCGCAGCCCGTCCTGTAAATGGACAGAAGACAACGGTCATTGTCAACAGCAGCTGTTGACCTTAATGGCGTAATTTAATGGGTAGTGTGCCTGCCTCCTGCGTCAGAGGGCCTGGGTACGATCCCCGCTACTGGGAAAATATTGTGTGATGGACATAGTGTTTTTCTAGTGTATGTGTGTTTATACATGTATAATATGTATGTATTTATTTACAAAAGAAAAGTATGTTTAAGTACCTTTATCAGTTATCTAGTACCCATAGTACAAGTATTGCTTATTTGGGACTAGAATTAGACAAGAATTTAGATGTTGTGTCCCAAAAAAAATTGGGTAAAAATTTATAATGTAGTTGTTGCTCTAAATGGCTGTAGAATTAGGTAGGAGTGTAATTTTTTCGCAGCACCTTCCGAATAACGCCGAAACGCTCTATCCACTAAGCTAAGCCTTCGATATCCTCACCGCGCGAAATCTAGACGTCTTGTCGTGACATTTATTGCATTTTTAGCAATGTTCTAATTTTCCTATATGGCAAAAACGCAAACAAAATTTTGAAAGTTAATGGAGAATACAATTAAACACCTTTCATAATATCATTTCTACGGACGATATATAAAGATTAACCTAAACAACAGGATCAGTGTAGTATACCGTAGTAGCTGCGGATTGGCGGACTTCACATATTTCCAACATATTTTTTTTTATTATTTAAAATTAGCAATTTCATCGGTGTGGCACCGGGGGTCGAACTCGGGTTGCTCGAAATGTAACTAAACGCGAGTGCCCAGACACTGAACTATCCGGGCTCTTATAAGAGGTGGAAGGTGTCTATGTATTATACTCGCCTGGTGGTCGAACTCCTCGAGGATGACGCGGAACTGGAACGAGAGGCCGAAGAACATGGTCGCGTGGCAGCGGCCCGAGTCGTGGGAGCACTCCAGCAGCCACAGGGCGTACCTGCAATTTTTTTTATGTGAAAAAATGGCAAACGATGCTAAGTGATAACCGCCACCCATGGACATTTGCAACACACATTTATATCACAGACATTTATACGTCTTTTGGCGCGTTTGAGGAAAATGCGGAGTGGATTTCTGGTGTTGTCACGGCAACCGGTAATAACTTTTTGACATTTGCCAATAATTACAAGTTAGCTAATTAAACCACATCCATTACATTTAATATCTTTTTTTTTTCAAAACCAAAAAGTTCTGGCACACTGGATAAAATATTTATTTATTTTTCTTTTGTTACACTAAAGAAATAGAAATTCTTGCGTGGGTACATAAGTACACACAAGTTTTTTTTTTAATAATAGCCACATGTAACATTATTCCATGTTGTATAAGCGTGTTTTGAATTTGTACTTGTTTTGGGTTGTTAGAGGAAAAATGTTGCTAGTGCAAAAGGAAATTAACACCATATAGTAAGTATCTGTTAAGATGAAAAAGTTATTACGGTTTTACGAACTTTTAGTCTTTTTTAACTTAACGACCAAAGTATCTTATTCTAATTATGAGTGCAAATGTCGTTCAATTTCATTGTATATTATAATAGATTAATATTTGACTATAGAAGATTTTTACATAAGCTTTCAATTATGTAGAGAAGCCAAAAATGACGTGAGTAATCTGAATAGCTTTTTTAGTTTTTTATGTATGCGAATGGGGGAGCGGGGTCTTCAAAAGATGCCACCATGAGGAAAGCCAGGATTATCAGTGTCATACTCACTAAAGCCCTTAGTGGTCACCTTCAGTACAGTAAGTACGTACGTATGCGCTCGTACACTTGTACGCGTGTGTGCGTGCGCGTTCAAGTGTCCGTGTGTAAGTGCGCGTTCAAGTGTGCGTGTGTACGTGCGCGTTCAAGTGTGCGTATGTACGTGCGCGTTCAAGTGTGCGTGTGTACGTGCGCGTCACTCACTTGACTAGATCGGCGAGCGTTGCGCGCGGCAGAAGGCAGACCCTCTCCATCGCGTCCTCGCAGTAGGCGAGGTAGTACAGGCAGATCGAGACGCCCGTCGCGGCGACGGACGGTCGAGGCACCTCCAGAAACTTCTGCAAGGAGAACGTTACATTAGTAAGGGACATTCTCCGCCGAAACGAAGGCTATATAGCACGTTCTGTCCTTATATCGGCACAACAAGTGAAATGATATTGGCTAGGTATTTTACGATCTGCTGTCTGCCTGACGTAAACCTATCTCCCATCCCATCTCCGTTACACAAACACTTGTCTCGCGTAGGAATCGAACCTTTTTTTTTTTATTAACTGATGTTTTTGCTTTCAGTCCCGAGACTATTAAAGCTTCATCTGACGCAGAACCGGTGGGCTAGCCAGAACCCACGGGTTTGGGCCCTCCGCTGTGGGTAGGGCCGCGCATGTGCTCATGCGTGCGTTTAACTACGACATGTCATCTAAGGGCCATCGAAGTTGCGGTGCGGACCGAGACCCCGATGGCCGTCGACTGTGTTTTTAGCTAATCGGTGGCTGCGGGCGGTGAGAACCGCCCTGGAACGCGGGTGTACCTTGTGTACGCATTGTGTTGGTCTCGCCGTGCTCGGAGGCGAGGGCGAACTACTGTGTTTGTTGGTACACTAGCTGTGGGTGTAGTGTTATCCGGCGGGACCCCCGGCGGTGGGTCCGGCGTATCTAAGTCCCCTTCCTCGACCGGGTCGATGAGGACATTTCGCGGGCGACGCTTGTTGACGTTCGCGCTTGTGTCGCGTTGGTAATTTGCTGCGCTTACCACCAGAGGGTTGGGGTGATGTTCGGCTCTATCGAAAAACCGTTTTGTCCGATCTTTGAAATATTCGCGAATCGTCGGGAGTCTGCAATCGCTGTGCAGATCGACGTTGCGTTGATACCACTGCGCACCGGTTGCACGGCGGATGAACTTATTTTGTACTATTTGCAGCTTGTACAAGCGAGTAGGGTGCGTGTGGGCGAAGATCATGCATGCGTAGGACATAATAGGTCGTACGCAGGTCTTATATAATAATAATTTGTGCCTTAAGGGCATTTTACTTTTAGCGTTAGTTAAATTGTGTAGCCGGCCGGAGACGAACGCGGCTCTATTGCTAACGTTATTAATGTGCGTAGTAAATGACATACGCGAGTCGAAAGTGACTCCTAAGTATTTGACCTTTTTCTCCCAGGGGAGCGGTTGGCCATAAAGGGATATTTGCCCCAACTTTCTGCATTGGCGAGGGCCATTATAAAGATGTGACGGGTAAGTACTTCGTGTGAAGTGAATCGCCACACTTTTTTCGGGATTTATTTCTATTCTCCATTTGCGGAACCAATCGCCGAGGCGGTCGGCGGCGCCTTGGAGTCGAGTGGTTAGTATTCTAAGGTTGCGGTCTGAATAAAAGAGCGCGGTGTCATCTGCGAAAAGCGCGAGATTGACGTGGGGGTCTTTGGGTATGTCGCTCGTGTAGAGCGTAAAGAGCAAAGGTGAGAGGCAGGAGCCTTGTGGTACGCCGGCCGTGAGGCGGCGGCTTGTGGAGAGGGTGCCCTCGACTCGATATCGAAAAGAGCGATTCAACAAAAAGGCCCGGATGGTGTGTACGAGCCTATCTGGCACTTTGAGTGTGTACAGCTTGTAAAGCAAGCCGTTGTGCCAGACCTTGTCGAATGCCTTTGCGACATCGAAGAAAAGAGCCCCTGTACTGATATGTTTCGGGTGGTTTAGGCCTTTTAGGATGTGCTCCGTTAGGCGGTATAACTGGTCGGGACAAGAGTGTCTAGCTCGAAAGCCGAATTGTTCCGTGGGCAGAAGGCCGTTGGAAAATACGTGCTCTTTGAGCCTGTTTAATAAGAGCCGCTCGTAGAGCTTCCCCAGGCAACTGAGGAGGCTGATGGGACGATAGCTAGAGGGCTGGTTGGCTGGTTTATTTCGGCTTGCGAATGCCGATAACCGTGGCTTGTTTCCAGTCGTCCGGAAAGGAGCAACTGGAGAGTAGAGTGTTGAAAATGGTCGCCAGTAAACAGATAAAGCGGCCCAGGGAGAGCTTTGAGAATTTTGTTACTGATCTTATCTGGGCCCGGGGCGGATTTCGGTTTTAAATTTTTAATAATATCTTGGACCTCTTCGGGGGTCACTGAACTTAAAGGATCGCCTTCCGGTGGAAGCGCAGCCCTAGTCTCGATTACACGGTCCACCTCCGTTAGGTGGACTGTATCGGTGTGTTCGCGCGATGGCGTACATTGCTGCTCTAGGTTGGCCGCAAGGCATTCGGCTTTTTCGGAATCATCTAGGGCTACTGAAGCGCTGTTAGGTCTAATTAATGGCGGTAGAGATTCGCGGGGGTCTGCTTTCAGACTGCGGGCCAACCGCCAGTAGGCGGTGTGCGATGGCTCGATGTCCCCTAGGAGATTGTCCCACGTTGTATGTCGGTGTTCCGATACACGATCTTTGACTTCTAGCTGAAGGCGTCGAAGTAGGGCTCGGTTCGATTCCGATCGGTATCGGTCGAAGGCGCGTTTGGCTGCATTTTTCGCCAGTCCACTACGGATTTGGTCGGAGGGACCGCGCCGGCGTTCTGGCCCAGTTTACACAGGACGGGCCTGTGATCTGAATCTAGTTCGTGGATTGTCTCTATCGACTCGATGTCGAGCGAGACCTCCTTGAATAACATGATATCTAGGATACTCGGTGTCGCATGTTGGTAGTTGTCCACCGTAGGATACCTAGTGGGAGTCGCAGGAGCGATTAAGCTAAAGTTTAAATTATCGGATAAGCTAAAGAGATGCTTTCCATTGTTATTTGGGATGCTGTGGATGTCCCATGAACCGTGTTTGCAGTTTAGATCTCCTGCAATTATCACGGAAGGGCCTAAGTTGAGTAGCGTAACTAGGTCGCTTTGTAATAAGGTTTTGTTCCCCGAGAGGTAGGCTGAGACTAGTACAAGCGGCCTGTGGCCGGTGAGCGCTAACCTACACGCGGATGCCTCTATTTGACTTAGCTCTGGAATGTCGAGCGGGCAACAGTGCAAGGACCGTTTATAATAAATTAATGTGCCTCCCAGACGGTTTGCTAACCGGTCGTGGCGGACAATATTGTAATTTGCGATTCTGGGATCGCGTACACTAGGTTTCAAGAATGTCTCTTGCACTAGAAAAATATCTACGTTATAATCGCGAAGGAATTCCGCGATTTCGTCCCTTTGACCCTTTATGCCGTTTGCGTTGAAACACGAAATAACCAGAGCCCGAGGTTTTGTTCTACCTGCGGTTGTACTTCCCATTAAGGTGTTTTTATGGGTCTAATTAACGACGCGGCGGAGCGCGGTTTTATTATACGGACTATTGTCTTTTACGGTTGGCTCGTAAAAGCCCAAAGGGCTTCCACAAGCGTTTTATGTTGGCTAATTGCCCTAAGACGCTCGTGGCCAGATGTGGCGGCCGCTATTTTAGCGGACAATACGGCGAGTTCCTGCCTATTGATCCTATCTAATAAGCTGCAAATATTAGCGATTTGCGCGAATGGGTCGTCCTTGTTTTCCGCGAAAACTGACGGAGTTGGCTGCACCTGCGGCCGCGGCGCCGTTTGACAGGCGGGCAGCTGTTAACAGCGGTTACCGGCGCGGTTACCTGCGCGGCCACCTGGGGTTTCGTCCAGGCGTTTGGTGACGGGTACGGGTACGGGCGCGGGAATGAATCTAACGGGCGCGGGTTTGGGCAATGTCGATTTCGCGGGAGATTTCCTCGCGGGAGTTTTTGGGGCCTTAGCGCAGCCTCTGTAGCTAGCCGGATGGCCGGTGGCGTTACAGTTTACGCAGTCCGGTGGATGTGCGCAATCTTTCGGCCGCGTGCACGCGGTAGTGCCGTGGTCACCGGTGCATTTGACGCACCTTGGGTGAGCGAAGCAGTTATTGGCCGTGTGGCCAAAATGCTGACAGTTGTGGCACTGTGCCACAACACCTGACTTACGCGGGGGCTCGATGACTAAGTCACTGAGCCCACAGACCCTCTTCAGGTTGAAGATGGCCTTACCTTCCGGGGTAGGGTCAAGTTCAACCATCACCATGTCCATAGGGACACGGGTTCTGGGGTGTCTGAGGCGTCGGACAGCATGCACAGGGTATCCCTGAGTGCGGATGTCGGTTTTCGCCTTGTCGACATCCGACTCTTTGGGGACGCCCTTGATAACTATCCGAAGCTTGCGTTCTTCGGGCAACGAGTAGGTGTGAAAACCTATCTTATTTTCGCGCAAGTATTTCGTTACGCGGCGGAAATCGTCCGCTGTGTCAAGGTATACGCGGATACCCATTTGTGTATTTTTCGACCGGGGGTCGCGGATATTGTGGCGTTCAAACCACGAACAAATTTGGTGTCACTTAGCCTTCTCCTGAATGATGATGGGTGGAGGAGGCTTTATTTTTCGCTCGGAGGCGAATTCGGGCATCGGATTAGCCGCCGCGGCCGCCTTTTTAGCGGGCGTCGCGGTTGGACGAATCGTTGAGGCGGCCTCGCATTCGGGGTCGCTGTCGGTAGCGGGGGGCGTTTCTTGCCCTTTTTACGCGATTTAACGACGGTGAAGCCGTCGGCGTTCGCGTTTTCAGCGGGGGTCGTTTCGACCTCCATGTCCGATCCACCGTCCGATTGTGAGTCGGGTACGACGGAGCGAAAAGAGGTCGGGTTTGGTTGCACGGAAGGTGCTATGGGCAGGTTCGCGTTAGTGGATGCCGACGCGACGGGGGCTTCTAAGGTCGCGGAGGGCGACGGGGTAACGGACGCAGACGGCGCGGGCAATGGCGGCGGCGCGAGTTCAGCTACTTGCCTATGCTCGGCTGCATAGGCAAGATAAAGTTCCCACATAGCGGGGCATTCTCTGCGTACGATCTCCTCGAAAAGGGAGCCCATCGCGACGTAAGGGCCTTTGGGGCTTGTAGCCCCGCCGGCGTGTGTGAGCTAAATAAGCCTCCCCACCTAGCGGCAGGGAGGAGTGTGCCTTAAAATAACAGCTAATTTGCCTGCGCTTTAGGTGCGCTAGGGTGGGTACCTAGCTGTCGCCTATTGCAACAAGCACACAGTAAATAATAATAAATGAAACAATGCCACCTCTGAGGCGAGAAGTGTGTGTAGGATTCTACTTACAAAACAGGAACCTGCCTACGAGCACAACACTACACTAACACTAATCTACTGCACTATTTGCACAAGATTTAAATTGCAACCGAGGTTGCGAGTGGCGTCTAATTCGGGTGGCATGTGCCCTCCGTCTTAGAGAGACGTCCGTTCCGTACGAGAGCACGAAGCGGGGAATCGAACCTCGAACCCCCGAAGCCGAAGCCGTATACACAGGCGATGTAGCTATCTATTAGAAAAACAAGGAACACACAAAAAAAATACACGCAACATGACATGAAGAAGTCATCAGCATCATCCGATCTGGGAGATGCAGCGTTCCAAAAATCAAGACTTTAATTTTAAATTAAACACAATAAAATCCACAAGTATAACTTTAGTAAAATTGCCACTTTAGTTTATACATATAAAAATAAATAAGTTTTCACGCCTTTTAACCGACTTTAAAAGGAGGAGGTTATCAATTCGGATGTTTTTTATTTTTTTACGAGTCACTTATATAGGACGTAATAAAGTCTCTGTACATAATGAAAGACTCAGAAAGATAGATTACTCCACCTTCACCGCCAACTTCAATTTTATATAACTTATAAATAGACTGCATAGAAAATACTTTGGTACATACAAAACACAAAACATTGTTATAAGGTCATATGAAATAGGCATAGAGTGTGGAAAACATACATGCAAATCATAATTATCACATTGTGTTTTACATTAACTCGTTTATTTTACCGGATTCATTTCAGAGGTGACCGTAAAATTAATACCATGAATTGAAATTTTTCTATCTACCCTTTTAAATTGAGTCATGTGACTTTTTTTAAACAACTATCCGTGGGTCACACAAACAGGGAATCCCTCCTGTCCCTAGATCCAAGGGAAGCACCAGCTTTCAAATAAAAAGAGAATCACCAAAATTGGTCCACTCAATCGAAACTTCTAAGGTAACAAACATAAAAAAAAAAAACATACTCGAATCGACCACTTCTGTTTTTGAAGTCGGCTGAAGGAAGGGAATAATAATAATAATAATAAAATATCTTTATTCACATAGACGCTTGCGCGTTCTTATGAAACGTCGAAATTTTACAAGGAAATTAATTAATATGTTCGTAAGTTACCACCAGTTCGGAAAGCAGTTTCTGCTGAGAAGAAACCGGCAAGAAACTCAACAGTTGCTCTTTTTTTAAAAGGTCAGTTTACAATATAATGTTACAGGTATAATAGTCTTGTTTTAGCCTACGTGAGTATCAACAGTATTAACCCCACACATTGGCGTCGTCAAGATATTCAGCAATAGTATAGTAGGTATGCTTTAGCCATAAGTTTACTTTTAACTTTTCGTTTAAATTCATCAAGTGGCAGACTTAATATCGACTGTGGGATTTTATTATACATGCGCACACTTTGCCCCACGAACGACCTGTTTACTTTTTGTACACGAAACAATGGCGTAGAACAAATAGACCGTGTCACCTGCAAACCGCCCATGTTGATGAAGTCTATCGAGAACTTCTTGTGGCAGAGGAGCGCAGCGAGGTACTTTAGGGCCTCGAAGGCCAGCCTCGAGTCCCTGGACTCGCGCACGTTCAGGTAGCCCAGGATCAGGCCCAGGGCGTTCTGCTCGAACACGTGCGACAGGAACTGTGGACATTTTTTTTTGGGTGAGACAGTGGCCAACGAGCTGGCGGTTCACCTGACGTTAAGTGATAAAAGCCGCCCGTGGACATTTACAACAACCGTAGGGTTGATGCGTCGCCACCTTTAAATAAAGTGGGCCCCGGCTGCCTCACTCACCAGACGAAACGCAGAAGTGTAACACTTCTACTTTACGCCGGTCTTCTGTGAGGTCGTGGTACTACTCCGAACGGACCTGCCCATTCGCATTGCAACAGCGAATACTGCGTGGCCCTACCAGAGTTAAAATTCGAATCCAGGGTTCGCATAAAATATTCAGTGACTGTCAGATAGAATCCTTGGTCAGCATTTAAATGTTACAACACTCACCTCTTGGTACTCTCCCATCGGTGTCAGGTATCGTAGTATGAGCATCTGTTTAGTAGCATCTGTTGGCGGGTGGATTTGTATGTTTCCTGGAAAGTATTTAACATAATTTATTAGTAATTCTTACTGAATAAAACATAAATTACTATTTTGTTAATGTGGTAGGGCCACGCAACAGTCTTGGCTGTTGCCCGAATGGGCAGGTCCGTCCGGAGAAGCACAACGACCTCACAAAAGACCGGCGTAAAGTGGCAGTGTTACACATCTGCGTTTCGTCTGGTGAGTGAGGTAGCCGGGGCCCACTTTTTCAACGGTTGTCAACGAATGAGCGGCGGTATTCACTTAACATCAAGTGAAACAACTGCTGGCTACATTTGTAAGGAGCGTAAAATTATAATGCTCCCCTAAAATTCGTTCTTATCATTGAGCAATACACAGTTTTGATAACAAGTTGCGGGGGAAAGTGTTATCTTCTCGTTTGCGCAGGTCGTCGAGCCATCAAACATTAATCCATTGTTAGGATGGTATAAAAAGCATCTAGAAAGTCCACTGGATTTCTATATCCCAGAAATATATATAATGCACAGTTGAAGTGATATAACATCATCTAGTATATTGCAGTGGAACATAGAAGCCAGAACGTACATCGCGATTTTTAAGGCATTTTCTGCCTTAAAAAACCACTCTGTGGAACCAGCTGCCGACGGCGGTCTTTCCGAGCCGTTACGATCTGGGAACCTTCAAGAAGAGAGCATACTCTTTCCTAAAAGGCCGGCAACGCATTTGTTAGCCCCCTGGTGTTGCAGGTGTTCATGGGCGGCGGTGATCACTTACCAACAGGTGAGCCTCCTGCTCATTTGACCCATTTGCACAACGCGCTGTTGAAGCGATAGAGCGGTAAGAGCGTGTAGAAGATTCCACTGTAACGTAGGAGCCATGAATTATAGTATTTACGGTGGTAGGGCCACGCAACAGTGTTCGCTGTTGCACGAATGGGCAGGTCCGCCCGGGTTAGTACCACGAGCTCACAGAAGACCGGCGTAAAGTAGAAGTGTTGCACTTCTGCGTTTCGTCTGGTGAGAGAGATAGTCGGGGCCCACTTTATTAAGAGGAGGCAACGCATCTGCACTGCAACCCTACGGTGTTGCAAATGTCCATGGGCAGGCGGTTATCACTTAAAATCAGATGAACCGCCAGCTCGTTTGTCACAATCTCACATAGAAAAAAATGCACAGTTAAAGTGATAGAGCGGTTAAAGCGTCTACAAGGTTCCAGTGCACCGACCAATGACGTAGGTCTCCATTTCCGCCCAGCTGGAGTTGGAGGAGGGGTCGTGCGAGAGTGGCGGCTGGGCGGGGGGCGGTGGCCGCGCCGGCGGCGACATCAACCCCCACTGCTCCGGCGAACGGACGCTGGCTGAAAATATTTGACATTTATCAGTTCAAATTATTACAGTAGCTTTTCGCCCGCGGCTTCGCTCGCATTGAAGTCCTTAAATAAATATCTTTGTTTAAAAAAAATTCCAATTAAAAAATAGCCATATTCTTTCTCAGGCTCTAGACTATCTGTGTACCAAATTTCATTTAAATTGGTCCAGTAGTTTTAGCGTGAACGCGAGACAGATAGACAGACAGAGTTACTTTCGCATTTATAATATTAGTATGGATAGGTAGACATTTAAAAATTCAACATTAAAATTCGTAAAAAAAAAAGACGAAGTCGCTCGACGCTGTGTGAATCGATCCCGCGTTTTGTAATCTGTATGTAAATAAGGATATTGAATCCGGCCGTTAAACGCTATATTGAAATATAAAGCTATTTTTCTGTGGTAGGACCACGCAACCATGTTGACTGTTGCACGAATGGGCTGGTCCGTCCGGGTAAGTACCATGATCTCACAGAAGACCGGCGTAAAGTAGAAGTGTTACACTTCTTCGTTTCGTCTGGTGAGTGAGGTAGCCGGGGCACACTTTATTAAAAGGTGGCAACGCATTTGCAGCCCTACAGGTATTGCAAATGTCCATGGGCGGCGATTATCACTTAGCATCAAGTGAACCGTCAGCTCGTATGCCACTTTCTCACATAAAAATTAAATAAAAAAATAAAGCATACAATTGTAGTTCTTGACCGGTGTCTCTGGGTCCTTGCTGGCGTGTGGAGGCGTCTCGTCCACCAGCAGCTCGCTCCCTCCGCCGTCGTCTTTCTCCCGATCTGAAACGAACGAAAAATAAATAAAAAAACACAAAAATTTAATCGACCATTGCAGACGATAACGCGACCAAGCAGAGAGATTTTGTTGTGTACTGTGCTTCCTTAGTATCACCTAAGAGTGTTAATATTGGACAATTATTGACTCAATTGGCCTAGTGGTCTATATTTTACCACAAGGGGAAATTAAAAATCTCAAAACTTGTATCACTGAGCCTTTCTTATCAACAACGGCAAATTAAAAATCTCAAGACTCGTATAACTGAACCTTTCTTCTCCACAACGGGCCCGTTGCATTTGACGTCGTTGTTTCGCTTCTTGTCGAAGCGCGCGAAATGACGCGTCTGGTTAGGCGGCGTCACCGCGTTCTGACAGCTTTGCTGCGAACAAAAAGTAATATATTTTAGTAATAATATAGTATTTTTTGTTTATAGTGCTAATATTTGCAATTAAGATTGGACATTAAAATATGTTGAAAAAGAACGAAAAGATTGTCGCCGTTGTGGGAATCGAACCCACGTCTTCGACATTCGCGGCCTGACGCTGTAGCCACTCAACATATTTTAATAATATAGTATGTTTTGAAGACACATTTTTACACAACGTTCTCTAGTCCCGAACTAAGGGACGCTTGTATTATGGGTACTAGAAAACTGATAGACATGCTTAAACATACTTTTTTTTTGTAAATAAACACATATTATACATGTATAAAAACCTGGACACAGGAAAAACGCTACGTTCATCACACAATATTTCTCCATTAGTGAGGATCGTACCCACACACTCTGGCGCAAGAGGTACGTTACTCCCCACTCCAATCCCAAATATTTTAATGTTTTATAAACTCTACCATGGTAATTTTATAAATACTATTAATATGTAGCTAATTTTATATCTGGTATTGTTTACGTCATCTTCTTTCATCATTTTTATCTCTCTCTCTCTCTCTCTCTAAGCTATTCACTTGACAGCTGTGTATGTAATAAAGGGAAATAAACCATATCTCCAAAGATGTAAAAATATTTGAAATGAAGTACAGATGTACAGAAGTGTTCTTTACAATCACTCAGTCACGATCTTATACAGCTCTTTACTGCACCTATTTATTGCTGCCTCAACTCTGAGGTCAAGTCAACAAATAATTTCTTTTTTGGTATTCAACAAATATAATATATCGCTTTTTGTCACTTTATATCAGAAAGCTACATACAGCATAATATATCACAGCTGTGACAAGGCTGATATTTTCTATCCCTTTCTCTTCCCCAGCGATACAGAATAACGAAAAGAGCACAATGTATTCATTACCACTCACCTTGTCCTCCTGTGACTTATTCCTTAACTCGTGTAGCCTCCGTAGCATCAGTGGGACTAGCATCGCATTTAGATCTCTGGAATGGAGAGGTTGTAGTGAAAATTTTGCCAACAAGCTTACCAGAAAGCTAATTTTATTTTATTTTTATTTATTTAAACTTTTACACAAAAAAATTAGTACTGTGTATAGGCGGACTTAATGCCTAAGGCATTCTCTACCAGTCAACCTATGGGCGACGCAGAGACAAAAGAGGCAGGTGTAAAAAGTCTCAAATCAAATTTTAAGTTAAAATAAAAGTTATATACATATTCATATATAAATAAATTTAAAACATATACATGAAAATATTTATATAATTTTCGTATAAGTTCATATTATTATGTATGTAATATGACAAGTGTATTTATAGTAATGATATATCATGGACTCATGGTCATTATTATTTACATTTGACAAAGAATGGCCGTGTTTAGTTTAAAAATGCTTATGTAGCCCAGAGATAAATACAAAATCTTTATATTTTTATACAGACAACTATTTTTCTTATCTATCATATTCTAATTTTTGAAGTTATACTTCATTTGGCGCGTTAGGGAAAAATGATGAGAGTAAATTTTTTGATGCGCGCGCACACCGTCACGAAAAACCGTTACCCTGAAGTTAACTAGACATCTACGTATGTTTGCGTGAGAACTGACAACTGTATTCAAGATATTTGTTTTGTGATATTTAAATAAACTTTATTTAACTAGATAATGCGTTATAATAAAACTTTCAATGTATTAAATACTTTTTTTCTATTGCTACTTCGTGTTTTCTACAAACCTAGGATATGGCGAAAGATAAAATTTTTATCTTGTTACGTCAAAGAAGGATAACTTCTAACGTGTGTACATAAGTACACACACACTTTTTTTTACTATCATTTAATATTTGTTTTGCTTTTTCGTTTCTGTATTAAATAATTTCCTAAGAGACATTTTACACTTACAATTTTTTTACAGTAACACATTCACTGTTGGTCATACAAATTGTATACAAACTGGTCAGGCAGCACTGAGTCACATGGTAACTATAACCAACCTAGCCAACTGAGCACCCAATGGAGTGTATTTTTAACCCTATAAATGTACCACATAGTAAAAAGTTTGATCTTTTGTAGATTTTTCTATGCTTTATTTTTTTTTTTTGAACAGGGGCGAGCAACCTTTTTAATCAATTGGCCAATTTAAATTTCAAATTTTTAGGCCGCACATATTAATTTACGAAACTTTATTTGTAATAAATATTAGAATAAAAAAACAAAAGATTTCATATAAAAATTTTAATGCAAGGTAAAAACAAACAAGAAAAGAACAGAAAAACGAACAAAAATATTTCGGTTCAGTACGTACTACCATTTTATTATAATTTAATCTTATAACAATAAATTGATGGGAGAAATTCTATAAAATAAATTCAATTTTAGAAATGCTTGGCGGGCCGCATAAACATGTTAAACATGCCGCAAGCGGCCCGCGGGCCGCGCGATGCTCATCCTTGCTTTAGAAGTAATTTGACTGTTGTGCTGTGTACTTATTTATTGATTTTTTGTTTGACTCTGTCCAGTTAACATGAACGTTGGAAAGGGTTCGAAACGCCGGGAATTTAAAAATCTAATTAACGTGATGAAATCATGTGGTTGGCACAGATACTAGTTCGTGCAGTAATCGAACCTGCGACCATCAGCGCCGAAACCCTCCAAGCAACCGACTCATGCCCATTTTATACAACGTGGCGCTACTAACGCGGCCATAAATCAACAAACACATAGAGGATAACCTTATAAAATTATATGAAACATTTACTTTCTTTAAACATAAATAATTTAATGAGTTACAAAATTTTTCAAAACAAATAATTTTAGAACACCCTTACATATAAAACTGTAACATAAAGTTCATTTATAAAGGTCACAAAGCATATGAGTTGGTTGAATGAATTTAAAAGAGATAAAACATACTGTTAGAAGGAGAAACATTGTGGGAACAAATGAGAAAGTCTATTGTTTATTTTTTATTTAATTAGAAAATTCTTTTTTTTAATTATGGATTTTTAAAGTTTATATTTTTTTATGATTTTTTGGCAAGTAGCGTTAGCAGCATGTTCATTCATTGTCGCCACTTATTGTCGCGTTGTATATCGCCATGATGTTTAAATTTTTTTTTATTCAAACATTGCCCTTACTTTTAGGCCAACATTATCCTGTGTTGTAAGTACGTTTTACAAACATAAATTTCACGCGAGCAAACACCCAGATGTGAAAACTATCTGTGGGTCGCATAGTCAAATAGTTGTCCCGAGTGGGAATCGAAACCATGACCCCCGACGCCGAGGCGTCATATCAATATACCTGAAATTTGCGGCTATCTCCTGCACCTCCATCGCTGCAGCGACAAGCCCCGTTGCATAGCACTGCAGCGGCTCCGGTGACTTTGTCGCCCAACTCACTAGCCGCTGGATGAGCGACTCGTTGTCCTGCCAAGCGAGATTGACACAAGACGTAAAGTGACATGCTATATATCCCACAGCCGGGCAAAGGCGTATTACGTAGGGTATCGGGTTATAGTCCACCGCGCGAAGCCACTGCGGATTGTGCGGACTTCACACATCTCCTAATTTTTTTTTATTATTTCGAAAATATACAAATTTCCACTCTTGGTGAAGGAAAACAATAAGTTTGTCGATAAGTCAGCACCTTAAATTGCAAGTAACAATTGCCGATTATCGGATTTGAACTCAGGTTGCTCGAGTATATTGAATTAAAAGCAAACGTCCGGACACTGAGATATCAGGGGTCTCAGATCAGAACCTTTTAGCTCTTTGTATTGTAGGAAATTAGAGGTATAAATGAGCGCATTCAACATTTTTGGTGTCTTATTAGACTGGTGCCATGATTTAATGTACGTGAACGATCACCGGTGCCGAAACCAATGAAGTCTTTCGTTGCACGGGTGGGCCGACCCATCCGGGGAAGTACCACAGCCTAATAGATGTAAAGCATGTGCACTTCTGCGTTCCTCCTGGAATTCGCTAACCGGCACCCAAGGCATCTGCTCCGCGGGTGTCGCAGATCAATCGTATAATTATTAACGAAAAACAAAACCGACTTCAAATAATCTCACTCTGTATTCATTTCATAATTGATTTTCAGGAGTTCCCTAAGTATCTCCGGAGCCCAAGATCCAATACCAATGAAATTAATATGGGACCACGTGGGAAGCATCGGCTTTCAAATAAAAATGAATCAGCAAAATAGTCGTCAAAATAAAAAAACAGTCGAAATGAGAACGTCCTCCTTTTTTGAAGTCGGTTGAAAAAAAATTAAAGACGGAGCCCTCGATATCAGTTCAGTACAGGCGATTGCCTCGTCCGGAGCTGGTCTACCTGGAAGACGACGCTCATCTCGAGCCCCGGCATGAGGTCAAGCGTGAGCCGGCAGGCTGCCACGTTCAGCTTGTACACGTCGCGCCCCGTTATGTTCTGCCGCGAGTAGTACGTGTCGCGCACGTAGTCGTTGACGAGCTGCGGATTGCATACGAAGGTACACATTAGTTTTTTTTTAGGGTTCCGTACCCAAAGGGTAAAATCTATTACGAAGACTCCGCTGTCTGTACGTCTGCATCTCATGAACCGTGATAGTTAGACAGTTGAAGTGCCGATGCAGCTGTTGATGGTAAGCGCGCTAGCTCAGTAAAAACTTATTCCCTCTTGGTTTGACGTCTACGTTGTGATCGAACGGGAAGACATAGGTTGTTCGATTCTTTAGCAGTACGGATGATAAATGACGAAGCGAATCGCTTCGCTATTGTTATCAACAACAGATGTACTATCATTGTAAAGTAAGTAACATTGTAAAGTAGTAGTGACGGTGGTAGGGCCACGCAGCAACCTCGGCTGTTGCACGAATGGGCAGTAACTCGTCCGCGTAAGTACCACGATCTCACAGAAGACCGGCATGAAGTGGTAGTATAATACATTCGCTTTTCGTCCGGTGATTGAGGTATCCGGAGCCAAATTTTCAAAAAGTGATCAACTCATCTGCAACCCGCTGGTGTAGCAGATGTCCATGGGCGATGGTTTTCACTTAAAATCATCGAGTCATCTGCTCGAGTCGTTTGCTCATTCCCTTCGAAATTGAAATAAAAAGTCCTGAACTGATTCCAAAAATTATCTCACCAACGAAAATCTTATCTTGATATCGGTAAATAATTACTTTAAAAAACTTTTAAGTTAAACGGTTTTATTTTATGTTTTTTTTTTTTGTTAAATTTTTTTTTGTTAATATTGTATTGTCATCTAAATTAAATGTGTGTACCAAATTTCAGATCAATCTGACAACGGCAAGGTGCTTAAATTTCAATTTCTAATTTTGACCCAAATAAATAAACAAACAAATTCCGTATGGCTCGAGCTAAATAAAACCGTTTAAAAAGGAATCTTATTAAAAGAAGATTAGGTATAAAACAAGAAATCTGTATATCTTGCATATATAAAAGGCGGAAGAACTGACATATTTGATTATTAAATCATTGAAGTAGCCAAGGTATTGGTTTCGGCCGATGCCGTGGTTTCGTGGATTTGATTCCCACATGGGACAAGTATTTGTGTGACCCACAGATAGTTGTTTCGCATCTGAGTATTTGTCGTCGTGAAATTTATGTTTGTAAAATGTCCTTACAACACAGAATAGGGTTATCCTAATGTTAATTATATAAGTAAGGGCAATGTTTTTAAAAATTCAATTCAACTTCTGCAGTGCAGGATAATAAGTCATCCATTATATAGTCTCAACCTGGCGCCTTGCGACTTTCATTTATTACCAAGAATCAAGTAAAAAACTTCAAGTTATTTGCTTCGTTTGAAAATGCCCTAGAACAGACACCTAAGGAAGATTGGGCACACTGCTTTTCTCAGTGGTTCCATTGATATGAAGATGTATAGAGAGGAACGGGGACTCTTCAATAAATGTTTAGGAAACGTTTGTACATTGAGCCTTATGATTTTCTAAGAACTTTCAGTGTGACCCACAAAGATATTATTAAAAAGTTCTCATATCATATGAAGTTCCCGTTTCATATTGTCATATAAACAACCACTGCTACAAGGAAATGTGCTTTAGCAAACATGGAGAAATTTCCAGCTTTGGTGGGATCTGTTTGTCAAACAATATTTTTTCATGCGATTCACCTGATGTAAAATGAATTTAATAAATAATACCCATGGACATGTAGAACACCCAATGACCTATTGTGAGGTTGTTGCATGGCCCCACGACAGTAAGCAATTAAAATGTTTTGAATAATACCTTGGTCATGAAGTTGTCCTTTTTGAACATGACCTTCAGCGCTTGACCGAGGGCGCATTCAGGGTCTGTGCGCGAGGGCGGTCGCTCGTCGAATGGATCAGGATCCTTTTTCATAAAATTCTCTGTCTCCGCCTCTATTATCTCTGCTATCCTGCAACACATACATACAGGTATTCAGTAAAAAAGTAAAAAATACATTTATTTATCTATAATTTAGTACTACATAATTATGATTTACAAAGGGCACACTTTATGCCTTCTCGCCCAGGCAAACTTGACGTAAATACAGAATTTTTGTTGGGGTTTTTCATATTTTAGTTTTTTTCAGTCTTTGTTTCAGTAATTCAATCTTTTAGAGTAATTGTTACAAATACTTGTTTTTAATGCGTTGGTATTATGCCGGAATTTTGGTGGGCCACGATTTATTTTAGCCAGGTATTTAGGCATTTTGGTATTAAACAATCTTCAATCAAAACATTCATGTTCTCAGAAATTTTAAACTGATTGAACAGAATTCTATTCAGAGATCATTGAAAACTCAAAACAGATCTATTGGAATAATAAGGAATTTAAAATTAAATAGTTAATTTAAAAAGTTAACATATTTATCAACAGCATGGACTAAGAGGTTTTTGTTAAAATGTTGCCAAATATTTTATAGTCACCAGAACTAAAATTGATTCTTTACTAGAATTACAAAATTATACCTACTAATAAATAGTATTTTGATGTACATATTTTGTTTGCCTGTAATACACATTGAGACACTCTAATAGTGCATATAATCTAATGTCTAATTATTATTAATAATGATTTTCTTTATTCTTTACTTTTTATTTTTCTTTCTTTGTATATTTATGAAGTAAATGCTCATATATAGAATAAAAATATGAAAAATATTTTTGGTTAATATGGAAATATTAGTTGACTATTGGTTTAACATTGAGATTAATAACTATATTTTACCTAATAAAAAACTTACATCCTGAACAATTATATTAAATCTCACATATGACATGAAAGATAATTGTATCATAATAGTGTGTGACAATACAGTACATAGTACAATCACAAAGTTATATGAAACTATATAAAATTTATAGGGAAGCCAGAAAGTCCTGACCTCCCTCTATTAATACTGTTTTAATAGGTATGTATAACATTGCAATTTGGCAACATACCAAAATTTTATGAAACATTTACAGTTTTCAATTATATAGCCACAAAATCAAGTGGCTTCTGAGAGAAATGATTTCAGTTTTTACAAATATTTATGTTCACCATCTGATTGGAATTAGGCATAATTCGCTGGAGTATATGTATGATCCCCAATATTGGAAAAATATTGTCTAATGAACATAGTATTTTTTTAGTGTTTAGGTTTATCAATATGTAGGTATTTTGATAAATGTATTTATGTGTGTATAAATGTAATGTAAAAAAAGAATGTTTATCAGTTACCTAGTGCCCATAGTATGAGCTTTGCTTAGTTTATGACTAGATAATGTTGAGTGTAATTACTGTTAAACAAAAAAAGATCATTAGTTGACAAAAGGTGAAAAGCTGCTGAACTGTTTTGTCTGTTTATTAATTTGTAGAAAATGGATGAAAACTGCAAGGACAAAACTGTATCTGCATCCTTCAGTATATGCGCCCGATGCTATAGCTACAGAACCAATGGCTTATGATGACAACATCTTAATGTGTTTTATCTATTTTGTTTTTTAATACATTTTTAAGTAATGTTTGGTTATTTTGTGTTTCCTTTGCAGCAAACCACCACTTACCCAAATAATATTTGACAATAAAATATTAACTAGAGATATTTTTTTTTGCCTATTTATATTTACATATTCATACTTGTAGCTACTGATATTGAATTTCATAATATCCTGAATATTTATTACATAAACTGAAAAGAACAGTTTACATTTATGGAAGAAGTGCATTTTAGCTAATAACAAGATTGCTACTATAATTAAAAGAAGATAGAAGAAGTGCAGAAGTGGACAGTGCTACCTCTACTCTTTTAGGATTAAAGAATGTGATATACCTATAATAAAAATTGATTCAATAATATCTAAGATACATTAGTTCTTATTTCTGTGATTGATTTAATATTATACCCACATTGACCATTACATAAATATATGTTTGAGTAATTGCATATTGCTGACTGTATGGTTGGATAGTAGAAAATGTGATATGGTTTTAAGTCGCATAACTGATGCTTGTTTGTGCCTCTTGCTAAAACATAGTGTACGTAAATATATGTACTAAACTGTACGAATAAATTTTTTGTAAACTAACTAAAGTTTTGTGTAAACTATTAGACATTTAAATTTTAATAGATGTTAAACAACTAAACTGTATTTTTCTTATATATTGACGAATGACACTCAAATTATTTAAAGCACATTTTTTTTAATATGACTAAATACTCCATACATTAAAAGCTTTATTAGAAACTTTAATAAACTGCTTGGTCACAAAACGACAATTACTTGTGGTACTTGCGCAACGTTTTGACATGGGTATATAAGTTTAACAAGTTCTTTCTAAATAATAAATCGTAATCAAATCATTCTGTTATTTATTTACAACCGATACGGAAGAAATAGGATAAGTCGGTGAACACATCCATTTTAATCTTTTAAATATTATCAACGCTGTCGATATTAAGATCAAGTTATTTTCCCTGCTTTAAAAGGGTTCATATTACACCACGTTACCGGTAAGTTTGCAAGTTTCGTTTACAATGTGCTACTTTGACATATGATGATAAACACCCCACCTGGTAAGTGTCGGTATGGGGTCATAATTGGGTGTAGCATGTTGTTCTTCCCATTGTCTTAGGAGCTCCGTAACCTCCTGAGCTGGCGCCGAATCCATTATAAAAACATTCACTACAATAATTCACTTCACCAATGTATTATAACCTCGCTTTTATAAAATTTATATAGTTGTTGTCAACTGTCACTACTATTTCACTATTTGGAGCACCGTTAGTTTATTTATGTGGTGAACTGGCAAAATAATAAATCTAATTATTTTTAAACACTTTATTAATAATACATATATTATCTATGATATAACTAAATTCGATTCTAAGAAGCGTAATAACTTAATGCCGCGCACTCCATCATCATTTTCACTCACAATTAGTTAGGGTTAGGTAGGGATGCTACCCCACAAAATAACTAGCACAAACTCTGTGTAGTGTTGTTAAGATGAGAAGCTGAAAAGTTTCAGCATAGACAAATGTACGACCAATAACAAAAACATTTTTTCTAACTCTTTTTGTAATGCCCGGTTTCTGAAACACTGATCATCGTAGATGTCAACTAATCAGCTTTTAAATTTTCATTTTAGTTGCCAAAAGGATGGTTTAACTCTCTGAATTGACCAGAATGATCTTCTTAATGATCAGTATGATCAATTCAAAGAGTTTAACCATCCTTTTGCCAACTCAAATGACGTTTGAAAAGCCATTTAACAGCTAATTAGGTAACATCTACGATGATCAGTGTTTCAGAAACCGGGCGTTAGTGTAGCTCACTGTTAGCGAGGCAACTTTGAATGCCGCTTCTTAATAGATCCGCAGGCAGACAACACGTGGAAGAACAACAAATGTGAACAACGTAGCAGATGCATTTCTGCGACCCCTGTTAAAGAAAGATGGAAAATCAATTAACAAAGGGGGCACAACGCGATCCATGGGTAACATTTGGGACCAGCTTGGACCGCAGTACTTCATTGCTTGACGTACAACATCAGCTATAGCTATCGAATCTTCCGAAGAAAAACAGATGATCCGCCAAAGATAACATACAAAGGAATTTCGAATCTAATGATTAATCCCAATCTGCTGATTTGTTCCACCATATACAACTCACAGTACCATATGAAATATTATGTACTTCGCCTTATTTGCTACAATTCTAATCCAGAACAGAAATCCCTAAAATACCAGAACGGTTACAATCGTAACGTTGAGATATTTGGTCTTGCTTCGAAATGAGTGTATAAATTAAGAGAAACGTGCAGTCTTAAAATTTTATCTAGATAATCAACAGAATTGAACTTTGAGTTAATTGAACTTCCCCTTCTTGACATAATTATATAATACTATGTAGGTATATATTTGTGTTTGTATAGGTGTGTATATGTATGTCCTTTAATATATACTATTTATATAAATATTAATATACGTGTATATTTATATGAAGGTAATATTTTCAAAACAAATTATATTTCACTTCTCATGTGGCTCTTTCGCACCTCTTTATTTTCTCTGCTTATTTGTCGGTTGACTGGTAGAGAACACCTAATGGTGTTAAGTCGTTTTTCCATTTTGCGCCATAAACCAAACACATTCTAGTTTGCACCTTCATGAAAGATGTGTTGTTAAGACATTTTAAAGGAATATATAGTCACCTCCTTGTTCTCCAAGATAATGGAGTCTGTTATCAACTGCCTGCTCCTGCGGTATCTTGCACCGGCTGATTAGCGACTGCCAGTATGGCTTTCGTTGGGGTCGCTCAGCCGGTGATCTTCTAGTCTACCTTACACATCGATGGGCAGAAGCAGTTGAGAGCAAGGGGGAGGCGCTTGCAGCCAGTCTGGACATAGCGAAGACCTTTGATTGGGTATGGCACAAAGCGCTTTTTTCGATGCTGCCTTACTATGAGCTTTTCCGAGAAATTATGCAATTGGATCACCAGCTTTTTGGCAGATTGGAGCATCAAGACCGTCGCGAATGATGCATGCTCTGATCCTAAATTTGTCAATTCTGGTGTCAATTTGTCAGTGTCAGGCCGCGAATGCCGAAGACGTGGGTTCGATTCCAAAAGCGGCGACAATCTTTTTGTACTTTTTCTACAAATTTTAATGTTTAATCTTAAGTGCATAGATTAGCACTATATAATATTTAAATTTCTAAAATGTAGTATCACTTGAAAAATAAAAATGGACAGTTATTTAATTATTCCGCGGTTGCTAAATTAGTGCGAGAGTAAAACTAGAAGAGAAATAAAAAATTGGTCCAGTGAGAGTCAAACTCGTATTTCGAAGGTTTCCTACCTACCCATAATACCGACATAGTAAAACTGGTAAATAATCACCACCGATTTTCTCAGGAACGGGTGGACCTAGCAACTTGAAATTTATACTGAGAGACAAATACTGAGGTCTATAGTCCCTATTAGGTAATAAGATAATAGTAAAAATACATGTAACCCAATCATTGTTTATAGAACTGCTTAGAATGTAATTTCATACCGACTAATTTCGATTTGTTAATTACCCACACGTAATTGCCCGTTTTGTTACTTTACTGGTCAATATTTATTTAATTACCCATTTCATTATTTTTTATTCATTTTTGTTTTCTTTACTGCTAAGTTTAAACTGCAGACTTAATAAGTTGATATTCAATGTATTGCAAAACTACAATATTAATTACCGCCTTAAATCAGTACTTTTCTTAAATGATTAAATTCTCGTTATAATAATTGTTGCACATATTAATTGTTTTCCTAATTTGTTTTCGTAAGCGATCATTCGATGTTGGCGATTAAACCACTACCTTACTAATTCCTCTGCAAGCCGACTTCAAAATCGAAAGCCCTTGGATCATATCACGCCTTCGCTTCTTAGTCGAGTTGTCTTTTTTTCTTCAAAGGACGTCTCGGAGATTCAATGGAGTGGGCAGAGATTCACCAGCTATGCTGTATTCCTTTTTGAAAGAAAGTGTCCAAGCCACAGTCTACTTGTCTACTGTCTACTTTACCAAACACTTGACCAGTGTGTATCGGGCTTTACTCGCCGCCCTGCTTGACGTGACTTCAAGACGAGACATCCCAACTAGGACGTTTTCGTGGCTTTACTTTGGCGCGTAAACAACAAATCTTTAGGCTGTGGTTATCGTTATCAATGACATTGATCATTGTAAAAATGTAACCAGTGTGGCCAACGTAAGCTACTTTTTGCCAATTAGAATTTTTTTCTGAAATGACAAAAATCTGAATGGCGACTGGTCGTCTATAAAGCTACTTCAGAGGTAAGCTATTCAAATTAATCAAATCACAAATCAACATAATATTTTAATATAGTGTCTTGTAATAATTATAGGTGGTAGCATTTTGACTATCATTAGGTGAGTGTAATGCTCCTATGTTGACTAAAGATATTATTTAAATTTGAATAAAAAAACATAGCCTCCCTTAGCTCTGTGATTTTAATAAAGAGTTATGGTCGATATATAACGCAATGTACAGCAAGCACATCAGGAAATTTTGTTTTTTAAGTACGATATGAAGCCTTTTTGACACCCCGTCATAGCTGGAGCACCATGTGTAGCAGCTGATATAATATTCTTCAACGGAATTCCTTTTTATCAAAAAACTTTTTCAATATTTTAATAAATCTCACGTAAGACAACAACAATGCTTCATTAGTTGGTAAAGTGGACTCATCAAACTGAATTGAAAATTTACTAGTCTTCAGATGATTGCACGATGACTTTTCAATGTTTTCAGCCATTTCATCAATTCGTCTTTGGACAGAACTATTGCTCAAAGGAATTTTTCGAATTATATCTGCCGCTGGTTTATGGAGCACAGTAGTTATAACTTCTTTTATCGCCGCTAAAATTAACGTTTCTCCGACGGTGTGTGGTTTACTTGATTGAGCAATTAACAGAGAGATATTGTAGGAAGCTCGAAGTCCGTCATCGTCTTGCTTAGTAGCCATCGAAAAAAGTTTCGATACACTTGGCTGAGCATTCTTTTTCAGAAAGAAAATGTGCTACATTCTTGTCCTTCTTATCCGGATGCATTTTATTCAAAAGATCTTGAAGTCTTGAAGGCTACATCGCTTCGTTTCAAAATGTTTTTGAACAAAGATGGCACAAAGGCAAAGATGGGTGTGTCGAATTTTCTATGAATCCAAAATAATATATTCTACACTGTAATGCCGTTTCTTCTTTTTTCCTTCCGACATGGCTTTGTTTTCAAAAATGTGTAAGTGTTTAACTAAAATACTTGTTTAAAGATAGCGCGCTAAACCACAAATGAAAATATAAGAAAAATTACGAGCTTTTATATAGGATTTTAATACAGCAAGTAAGGACAGGAATAAGACAAATACGCACAAACTCGTTTATCTCTTTCGACGCTCAATCGTACTGAGCAAGTATCGATGAACCAGCCGATTTCTACCGAATTGCACCAATAGCATTATTTAAGGTTAGCATTTGGTCGGCAAAGTAAGCATAATAAGATAACTCGGTAAATATTGATGTTTAAAGAATGTAAATCCTTAATACAATTTTAAAAAGTTATCCTCTATATGTGTGTTCATTTATTGTCGCGATGGTAAAGACACGCTGTATCTATTTATAAAAATTAAAACTTTATATTTTTGTAAAAGTTTTGAACTTTACTAAGATACGATAATTTTTTATAGTGCTGTACATGTTTTTGTGCTAAAAACTTATGTTGAGTCTAGAGACCAAACAATCACAACACGTTTTTTTCAATAGATTGAGATTGCTTTTTATGCATTTCTCGAAAGCCTAGATTGAGAGTAAATATATTTCGGTTTCATTGTGGATTGGACATAGAACGAATACATACAAATATATATAATTGTAATTTTATACTTAAATGTTGTATTAATTTTAGTAGATGTAGTACCACGTAGTACATATGTATTTGTAGGTATTATTATTGTTTCTTCACATTATACGTACATTGCTACAGAGCGTGCATTTACAAAGCAAAGTAAAAACGAATTCATCTTATCAATATGTTTCTATAAATTCAGAATTACCAAAATACATTGCTATTTTATTGTACTAATTTATTAGAACGAAACTATGTTAAGTATTTCAAGTTTTTATAACATCATACAGGGTAGAAATATAAACTAATTATTCGTGAAGTAGGTGGGTTTTAATTTTAGTGAAATTTAAAAAGTAAATGAAATTACAAATTATACATCGCCCCCCTAACCCACATCAACGCCCCCCATTTTTTCTGAGCGTTAACCTAAAGGGGGGCGTTAAAGGGTAACGCCCACCTAATCCACGCGGCATGGTGCCAAGAACGCTAGCTGCATTTCCTCGCTGAATAGTTATGCTTAACCTTTGCGCGAGAAAAGAACCAGCTCTCTTGTCACCAGCCGCGGCGTTAAGCCTAGGACATAAACTTTTAAAAAAATTTGATGTGCGGGGACCCCACGGACCTAATGTTTCAACAGCAAATGGCACAAATACATAATCTGAACATAAAGACTCATATTTGCGCCATTTACTTACTTCAGCTGCCTCCGATGCCGCCCCGGCCCTGACCGAAGTACCCCGTAGATGAGAGGCAGCCAAAGTGTCTACACAAGTGGCGTCCCAAACAAGGGCTTTGCCTCTCTTCCAAGGGATCAGTGTTAAACCGTCGGGTCTCTTACCATCGTCGCGTACAATGCCACAGGGCTCTAAAATAGATGGAACATTGATGGAAACAAGAGCCCTACGGATGATGTCGTTCAGGGAACCGTGGCGAGAAAAACGGCCAGCACTTTTTTGACAAGAAAGCCCGTGGAGACCAAATTTGTCTACACTGACACCACAAGGGCATTGGTGTGGTTGACAAATCGGTGCCCCCAGACGGATTCCTACAGCAATGCGTAAGCTTTCATCGTCAAGTAATGTGCCCAAGTTACTTGATGGTAAAGCGTGAAGCCAATAACTCGATTGTTTAGATGAGACTCCTAGGAAACGGGCACGCTCTAAATTACTTTCTAAAGATTGAAACGTATCTCTCTGTACTCTCCGCACCAAAGGAACATCCCACTGTTTTTGTAGGTTTACTTCCAGTGGGATATTTTCGTTGGGACAGATAGACAGCCAAGACATCCTTGCCTCCTCTGCATAGGAAAGTTCTGAATCGTGATTAAGGATGTTATTACATAAATTATTTACGCTATGCACGGAAGCAAGGAAGGCAGGTAGAGTGACACTAGAAATTTTCCTTACCCGATACCACCAAAACGAATTGGCAGCGTAGCTTGAGTCCAGCTTAATTCATTAAGAGATAAATTTAGAATTTTTTCTAGAGCTGATTTAAGATGGAAATCAATTTCGTTCAAAAAGTCACCGCATTTCCAAACTGGACTCGAGCGAAGGAGGTACGTAAATTTAGGTACAAGAATACAATGTCGCAAAATAGTAAGCGCAATATGCGAATTTAGTAAAAACAATTTATTGACATGATCTAAAAATTGACTTAACTTTAATTTTAAATGAGGTTCCAAACTTGGTATCAACAAAGGAGCACCTAAGAGGTAAAGTGAATCTGAACGGACTACGTTAATTCGCGGTATGATAGAATTTTGGGTCAAAATGATTTTGTCAGAAAAAGAAATCTTTTCGGAAAAGAAAAGTTCGCATTTGGAATTATTTAAAACGAGACCGATATTTTTAAATTGTCTAATAATTTCAATAAGATCACTTTGTACATCGTCAACTTTACTCCCAGAGTACCATCGTCTAGGTACCAGACATTAAGTTTAGATTTCAATTTTGAAATAATTGGATTAATTCCCAAACTAAATAATGCTGGTCCTAGCGGATCTCCCTGCTGAACGCCGACAGCAGAATCAATAATATGGTTTTCATAAAATAAATTACTCTTTTCACCGTAACATTGCCAAACATAGTGATATATTTCTGGTGTATGGTTAGCCACTTCGTTCAGCAGAGTCGTTCTATCAATGGAGTTAAAAGCATTCCTTAGGTCAACCTTCAGAAGTACATCCAAATCACTAGTATTTAAAGAAGTTCGAACGGAATGTACAGCCGCTTCACAGCCGCCTTTGCTTCCAAAGCCTAGTTGAATAGGCTGGAATTTTCTTTTAAGGCCGGAGATTATGTGCCTACATGCTAATTTTGAAGTTAAGCGTCGAAAGGTAGAACCAATAGCAATAGGACGGATACCATTATCTTTTTTTTTAAAGGCACATAATCTTGCCCGTATAAGAAAGGAACAAATTTAGGATTTACTTTTCCGGAAAGCATTAAGTTGCATAATTTGGTAATATCATTAAGAAGCGCTCTGCCAGCATCACCGGCGGAAACGCTTACAAGATTTTTCAGATGTTGTGGCGTTATACCGTCAATGCCGCCAGCAGAGCCACTTGAAAATGACATAATTGCCTCGAAAGTGTCTTTATCGGTAATTTGCAAAGCCTGATATGAAGAATCGGGAGGCAGCGGAAGGAGCGGCGGAAGATTGATCGATGGATGCTTTTGTCGGAGGTTTTCTAGTCTCATCATTATACGGAGCAAGGATGTCGTTTGAAAATAAAATGCGCGATGCATTTTTTAAATCACCATCCATAACTTTAGTCTACAGTCTACAGTTCTCTTTAAATCGAATTTACGGGGGGGTTTAGTTATGGATGAGGCAGTCTTTAATTCAACATTTTTGAATGAATTGCTCTTTAACTGAGAAGTAATTGATTTTGATACCGATTTATCAAAGTGAAAATGGGAATACGCAAAGGTAAATAAATTATGCCAACTAGATTCAGTATTTGAGAAACAATTTTGAATACAGGTTGATAATGACTTGGCAAGCTGCATCCTTGCACCTCTTGGAATCCTTTTGAGTATTGGTACATTGCTATGGTAATAATAGATCTGTTCCGAAAACAACTTTAAATTTTTGTCATTATAATCGCTAATAGTCTTATTACAAAATGCGGTAGGCTGTGAAGCTGCAACAGGGTGACTATGACAACGTTTGATGTGAATATTTAAGCCTCTTTTACCTTTAAAAAGCCTACCGTCGGAACAATTTTGACATGGTAGGAAATCCGTTTGAGAGCATGTACGTACATCGTTATTCATAATATTAAAAATCACCCTTGAAAAATTAAAATAAGGTCACTAAAAGTCACTAAAAGGCACGACGAGGAAGCCTCGCGACGACCACCATTGGCTCTTAACACGGCAGCGAGGCGTGGACGTGGAAGCTGAAAACAAATACAAATACATATCTGGGGCGACAAATTAGGTTAAAATATAAGAATTATTACAGTACTCCCCAGGTTTTATTGCAAAATCCAAGACAACATATTTTCAAGCGTTTGACAGCTGACGTTCCTGACTTCGATCGCAGAGAATTTGTTTTCAAAATTCTAGTTATTTTTAAGCTAATGCATAGTTTTTATTGCGAGCTTAAGCGTTCGCTTAACGTGTATGTATATGGTACAAATGTACGAAGCTCGCACGGATGGATATTATAATATTATATTATCACATGATGATATGATATTTAGAGGATATCAAGTCTCATACTTATGTTCCTTATTTCAGTTACCATAAACTTATAGTTTCAATGATAAAAATTTCTGAATAACCTACATGTATTTTAAGATAATAAAAATATTTTAAACGATATTAACTTCTTACTTATTCAATAAGAGAAAAAAAAATTGTTTTCTTATCGAACGCTGAATGTAACTAGTGTCTTTGTCTATGGCCTAAAGGACCCGAGTCCAGGGCCGTTAAACTAATTAAAAAAATAAAAAACTAGTGTTTTTGGTTCAACATTGTTCTTCGCTGTCATTTTAGACGTTAGACTTAGACGTAAATAATAAAATACAATTTGCCATTAATTTAAGAAGAAGAAGAAGAAATACAATTTGTGAAACGCGCCAAAAACTTATCACAAAAATTGAGAAGTATCTCAGTTTTTTAACAAAATGTCTTCATCCAATAATGTCTCAAGAAGTAGTCTAGGTAGTCGTGATAGAAAGCTTCGATATCGAGCGTTACTTGAAGATTTGTCAACTTTAGGTTTGTTTTTTCTTATCAAGTGAGCTTTGTTAATTATTACTGTTATTTTTATTTTCAAATGTTTTATATAATTTTGACTAAACAAAAATTTAATCTTTTTACCTTTTAATAATCTAATTATAACTTTGTCAATATCACTAAACATCGAAGAGAATGCAAAAATACACATGAAAAATATAAAATTTCTGTAAAGAAATACAAAAATGGTGGCATTTCATGGGTTCTATGTTTTATTTTATTATTGTATCAAAGCCAAGGATTCTTTTTGCGTTTGTCTCAGTCACTGCATTTGCACCGTAATAAAATATTATATTTTTTTATTGGAGAAAGATACATACCAGCCTTTTTTTCGACATGCTTAAATTTGATGTTTAAAGTTTATAGTTGTAGCTAAAGTCTATGTGGAGAATATTTAATTTATAGAGTTTTGTTTTGTGAAATGAGACTTCTAAGCTCAAAAGGTATCGCAAATAAAAGTGATATATGACTATATCCAATTAAGAGCTTATTTTGCTAAAATTACATAAGATATTAAAATTATACTTATTCAATTACAAAATAAATTTTAGTTTATATTCTATTTTAAAATGATTTTTCCTGTCTTATCAACTGTGTCCATAACAAAAACAAAAAATTAGTGTACAGTTTTATATTTTATATAATCTAATATTTTTACATAATTGCAATATAGGAATTGCTCGTGCAGACCTTAATTTTCCCATTAATCGACTATGGTGACGTGTGCTACTTCGACCTGAATGCTCATAACTCAATAAACTTGACCGACTTCTGAATAACTGCATTCTATTCGTTTTCAATCTTCGCAAGTATGACCATGTATCTACTTACCATGCTCAACTTCAGTGGCTACCCATACGTCAATGACGCTCCCTAAGAGCACTGACTACTCTTTACTCTTACCTGAACCCTTCTTTTCCGACTTACTTATCCCATCATTTCCAATATCTATGTGCTGTTAGCAATAAAAACCTTCGCTCCTCGCATAATCGTCTTCTCGTATATCCTCCTCACCGTTCCTATTTCATGCATTCTTCCTTCTTTATCCAGTCTATCCTTCTGTGGAATGAGCTACCTCTCAAAATCAGGTTGGCTAAAAGTCGCTTTGTATTTTAAAAAAAAGCACGTGAGCACATCCTCAAAAACTTGTTGGCAGGTCAACTCCATCGTTAATTGTCAGAATTTTTTAAATATATGTTTATATTTAGTAAGATATGTGTGTATTAGTATCTATGTACAAACATCTGGTAGTATTTATTATATTTTTACTATAATTAACATGTGCATTTACATTCATTTACAACAGTTTACATTTTAACAGTGTTTTCTTGTTATTTTTTTTTTTACATCTTTCTTTGCACCTACCGAATCTTCTCTGTACCACCCCAAGGTTGACTGGGAGATAATGCCCGTGGCATTAAGTCAGCCTCTGTACAGTTTGTGCATAAAGTATAAATAAATAAACAATATGTAGTATCACTATAATACCAAACGCACTGGATTCTGCGTAAGATTGGATGTAATATCTATCAAAAAAAAAGGAGAGACATTTTAATCTCATAATCCTTTCATACACTTATATAAATAACATGTAAGTTCATAAAATTGTATATTTTCTTTAAGAACATTCACTATATAAAAAATCAATTGTATTCCAACCTGAAAAATAATTACTACAAAAATTTTCAAAAATTTGCAACAGAATTAATGATACCTAAAAGAAATTTTGATGTACTATCTTAGGTAAGTAGTCAAAGCAACTTTAAATCAATCTAATATACTACTTTAAACATATACCATAAAATCAATAAATGTTATTACTCATGGTCCTTCAATTATATCATACTTTGCAGTATGTTATCTTTATATTGTTATCTGTATCATTGTTTTTTATCCCTGGTAATTACATAAAGTTTCATGGTGCAGAGCAATGATTTTACAGTTCACTCAATCTGCATATTCTATAATTATATCTTAGACACTACAGAAAAACATTCTTCGGATATGAAAAATCTGAGAGATAAATATCTACTTGTTACTATCGATAATAATACTACTTGGGTTTGTTAATATTGTTTTACAAACATGTTAACAGTTTTTTAATAGAGCAATATCAAAGGACTTTACTTCTTAGCATATAATTTACATATTATGCAAGACTACGTCTGCGTAGAGGGGTGAAAATTTAGGGTTGTATGTATTTTTGTATGCTGTATCATAAAAAAACAAAACAAAAAATTTTATATAAAAAATAAAAAAAAATAGTTTAGGGGTGGACCACCCTTAACATTTAGGGGGATGAAAAATAGATGTTGTCCGATTCTCCACCCTGGCCGACATGCACACAAAATTTCACGAAAATCGGTCGAGCCGTTTCGGAGGAGTTCAATTACAAACACCATGACACAAGAATTTTATATATTGGATATATGTATGAGAAATGTGTGCATACTAGTATCTATTTTTTGTTTGTTTTTTGTATAACTGATGTTGCACATTCATTCCTTAGACTATTAAAGCTTCATCGAATGCAGGACTGATGGGCTAGCCAGAAGCCACGGGTGTATCTATTTATATCCGTATGCTGTATGAATGAAGTTTTATGAACTTATGTAGTAATTATAGTTTATTTAAGTATTTTTAAAGTTATTTAACCTGTCTAATCTACCCAGACTGGCAGAGACTGCTCTTGTATCTTGTATTAACTGATGTTTTTGCTTTCAGTCCCAAGACTATTAAAGCTTCATCTGACGCAGAACCGGTGGGCTAGCCAGAACCCACGGGTTTGGGAGCAGAGACTGCCCTAAGGTATTAGAAACATTTCTGTTCTTCTATGTCAAAGGTTGTGCAATAATAATGATAATGTCTATAATTTTTTATTACATAATAAATACATTTTGTGTACAGCAAAGAAGAGCCGTGATAGCTCAGTGTCCGGGCGCTCGCTTTTAATTCAAAATACTCGAGCAACCCCTGTTCGATCCCCGGTGCCGGCACCAATGAAGTTTTTAACTTTAAGTGATGACTTATCACGTGCTCCGAGGTGAAGGAAGACAACGTGAGGAAACCTGCATATTTTCAAAAAAATATATATATTTCGAAGATATGTGAAATCCGCCAATCCGCAGTGGGGCCGCGTGGTGCACTATGCCCTGATTCCCTCTGTATAGAGGAGGCCTTTGTCCAACAGTGGGACATGTATAGGCTGTTACTTTACTTTTTTTACTTTTACAGCAAAGAACAGCTTTCAGGTCAGAAAATGTCACGTCACCCAACGAAAGAGCGGTAAAACACAAGATGTTTTGTGCAGTACTGCTGATGATTAACATTGATCACTCAATTCCTCAGACGATAAGAATGATGTGGATCAAATGGAGCACACGAAGATCGCTGTCAACGAGGTGAAGAGTCTCCTAGCGGAAGGCGGCTTGGATGAGCGTGTGAAGCATCCCGGTAACCACTCCTCCTATATTCCTAACGCAGTATACAGAGTGTTATTTACAAGTGTGAGCGAATTCCCAAATTCAAAAGTCGATGACTCCGTGACCAAGGTATCGGCTTCGGTTCCCACACGGGACAACTGTTTTGTACGACCCACAAATAGTTGTTTCACATCTGGGCGTTATCATCAGGATAATGTTATCCTAAAGTAAGGGCATTGTTTTTAACCAAAAAAAAAAAAAACAAATACTCTAACAAGTATTGGGCCCGATTTTTGAGTAAAACTAAAACTACATAATTGGATTTAACGAAAATCAGGTCATCGAACCCGTTGTCTTGGAATAAGACGCGTCGTGTTACACCATTCATAGTGGGTTCGATCCTTGCTACTGGAAAAATATTTTATGATGAAGATAGTGTTTTTCTAGTGTCTGGGTGTTTACACGTCTAAAATTTATTTACAAAAAAAGGATTTTTAAGTATGTTTATCAGTTAACTGGTATCTATAATACAAGCTTTACTTAGTTTGGTTACGTTGTACAAGTGCGCGAAAGAAGAATGTGTCTCTATGAAGCTGAAATTAGCCGGTTGTCTCTTTCAAAGGGTCGATGTGCGGCTTAATTTTCTGCAATATGCGGTCGTCCAAAATATCGATGTACCGATGTTTTTGATTTTAAATATCGATATTTTTAACCGACATATTTAGATCCGATAAATCGATGTAAAATATTCAATATCGAGATCATACCAAAAAAGATATTTCAAATTCGAAACCGGCACCGAGTGCGTAGATGTCAAATATTTAATATTTGACATTTTTTTTCTTATGTGAGAAAGTGGCAAACGAGCTGACTTGGCTTATCTGATGTTAAGTGATAACCGCCGCCCATGGAAACTTGCAACACCTGTAGGATTGCAAATGCGTTGCCCTCTTAAATAAAGTGGGCTCCGGCTCACTAACCAGAAGAAACGCAGAAGTATAACACTTCTACGTTACGCCGGACGGACCTGACCATTCGTGCAACAGTGTTGCATTGACCTACCACCGTCAACTACTTTTACGGTGGTAGGGCCACGCAGCAGCCTCGGCTAACAGCGAATATCAGCTAACATCAGGTTAACCGTCAGGTGTGGTGAGTGAGGTGGCTGGAGGCGAATTTTCAAAAGGTTGTCAAGATGTAGCAGAGGTCGGCGCCATTCACTTAATAAGGTGAACCGCCTGCTCGCTTGGCAACTTTTCACATAAAAAAACCTAAGAAGAAAACATCGATGTATCGATATATTTCTTCACCTTCAACCACCCCACCTTTGCCTTGCCACCAGGCGAGGGTTACCTGGACAGCCGCGTACTCCGAGCCACCAGCGACCGGGCGCTCCGCTGCTCGGAAGCTGTCAGCGGAAACGTGAACACATATGACAGACACGAGCTGGCTCAGCGAATAGTGAGCAATTTCAACTATTTTTCACCACCGGAGTCGACTACGTAGTTTTTTTTTTATTTAAACACCAGCGACTTCGTCCGCGTGGAATTTAAAATAAAAAAAAAATCTAAATTTTAAAGTTTTTTATAGTGCTAATCACTGCACTTAAGATTGAACATTAAAACATGTAGAAAAAGTACGAAAAAGTCGCTGTGGCTATCAGCCGTTTAGCTCAGTGGCTAGAGCGTCAGGCCGCGAATGCCGAAGACGTGGGTTCGATTCCGACAGCGGCGGCAATCTTTTCGTACTTTTTCTACATTTAATGTTTCTTTGTTTTTAATGTTCAAAAAAATCTAAAATAAAAGTAGTCTAAGTTACTCCTTATTACATCAGCTATCTGCCAGTGAAAGTCCCGTCCGGTCGAGCCGTTTCAGAGATAAGCAAGAACAGACAGACAGACAAAAATTTTTTTGGTATATTTACAGTGTATCCATCCATATGCCTTTAATAAAAAGCGGTTATTTTAATATTACAAACAGACACTCCAGTTTTATTTATCTGTATAGATATTGCCCTTTAGGCTAACATTATCCTGTGTTGTAAGGACATTACACAAATGTAAATTACACGCGGACAAACACCCAGATGCGAAACAACTGTCTGTGGGTCACACAAGTAGTTGTCCCGTGTGGGGATGGAACTCACGACCCCCGACGCTGAAGCCAGTACTTTGTAGTAGAAAGCAGTTGAAGGCCAGTGTGACCGTTTCGATAATTAAAAAAACCTAAAACATAACAGGACCGCAGAGTTCAGGTCTATTTTCAAAGTCAAAGTCAAAATTTCTTTATTCAAATAGGCTCACTTTAAGCTCTTATTGAACGTAAAAAAAACTACCACAGGGTCACTAAACTATTACCTGAACCTTTTTGTAAAAACAACCTTTATGGAAAGGGCCTATTATAATGTCCAAGAATACATCAAAGACAAGGATGTGTGGAAATGACTCCTATTCTGCACTTAAAGTCATCATCAAAAGGCAGCCTATACATATTCCACTACTGGGCAAAGTCCTTAATTAAAAACACTATAGGAACATTTAATCCTTTACAAACTTCTATACCTTTTGCATTATAACAATGACAATCTATGGCTCGAATTACTACTAGCGGCAATAAAGCTCAAAACCATCCATGTTTGGGCATTGCCCTTATCCCTCCATTGCCCTTATCCCACCTAAGATGATACTTGATGGTATTGCTTCACTACCAAGGCACAGGCTTCGACGTCGGCGGTCGTGGGTTCGATACCCACAAGGGACAACTAAAACATCCTTACAGCACAGGATAATGTTATCCTAAAGTAAGGGCAATATTTTAATCCTTACTCTTTACTATATCCTTACATTGTAAAGGCGAAAGTTTGTATGTATGAATGGATGTTTGTTACTCTTTCACGCATATACTACTGAATGGATTTTAATGTAACTTTACAATAATATAGCTTATACGTCAGAATAACACATAGGCTATAATTTATAAAGATATTGTGTGAATTGTCCAAAATAAAAGTAATGATCTAATGAAATAAATATTTTATTATTATTATTTATTATAATGATAAGTGTCAACTAAATAGGAAAAAATTCAGCCGTCCGCGCGATGTTGTGGTGTAAAACAAAAAATAAAACTCGCGCGGGCGGAGCCGTTAAGGCCAGTAGAAACTAAACTGAACCGATTGTTGGTCCCACCAGAGGGAGAACCCCTCGTTCTGGGAGTTCCCGTTCCCGCGCGAGGCGCCGGCCGTGGCGTGCCTCTTCGGCGCGTTCGCCCCCACGCCGCCGGAGCAGAGGCCTCGAGCGCCCCGCAAGCGGATAGAGAGGCAGCAACTGGCCGCGCTTAAGGCACCGGAGGCGGTCGACAGGTACGGCGGCGCTCTTTGTACGGAAGCCGACGAACATTTAGGATTAAAGGGAGCTAATTGAGGACCTAAATCAACCATTTTCGAGTCTTACTAAGACAAGGGCCGATTTCATAAAGTTACATAACGTATACTTCGGTCTCTTAAACCTTGACAATCAGCGCGGTTGTTCGTAAGTGCACAAATCTTTATTTTACGTTTCCCAAAAATTTCCCAAAAAAGGTGTGGACATTTTCCGATTGAACACACAATCTAACACGTTCATTATCCGATGAAAGTAACAGTTTACAATGACGAGACAAGGGGGAAGAAAAAAGTTAAAACTGAAACTATATAAATCAAATTCAAAATAAAAAATTCCTTTATTCAATATAGGCTTATATTAGCGCTTATTAAACGTCAAAAAAGTAGCACCGGTTCACTAAACTAGACCTGTTTAGAGAAGAACCGGCAAGAAACTCTGCGGTCTTATCTTTTTTTTTATTATATAAGTACACAAAAGTATTAAAGTATTAAGTGAAATTCAGCCCCCTGGCTGCCGATGAAAATCATCAGCGGCCAGGGGGCTGAATTCCATTCCCACATTTACCGACGCAACGCCCTAGAGTAAATTTCATTCCCACATTTACCGACGCTACGCCCTAGAGTAAATACCGTTCCCACATTTATCGACGCTACGCACTCGAGTAAATTCCTCTCCCACATTTACCGACGCTACGCACTCGAGTAAATTCCACTCCCACATTTACCGACGCTACGCACTCGAGTAAATTCCATTTCCACATTTACCGACGCTACGCCCTAGAGTAAATTCCATTCCCACATTTACCGTCGCTACGACCTAGAGTAAACTCCGTTCCCACATTTATCGACGCTACGCACTCGAGTACATTCCACTCCCACATTTACCGACGCTACGCCCTAGAGTAAATTCCACCCCCACATTTACCGAGGCCACGCACTCGAGTAAACGTCTTTCCCGACAAAACTGACCGCGCTTCCAACCTTGCCTAGGGATATCGAAAAAATATCTACATATCGATATTCACTCTTCGATGTATGGATGTGTTTCTTCACTTTCGACATCCCCAACCCCGGCCGGCCCCGCAGAATGGAGAAGACCGAGGAGGGCTCCGAGATGGTGAGCCGCGCGCACCGCTTCCTCTCGCGCGCCTGCGGCCGGGGGCCCGTCTCCTACTTCCACGCGGTGCTGGACCCCACCAGCTTCTGCCGCACCGTGGAGAACGTTTACTACGTGTCCTTCCTCGTGCGCGACGGCATGGTGGCCGTGGAGGTCGGTGAGTGGCTCTCATTCAGGGGGGGGGGGGGGGGGGGTTGTTTGATAGTAAACGTCCCGTTTATGTCCCACTGCTGGGCGAAAGTTTTTTTTTTAAATCATTGCCACTACTTTAGGATGATATTATCCTGTGTTGTAATGACGTTTCTACAAACAAATTTCACGCAGACAAACACCCAGATGCGAAACAACTATCTGTGGGTCACGCTGTGATTGATAACCGCCGCCCATTGACATTTGCAACACCCGTAGGGTTGTAACTGCGTTGCGCCTTTTAATAAAGTGGGCCACAATGTCTATCAACCATACAACACAGGATGATATTATGCTAAAGTAAGTTTTCGGAGAAAAAAAAAATCTGCAATCAGACTTGCCACTCACCCCCTTCTCCTAGACGAGGAGCACGGTATACCCTTCGTGAGGACGCTGGCGCCCTCCCAGGAGCAGAAACGTCACGACTCCTCGCGCGAGAACCAGTTCGTGGTCACCATCAACATGGACAGTTGGAGGGTAAGTGGCTTACACAAGTCAAATGTCGAAACATCGATGATGAATACATCTTAATAATCGTTAAAAATCTAAGTTAACTCAATTGATATACAATTTTTAAGGATCTGATTATTATATTTTTATTGAAAATATATATCTTTATTATATATATAATTCTTCTGTACCTTTGTATGTTGCTGAACTCCTCCTAAACGGCTAAAATTTTAGTTGATTCGAGAATGGTTATAATATGACTAGATTAAATTTAATATGTGTATCTATATCTATCACCCGTTAATCCACAATGTGCTATGGATGTAGTTCGTTATTCTAAATTCGTAACTCATCACAAATCAAAAAATATTGCAACTTGTTGTTTAGAAATACCTCATTATGAGGTTTTGAAGTTCACTAAATACAGCTTAACTTACTTAACACGTGGTAGGGCCACCACGTGTTAAGGGAATGGGCAGGCTCGTCCGGGTAATTACCACGACCTCACAGAAGACCGGCGTAAAGTAGAAGTGTTACGCTTCTGCGTTTCGTCTGGTGAGCGAGGTAGCCGGCGCCCACTTTATTTAAAGGTGGCAACGCATCTGCAACACTACGCTTACGTTACACCTAACATCAGGTGAACCGCCAGCTCGTTTACCACTTTTTCACTTAAAAAAAAAAAACTAGTTGCAATTTATTTTACATACGGTATTAAATATGTAGACAACGGAAAAATATAAATTCTTCTCCGGCCTTCTTATATGTCTTGGTACTTCCTCTGACAAGTAGAGAATCAGTTTTATCAATTTTCTTTCTTATCTAGAAAACAAACTACCTTTGCTTGCCGACGATTTATAACGGTGCCCATATCAAATTCGAACAACAGAATTTCAAAGCGAGTGACTGTATTTTTTTACGTGACGAGGTGGCTAGCGAGCTGGCGATTTACTTGATGTTAAGCGATAATCGCCCCCCGTTGACATTTGAAACACCCCTTGGGTTGCACATTAGTTGCCACCTTTTAACGGTTGCCTCACTCATCAGACGAAACATGTAAACTTCTTCTGGATCTTCTATGAAGTCGTGGTAATTCCGGACGGATCTGCCTATTAGTGCAACAACGAAGACTCGATGCGTGGCCCTACTTCATGACAACAATGAACTAAGTGCAGTATTTATTCTTACAGGAATTAGTAGAGGCATTTGACATAAAGAAACCAATGATGGTGCTGAAGCAAAATTGACGAAAGAGAATACACATATCTGAAAGACATTGGCTGTTTATGTATCTAACTGTGATTTATTTGTTAATGACATTTGATTGAATAAAAATTTTTATACATCGTATGTGTACCTATTGTTTAATATATGAAAAATAAAAACAAATCCATGAAGTATCAAAAGCTCGAAGACTAGGTATATGGTTTTTCCGAACAAAATCAAACTCTGACGAGTCACTGAATAATGTTCTTTTACTAACCAACTGGTCGAATTTGTATCAATGCTGGTTTAGTTTTAAGTTACATTTTTGACAGTCTCTCGCTTAATATGAGATAAAACCACCGGCATATTTTATTTCGACAAAGCAGAAATGGGCCCTGAGAAAATTGCGATATTTGTGACTGGCACTGCACACTTATTTGCGATCAGAATAATTTAATACAGCAATTATACGCGGTTTTGGCTGCAAAATGGTGAAACATGAACTCCCGTAATGCCCTTTTTGCCATTACTAAATTACCTTTGCCCGCTTTTGCCATTACTTAATTAAAAAAAAAATAAAACAAGGTGAACATGCTCAAAATATTTATTTGATCAACATCACCATGAGCCCTTTAAAATATTTCCAACTCGCAACAATTTTAGATACACTTTTGTTTATATATAACCTTAAATCTAAACCACAAGACAAAACTGTCATTTTAAATGAATAAGGTACTGGTTCACTGAGGATTAATGGCGTTTAATAAGACTATAAAATATTAAAACAAAATATTTTACTATACAAAGATCATAATTTTTTTTTAATTGGATAACGGATAAGATATTAAATTAGACACAGGTTTTTCAATCTTCAACAAAAAAAAAAAGTACCTCTGTAATTTTAACAGAAAAACTTCTTTGATCTTCCCTCCTCGTGTATTGATTCTTGAATGTCCTAAAAATAAGTGTCGATTTATCACCCCATAACGTGTCATTCACCATAACAAAAGGTGTTCATTGTAGACACGATCAATAGACAAGTCAATTTTTCTATTAACGAAAAACAAAACCGAATTCAAATATCTCGCAGTTTTCCTTTTTATAACTGATTTCCAGAAGTTGCTACGTATCTCCGGAGCCCAATATCCAATACCAATGAATAATTAACATGGGACCACATGGCCGCATCAAATAAAAAAGAATCCTCAAATCAAATCGCTAAAGTTCTGAGGTAACAAAGATAAAAAAATACATTCAAATTGACCTCCTCCGTCTTTGAAGTTCCGTAGAAACCCCGTATTGGAATTTCACATTGAGGTATTTTATAACGATCGTTCTAATAATGGGACGGGTATATCAGAATTATAGGTCCGACTATTGTGGAGAACACGAAGTAATGCTGCATGCACCTTTTAAGAAAAAATATTTAGCACGTCCGGGCAAATTTGATATAAAAATCAACGAATTAAAAATAATAATTAAATAACTTATTTACAAATTCCCACCATTTAAACTAATATATACAAGTGTGATTTAAAAGTAAACCACACATAAAATAAGAATTAAAGAAACTTATTTACAAATGAAACGTTAAAATTTACGAATTTGCTAGTTTTATGTCTGAATAATGTAGTTTGGTATTAAATTTCTATTTGGAAATGCAATAAATTTATATTGCAATACATTTACAGTTTGCAATACAAATTGCGATTCATTTTTCGTTAAATTGATTACAACCACTATTAATTTAAATTTTAAGGCCTGTATTACAGGAATACATAAAAAATCAATGAGCAACATAAAATAATGAATTTCTATTGTAATCGAATAAAAAAAATACTTTTGACAAAAAGTATTGTCTTACTAAAATTAATATTCAAATGCAATGAAATACGTATTTAGCGGCCTTAACTAGGTAATACTATAAACACGCAAACAGTCAAACCAACATGGAACAATTTCGGCGTCAGTCAAAGTCGAATCCAAGAATTGCGAATATATTGTGTATATATATATATATATATATATATAAATATTTATAAGAAGGGAAGTGAGCAGTTAGGTTTTATAACTGACACAAATAGCAATATAATCATACATTTTTTCTGCAACATGCACCACCAAGTTATATCACAAAGAAAATTCTATTTGATTTTCTTCACATAACCTGTAGTACGTCGATAACAAACAATAATATTATGTGATATACATGTTATCTAAATTTCATAAACATTTCATAATTATTACTTATCTATTTAATAACCAGAGTGAAAACAAAATCTATCATGGCACCAAATGACATGATATTGTCAAACAATTTTTAATTTTATCACTGGTGTGTATGGAACGCATGGGTTTATAGTTTTAACTACATATTTGCAAATAAGAGTTTTTTAAACGATAGTTATATAAACTTTGGATACGTTCATTTGTACAGATATTAAGTAACAATTTGGTGGGAAACAATATCGAAACGTCAATGATGACATTATGGCGGGAAAATAACATTTTTTTAAAAATAATTTCGTAATTTGCATACTGTAATTTTATAGGTGTGTTTCGGCAATTAAATTTGTCAAAGCAGCTTTGGTAAAAAAATACTTGAAAACCTTTTGCCACTTGACAAAGTTCGCTTGGACAATTTTTTTGTGATGAAATGTCATACACAGAAAACTTTAAAAGTTAAAGTCCAAAGCTACTTTTATAGTACGCCGACGTTGAGTAGCAGTTTGATCGATTATCGATTATAATTATCAAATCTACTTTGTTCAACACACGGTCTTTCTAGAAACTCAGATTTCCTATAGTAGAGAGTTGCAGATCCAGATGCCGTCGCAATCGACAGATACATTTTATATTTGTTGCCATTTTTACATGGCCATACCCATGTTTTAGACCCCTCCCCACCTACTAAAATCTCGCCTCGCCCGTGAATGTACCTATTTTTTCTGGTTACTTTAGTCCTTTTCGGGATATCGACATTCGTAAACACTTTTTCTTTGTCTACATGCTGATATTCTTATCGACATGCCATTTCATTGTAACAGATTAGAAATGTTTAGCATCGTTTATCAGCTACGCAGCGATTGATTAATACATTCAATAGCAATTGGATAAGTTGAGATTTTAGATGTTTCAAATATCACTGGGATTAAGTAATGTAAAAAATCATCATTATAAATTTAGTCATGATTAGCTTCGACTTCATTAAAAATCAACTATTGACGAGTAAACGTAAAAAGAAAAAAAAATTTGATATTTAGTTTGGGGTTTTTAGTTATATGTTCTCTGTAGAAGAACTCTTCTCCGCTTTTAACCTCGCAATCTCCTCGCCAAGGGTGTCAATATTTTCCTGTAATTAAAATAATAAAAATTCACAAAAAAGTAAATTTCTTTTTTCTCTTACTGCAACCTTATCCTGTCTTGTAAGCGCTTTTTCAAAACATAAATATCATGCGACAACGTGGAAAACACCCAGACCCGACCTGTGGGGTCACACAAACAGTTGTCTCGAGTGGGAATCGAACCCACGGCCCCCGGCGCCGATGCCAATGACTAGGCAACTGCGCCATGGAGTCTTAGATGTCCAATGGCAGACGTCAGTTGAGGGTGATCCTTCTAATCATCAAGACAACCCCAAGATACCCCTTGAAAAGATTTGAAACATTCCATACATGCCGACTCTTTTATAAAGAACACATTTTTTTAAAAGGCTAATATTTAAATTGTTTATAGCGCTAATCTTTGCACTTAAGATTGAACATTAAAATATGTAGAAAAAGTGAGAAAAGATTGTCGTCGCTGTGGGAATCGAACTCAAGTCTTCGGCATTCGCGGCCTGACGCTCTAGCCACTGAACTAAACGGCTGATTGCCACACCGACGAAAATCCTAATGCATTCTTCCACATTGTTTTCTTATGTTCGATTCCCACAGCAGTGACAATCTTTTCGCACTTTTTCTACATATTTTAAGGCTAATATTATAAAACACAATGCAGAGCCAGTGAGAGTGCTGGCCACGTGTCCAAGCGTGGTAGAGCCATGCAACAGCTTCGGCTGTTGCGCGAATGGGCAGGTCCTTGCGGGTAAGTACCACGACCTTACAAAAGACCGGCGTGAAGTGGAAATGTCATCAGTTTGTTAAAGATGGAAACGCATCTGCTGTATCATAGACTGAATAGCTAACATCACTAACAGTGTGTTCTATATTAATCCGTGGTTGTTTGTCTCTCGGCACTTTTGATATACTGTTAATCCAAGAGAGAGTAAGGTCAGATTTGTATAATAATCTAAAATATATAAAAAGACATTGAACGTTCCCCCAATAATTGTTTTATTAAACAATACATCTGCAACCCTACGGTTGTTGGAAATGTTAATGCGCGGCGGTTATCACTTACCATCAGGTGGACCGCCAGCTCGCCTGGCACCTACTCACATAAAAAAACAATTTATAAAGATTGACATTAAAAAACACAATTGCAAAGCCAGTGAGAGAACGCAGCCACCTTCAGCGTGATGTTCTTCAGGAGCGTGTCCTCCAGGAGCGCCTGGAGCTTCTTGTTCATCTCCAGGGAGAGATCCAGGGTCATGCCGCCCGGGTCCCCGCCCCAGATGGCCGCCATGGCGCCACCGCCGAGTTTCGCTATCTCCTTCTGAGAGTGTAATATAGCCTTACTTCCTTACTAATATTATAAAGGCGAAAGTTTGTATGTATGGATGGATGGATGTTTGTTACTCTTTCGTGCAAATACTAATGAATGGATTTTAAAGAAACTTTACAATAATATAGCTTATACATCAGAATAAGACATATAGGCTATAATATATATAAGCTATAATTTATATACATATTTGTATGTATACAGGGAGGCTTTTCTATGTGTATCCATTTTTTTAATTAAATTCTAGACATAAATAATGTTATATAAAAAATTAGAAATATTTAAAATCACTTGTCATTAATTAACTACAATCATTTTAACATGTCTCAAAAAGTGCGTGATTGATGGGCAACTCATTTATTTTACGCGCGATCATTCATAACTAACACGCACACTAGTTCGTTTCAAAAGTATACGAGGCATTTATGAATGACTACCGCATTGTCAACAAGTTCAGTTTTTATGGAACAGATTGGCTATTTTTTTGAAAAAAAAAAGTTTGTTTTTATTTCAATAAACGATTATACTACCGAGTATAAACCTCCTGTTTGTATTTGGGCACCTTTAGAAAAGCCTCCCTGTATATGTCTTTCTGTCTGAATATTACGCCTTCAGCCTGTTCTACGCAGACGTAGTCGCGGGCAGCAGCTAGTAACAACATATACGTGAATGGATTGTGTTATGTATGAAACACTGAAGATATAAACTCGCGTTCAGTAGATTTTCCGAAACAAATAAAGCCAGAGGTATTACGTATAATCGATTTCAAAGTCAAATTAAACAACAATAAAATTATTAAATCGGTAATTAGAGTTCTATTGTATGGTGTACTGATGAGCTCAGCTTTCATTTATTACGCTAAAGCTTAGTGGCTGGTAATATAAGTTATGTCTAAACATGCATACTATAAATTAAAATTATAAAATAGTAGTTAAGTTTTAATTCTCCCTTGGTAAATTATAATATTTCTAAGGGTTGTTAATGTATTGTAATTGAACTGACTGTAAGCCTTCTTCAACTTTAATTTCTACTTGGTGGAAATGTTAAGTTACGCAACTATATTTATAAAAACTTAAGTGGAACGACTCCGCGGTGTGGTTGTCAAGGTATTGGGTTCAGCGCAGGGGACGTGGGTTCGATTACCACACGAGCAATGTTTAAAAAAATTTAATGAAAATAAAAAAAAACATTACGATAATAACGCAGGGATGTTCTAAACATCATAAAATTAATAAAACAGGGTGAAAAGCGAGCGCTAAGGTAAAACTTCTCCATCCAAATCTCATCTATTAACGAAGCAATATATTAATTACCTTTGTCAATTTCCTTGCCAACTGTGAGCAGAAATTAGATATTTAGCAAATTAACGCTGGCCTCTACGAAAACACGCGATTGATTACTAACTAATTAGCAGCCATCATTGTAACGATAGATTGGAAACGGTGGAAACTGCTAACATATTGTGTCAAAACCAAATCGGGAACGACATACTGCCTGTTAATGTTTAAATAAAACCTTAATAAAAAATGTAAAATTTCACGGCACTACCAGGATTCGAACCATTGATTGTAGGCAAGTGCTAAAAATAAAAACTAAAACAGGCATAAGATTGCATGAACCAATAAAATTTACATCTGGTTGGTGCAAATACGGCCAAAGTTATTGATGCAAATACGATTTAGTTGCTATTACTGGTGTGTATCGTATTGTTCAGGCGAATAAAAGTACATTTTTATATATATAAATATATTTACATCACACTTTAGCGTTGTCTTCCTTAGCTCAAATTGTTCAAACAAAAAGCCTACCAGCTCAAAGTTTGAAGACGTAATTTTCATATTTGACCCAACAGCGCTTACACACTGTCTCACCACAATACTACTATATCTCAATCTGTCAACATAGCTGCTATATTCCACCTCATCGTTACTATATTTCGACTGCTAGCTAGCTGGCTGAGACATAGCTACTCCCCATAATACATCCCACCCCATCAGATTAAATCCCATCTCATCAGCGCCCTACATCCCACCTAATAAGCGCCCTACATCTCACTCATCAGCGCCCCACATCTCACTCGTCAGCGCGCCACATCTCACCCGTCAGCGCACCACATCTCAATCGCCAGCGCGCCACATCGCGCCCCGTAACGCCCCCCGCCCCCCACCTTGTTGGCGTCGCTGCGCGGCGGCGCGACGGCGCCCGCCGGCTGCGAGGCGAGCAGGTGCCTCAGCAGGCGCGCCTTGCCCCGCAGCTCGCTCGTCAGCTGGCGCGCGTGCTCCTCGAGGAACTCGCAGCGCTCCGCCCGCCTCGCGGCGGCGCGCTGCAGCGACACTATCCTCTCGATCAGCGCCTGCCTGCCCGGCTCGCGGGCCTGCAAGGGTCGAACGCTCATTGTTTTTTTTTTTAATTTTTTTTTAATTGAGTGAACATGAAAACTTTTCGCCAAATTGAGAAAACAATTTATCGGCTACGCAATGCACAGTGCACTCTTACATATTTGTCGCTCAAATAGCAAAATAAAATAAGCATAGGTTACGCTTGCAGTTGAAAAGAATAACTAAACAATAAATGAAAATGAAAGACAAAAAGGAACAATAATGTTACTATTATAATAATCTGTATAAAAGCCTTTAACTTTTTTTTTTGATGATATTCTTGCTTATACAATCACGGTTATGTTAGCAGGACTGTGATGCAAGCGGCACACCACAAGTATATTTTTGATTAACAAAAAAACGAAACCGTCTTCAAAATTGAACTCGCTACACATTTTCGATTCGATTTCGAGGTGTTCCCTGATGTATCTCCGAAGCTCAAGGCAAAAGTAATTTTTAAAAATCGACGTTTGTAGGTAACGAAAATAATAAAAGCCGCCTCAAAGAAGTCGTTTCGTCTGGTGTTCTTGGCAACACAAGTATTACATCTGGGGGGCTGCCACAGGTAAAAATTACAGTTTTGGCATTTTTCCTAATATTGGGAAAGCGAAAAGCGAAGGTATAACAGTATGATCGGCAAACGACAGTTGAAAATTTCTGTATGAGAGGATTATATCCTGTACTCTATTTAAAAGACGATTAGTGAAATAAACAGAAAATTATGTTAAAAATAAAACAAGGAGAAATCATCTACAGGAGACCTTTATGCCAAAATAAAAAAACCACGACAAACTAGATGTGTTAAATTAATTATTATTATTATCGTTTCGAGATCTGTCCAACAGACGTCCTAAAAATTATTGCAATGGTCTAGTCATAACTACTCTGCTGAATAAATTAAACTAATAGTACTTATATATCTATATATTTAGGGAGTATCAATTTGTTTTTCAATTTATTTACTATTTGATACTAATATTGTATAATAATATAATAAGAATGTCTATCATACACGACAAATAAGAAAAATTATGAAATACGAGAATATTATAATATGATATAGAAATATATAGAAATTTGTACCTTACCGTTATATATTATAATATGATATAACGGTAAGGTACAAATTTCTATCAAATCACTGTTTAATCTTTTATAGCTAATCAATACTAAAATACAATTAACAAAAAAATCTAAGTCAGACCTTCGCAAGTGCCCTATCGAATAAACTCGAATGTTTGATCTGTAACGGAATGCATTTATTGCAACGTTAAAACCATAATATTTTATGGCGTAGGCAGAGATGAAGTGGTTCAAAAATCATAAAACAAAACGAATCGGTGTTTTTATACCAGTATCTCATTAATAAATCAGAAAAAATATAATAGAAGTCGATAGATAAATTATATAGCTTCAGAATCCAATGCACAATAAAGCTAATCTATGGGTTCCAACTCTATGGCAGCTTGTCTTTGGCTAGCTTAGCTACGAGAGGCTACTCTACTAAGATTGCTAGCTTTTCTGTAGAGTGTAGCGATGTCAAAAAAAAAACTGTTGTATAGTTGTATTGAATTGATTTTGTGTGGACGGGTTTGGGTAGTAAGTCTCAAGAACCTACGACCTAGAAAGGTCCATTGTAATCTTCCCTTCGACAACATTGCCCAAGGATAATAATAATAAATAAATATTTTACGACACATTTGTACACAACATTTTCTAGTCCCAAACTAAGCAAAGCTTGTACTATGGGTACTAGAAAACTGATAAACATACTTAAACATACTTTTCTATTTGTAAATAAATACATATTATACATATAGAAACACCCAGACACTAAAAAAACACCATGTTCATCACACAATATTTTTCCAGTAGTGGGGATTGAACCCACACCCTCTGGCGCAGGAGGCAGGTACACTACCCACTACACCATTTGGGTCGTAAAGGATGATACTATCCTGTGTTATGATACATGAATTTCACGTGGACAACCACCCAGATCCGAAACCAAAATCTGTGTGTCACACAAATAGTTGTCCCGTGTGGGAATCGAACCCACGGCCCCCCTCACCCAAACTAATGGCCTGGCAACTGCGCCACGGAGTCATCGCTGTCGTATACTAGAGAGTCGATCCACGAAATCAGAAGACCACTGGGTTTTCTGACTTCGTGTAGGTTCTGACTTCAGGTAGGCTGCTACCTGAACATCCGGAACGGTGTCTGCCAACCCGTTCTGCGTCTTCTCGTCGCTGGCACCACCTTCCCCGCTGCTCAAGGACGTGATGGAACCTGGAGATCGGTTACGTGTGCCTCGCTTATTTAATTTTATCCAAAATTTCGCAGTCTACGATAGTATGTTAAGGAACTTGCGAATCAATATTATTTTATAACCTTAATCAAATTAATTTCACAAATAGATAAATTTTGTTTGTTTGTTGCTGCTTGTTGATATGGGTAATCTGAGAAACATTTTTCAACAACGTCTTATTACAAGTATCTCCTTCTAACACTATGTTTTATCTCTTATAAATTCATTCAACCCATTCATATGCTTTGTGACCTTTACAAATGAACTTTACGTTACAGTTTTATACTTAGAGTGTTCTAAAAATAATGGTTTTGTAAAATTTAATAACTCTGTAAATATTGATGTTTAAAGAATGTAAATGCTTAATACAATTTTAAAAAGTTATCCTCTATATGTGTGTTCATTTATTGTCGCGATCGTAACGACACGCTGTATATATAATTCGCGTTCTGTACGCGTGTATGTCACTGAATTTCTAAACGGCTGGACCGATTTTAATGAAATTTTTTGGTGTCTTCTGGTGGATTCGAAAATGGTTTAGATTCACAATTCGGTCCACTACAATTTTTTTTTATTTCAAAATTGTAGAATTTATCTCGTGTGTACAGGACGTCTGTCCGGTCCGCTAGTATGTATGGATGGATGTTTGTTACTCTTTCACGTAAATACAACTGAATGGACTTTAATGAATCTTTACAATAATATAGCTTATACATCAGAATAAAATATAGGCTATAATTTATATACATATTTTTATGTTTATACGTCTTTCTGTCTGAATGTTACGCCTTCAGCCTATTCTGCGCAGACGTAGTCGCGGGCGGCAGCTAGTTTATTATAAATATCCCCACCGGTCCTGGTTGAGGCTGCGTTGAACTGCTGCAGCTTCGCCTCCAGCTGATCGCCTCGCTTTAGCGCCCTCTGCAGCTCGCGGTTCAGCTCCTGCGGGTGTCAGCAGCCGATATATCTCAGATCTGGTCACTGTACACACCCACACTCCCGTACCATGATTTATAGTCAGAATGACTACAACTCATAAGACATGAAAAAGCGTCAGGTGTGTGCGCGTATTATAGCAGCGAACGCAAATCAACATAGAAAAACTATACCGTGACGGCGCCGGGCTTATATACCGTACCGCGAGGCGGTTTTAGGGCTACATCCCTTGCTACTTAGTTGGACTAACAAATAAGTCCATTTCTGTTTGACGATAATTCTGTGTATTATTGATTTCTATTTTGTATATGCGTGCGATAACTGGCAGTGAGAGTTGTGGCGCTATTTATTAACAATCACTTGTATGAACGTGCAAATTCTATGTTTTATTAGCGTTCATTGTATTATGGTCACAATTTTCGATTTAATTTTATCAAAAATCTATACTAATAAGTACACACCTTTATGGCACTGGAGTGCTTCTTCTTGAGCACACTGTTCTCGCCCTTCTCCCACTCCAAACGCTTGCCGACGTCCGCCACTTCCTCCGTTAGTTCGGCCACCTGGAAAGACGACAAGGGGAGATATGGTAGTGTTTGTGTGCACTCTGCGGCTCTATGCAACCAGACATATGCAAACAAACCGGCGATTTTTATAACATTAAATGAATGAATGAATGAATGAATGAATGAATGAACGGATGAAAACTTATACAGTCTTAAGATCCCATGAATAGACTAACGGATTAATTGAACGAACTTCGAATGTCGTGAGATCACGTAGCAGCTTCTGTTGTATAAATAGGCTGGCTTTTACTGTTAAGTACCATGGCCTCACAGAAGAAGTGTTTCACTTTTGCGTTTTGTCTCACATCTCTTTCTTCTTCTCTCCAGTGCTTGGTCTCACATTACCGGTGGTAGAGCCACGCAGCAGCCTCGGCTGTTGCACGAACGGGCAGGCTCGTCCGGGTAAGTACCAAAACCGGCGTAAAGTGGAAGTATGACAAATACTTTCGCGTTTCGTCTGGTGAGTGAGGTAGCCGGAGCCCAATTTCAACGCATCTGCAAACCCTCGGGTGTAGCAGATATGGGCGGCGGTATTCACTTAATATCAGGGGAACCGTCTGCTCGTTTGGCAACTTTTCACATAAAAAAAAACATCCAGTCGACCTTGGTGGGACCAAGGTCGACTGTTCTTTAAGTTTGGCAGAGTTTAACATCTGGTGGATCCCCGCCCACCAACTGCTCGCATAAGAAAAGAAGAGCGAACGAATGATTGAATTCATATAAAACCAAGAAAGAAGCGACGAATGATTGAATTAATATAAATTAAATTCTATGCTAAGTTTTATAATGCTAATCTAACCACTTAATATGAAACGTTAAAATTCATGTCCGCCGGCGTAGCGAAAAACTGTTTAGCTTAATGATTAAACAGTTTGTGCGCGCTTCTTGAGGACGTGGGTTCGATCCCCGCAGCGGCGTAGATCTTTTCGTCGAACGTAAGACTGAATGAACGATTGAATGGACGATTGAATGAACGATTGAATGAACGATTGAATGAACGATTGAATGAACGATTGAATGTACGTACCTTCCGCGCCAGCACGCGGTTCTCCCTCTGCCTGCGCGCTTCCTCCTCTGCGAGCGAGGCGCTCAGCCGCTCGACCTCCGACTGTAGCGTTTCGGCGCGCTCTCGCAGCGACGCGTTGTCCGCAGAGAGCGCTTGCGCCTAAAAATGGAGAGACGCCTTCTATCTCTAATCGGTACTATAATTATCTCTGTAACTATAGAGCTCCTTGGCCTCATACAACAGCTGGTATCGTTCCAATCCTGAAAGTTTCACCCTGCTTCGTACTTTAGCCAAACCCTCCTGGTTCCTAATTCAAATCAGCTTCACTTTGGCTTCGTAGTTTAGCCAGTTTCGATCAAATCCCGACTAGCGATAGTGTACGGCCTCATACTCGTACTAATACGTTCTAATTACATTCCAATCTGAACTGTACTACCCTAGTAATAGAGCGCGTTTCACTTCAACAGTGGGTACGCGGGTGTGGTGAAACTGGTGTCGTTTCAATCCCAACCGTATCGCCTTAACAATAGAGCGCGTTTCACCTCGGCCTCCTGCTCGCCGCTGCTATCTTTCCAAACTCGACCGTATCGTCTAAACAATAGAGCGCGTTTCACCTCGGCCGCGTACTCGCGCTGATGTCGTTCCAATCCCAACCGTATCGCCTTAACATTAGAGCGCGCTTCACCTCAGCCTCGTACTCGAGCCGCTATCGTTCAAACCTCGACCGTATCGCCCTAACAATAGAGCGCGTTTCACCTCGGCCTCGTGCTTACGCTCCTGTCGTTCCAACCTCGACCGTATCGCACTAACAATAGAGCGCGTTTCACCTCGGCCGCGTACTCGCGCTCGTGTCGTTCCAAACCCAACCGTATCGCCCTAACAATAGGGCGCGCTTCACCTTGGCCTCGTGCTCGCCGCTGCGCGCCCGCTGCGCCACGTGCTGCGCGGTGAGCCGCGCCGCGTGCTCGAGCGCGGCCGCCTCGCGGCGGGCGCACGTCTCGGCGCGCGCCCGCTCCGCGCCCAGCGCCTCCTCCGCCCGGCACGCGCGCTCCGTCTCGCTGCGGGCGGAACCGATCGTGTATTTTTTTTACAAGCTAACTGCCCATTGACAATTGCAACGCCCGTAGGGTTGCAGTCGCGGCCAGCGGTGGCAGGGTCGCGGCCGTGTGCGAAAGCGTTCCCGTGGCCCTGCCGGTATGCGTCTGGGTGGGACATCGCGGCGGTTTCACTCGGTGCGAGTCCAACATTACCCGCTCTTGCCCCTTGCCTTAACAAAAAAAAGCTCCGCAACCCGCCGGCACTAGAGGACTCCGTGGCGCAGTCGTCAAGGTATTGGCTTCGGCATCGCGAGTCGTGGGTTCGATTCCCACACGGGGCAACTGTTTGTGTTACCCACAGATGGTTGTTTCGCGTGGAGGCGTTTGTCCGCGTGATATCTATGGTTATAAAACTTCCTTGCAACACAGGATAATGTTATAATTAAAGTTAGGGCAGTTTTTTCAATAAAAAATAAAGGAATAAAAAGCCGTCACATCAGTTTTTCATGTCAAAATCTGGCGGTTCACCTTATAAAAAAATACGAAATCGATTCGAAAAGGCTTCAAATTTAGAACCTCATGCTCTTTTAGAAGGCGGTTAAATATCTATAAAGTAAAGTAAACATATACAACTACACAGGTCTACAGCTCAGACAATCCGATCAAACAGAATGCGATAACCGATGGGGAAGATCTCGAGTGGCCACCGCATTGGTAGACGACCCTAGAACAGGGGAACGGAGAAGAAGACGAGAAAAGGGAGATACCGTTGTAGCTGTGAGCTGAGGGTATCGGCGAGTGCCGCCTGCGCCCTCAGGGCTGCCAACTCAGCTGCCTCCTCCTCCAGCCGAAGATTGTGTGCCTTCAGCTTCTCCACCTGGAAAAGATAAATAAGAATATCGGTCATTTGGCGCGTATAACATTGCTTGATACGCGCATCAGATGTCGGAGTAGCATTTCTAGGGTTGGCGTGACGTTAAAAATAAACATCGGTAATTACTGTTATTTGACTCGGCGGTGCCGTTGCTGAGCTAATGGCTTCGGTGTCGTGGATCGTGGGTTCGATTCCCACGCGGGACAACTATTTGTGTGGCCCACAGATGGTTGTTTCGCATCTGGGTGTTTGTTTCCCAAGAAGGCTGGTGGCCGGTCGTAAGAACATACACAAAACAGCTTATAACATGATTCAAATGTTGTGCCGACTCAACCTAGGTGGGATAAAGGCAGGAGGGTGATGATTAGTAACGAATTCAAAGTAAAACGTAGGCATTGAAGGCTTTCTATTCTATAGAAGACAATAGTGTATTTCAGGAATGCGGGCAACCCTCACCTCGTCATTGGCGCTGGAGAGGGCAACACTGGCCTCGTCCCGCTCCCTCCTGCACGTCTCCAGCTGCTGGGCAGTGGAAGACAGCCTCCTTTCGAGCTCGTCTTTCTCATGGCGGCAGAGTATCAGCGCCGCTTGGCTCTCCTTCAGTTCGGCCTCTGCAGTTTACGAGTTACGAGTTAAAGAGGGAATCTCTGAATGTTCCGTAGTAAAGTTTATGTGAACGGACATCCGATCGATTTTCGTATTTAATCTGTGACGCGACTAGAACATTCTTTGACGCAAGCGGGTAGTTCTATGACAAAATGCAGTGCGCGGCTCGCGAGTTTCGATTTTTAAATATCGTGGTTGATCTAGTTGAAATTGTATAAAATTTGTAATCTGTTATTGGTCAATATATCTTTGGCGTATTCGGATAGAGCCGCTGTGCTCGCAGTCACTGTGTCGCTTGTTGGACGGTGGTTGTCACTTAACATCAGGTGTGCCGCCAGCTCGTTTGCCACTTTGTCAATTAAAAAAAAAAAATAAAAAAACACTATATTTACTACTACTACTACGTAATTATGACAATATAAGCATTTATGTTGATGACGTCACAGATAAATATCAAGATTGTAGAGAAATGGATGTTGTATATAATACTCAACATTAAGTGTGACTTTCAAAATTAGCAAGTCATTTACCAGCAACCTGTATTTTATACTACATACATTTCTCTACAATCTTGATATTTATATGTTGTGTTGGTTGAGAGACAGGAATTGAGCGCGCCCTAGCGTACCAATCTAGCCCCCTAGCCCGATCTATCTTGCAAAAATGTCATTCGGTGTTGCCGTAACAAAATAAAAATGAAAAAGTGTGGAGTGTTATACCGAGAGCTTTGGCGCGGGCGGAATCGCTGGCGCCCGCAGCCGCAGCGCTCTTAGCCGCCTCGAGCTCGGCCATTTGCTGGCCTAGTTTCTCGGCGCGTTCCGAGGACTCCTATAAAGGTAATAGAAACATATAAATATACAGCGTGTCGTTACCATCGCGACAATAAATGAACACACGTCTAACGCTACTTGCCAATAATCATAAAAAATATTAACTATAAACAAAATCCATAACTAAAAAAAAATATTTTTCAAACAAACTAATTAAGTAAAAAAGAAACAAATTTTTTAACATCCTATACAACTCGCGCCACAGCGTCGTATTACAAGCCTCTCCTTCCAAATCTTCTTCCAATTTACAAATGAACTTTACGCTACAGTTTTATACGCAAGGGTGATCTAAAATTCTTTGTTTTTTTATATTTTATAACTCTGTAAATATTGATGTTTAAAGAATGTGAATGTTTAATACAGTTATCCCCTATATGTGTGTTCATTTATTGTCGCGATTGTAAAGACAGCTGTATAAGAATTTTATTTTTTATCAACGCAAAACAATACCGACTTTAAATAACTCTAAATAGCTCTGTATTCATTTTATAACTGATTTTCAGGAGTTCCCTAATTACCTCCGGAGCCCAAGATCCAATGCCGATGAAATTAATATGGGACCACATGAGAGGCGACAGCTTTCAAATAGAAAGAGAATCATAAAAATCGGTCCACTCAGCCGAAAGATCTGAGGTAACAAACATAAAAAAAAATACAGTCGAATTGAGAACCTCCTTGAAAATTTGACGATGATCCCGTGGCGCAGTGGCCGAGGTGTCGGCTTCGGTGTCGGGGGTCGTGGGTTCGATTCCCACACGGGACAACTATTTGGGCGACCCACAGATAGTTGCTTCGCATCTGGGTGTTTGTCCGCAAATTTATGTATGTAAAACGTTCTCACAACATAGGATAATGTTAGCCTAAAGATTAGCACAGAACAAAAGATAAAGAAAAAAAATCTTTAACAATGACTCAAAAAAGTTGTAGATAGAAATTATCCGTATATGGAAGCAATATAAAATAACGATGTTCAATTTTGAGTTACGTTAACAATTTCAAGCCCCTAGCTCTTGGGAGGTTAGTTTTAAATCCATTATAAAATTTTCGTCATTTTTAGGGGTCCGTACCCAAAGGGTAATAATGTCCGTCCTTCTGTCACTAGGCAATATCTCAAGACCGTGTTAATTTTTTTTAAGTGGTGCTCCCATAAGACAGACAATATTTGCCGTTTTTTATACATAATGGTACGGAACCATTCGTGCCTGAGCCCGCCTCGCACTAGGCGCGTTTTTCAATTTTTATTTTGTAAACCAGACCAATGCCATTATCGAGATTATTCAAACGTTGTGCCGACCCCACCTAGATGGAATAATGATGTTCCTTATACCCATACCTTGTAGGCGTCCATCTCCATTCTTAGCTTGCTCTGGGTCCACTTCAATCTGCCCTCCAGTTCCTTCAAGTCCTCGCGAAGCTTGGCTACCTCTCTGTCGCTGTTCTGCAGCTCGTGGCACTGCCGTATTGCATTTTTCATAGTGAAAACAGAGATATAAACTATTGTTAACGTCTTTTTCGTGTAAACTAACCGGCCTACCAGAAATTGTCTCTCGAAAACGTTGCTAGCTCTTAGACTAAATGGGCAGGCCTGTCCGAGGAAGTACCACGGCGTCGCTGAAGACCGACGAGTATTGGAAGTGTTATTCTGCATTTCGTCTGGCGAGTGACGATGTGAAAGTCCAATAGAAGGAAGAGCATAACGCAATTTTTGGTTCAGTACCCAAAGGGCAAAACCTATTATAAGACTCCGCTTTCTATCTGTCTGTCACTAGTGTATCTTATGCGATAGTTAGACAATTGAAATTTTCACACATGATTTTTGCCGTTTATATAGGTAATGGTACGAAACCCTTCGTGCGCGAGTGCGAATCGCACTTGGCCGGTTTTCTTACGTGTTGATTGCTTTAGAATTATTTTTCACTAGCTTTTCGCCCGCGGTTTCGCTCGCGTTGAATTAATAATAAAGCTTTTAGGAATATTAGACAGACGAATTTTTAATACATCAATGTTTCGTTTGAAAATCCCTAAATTAAAAATATTCTACATACGTAGATCGCGCGCGCACTAACGTCCTAAGTAGAGGCGCGCCTACTGGAGTGTTAAATAAATATCTTTCAATCATTTACAACACTTTTTTTTTTAATTAGAAAATAGCCTATGTCCTTTCTCAGGCTCTAGACTATCTGTGTACCAAATTTCATTTAAATCGGTTCAGTAGTTTTGGAGTGAAAGCGAGACAGACAGACAGGCTTTCGCATTTATAACATTTGTATGGAAGTATGGATGCACATGGTAACACTGGACGTACCTTGTCGTCGTACAGCTGGCATATGCGCTGCTTCTCTGTGTGGGCCGACTTGAGCTTGGCGGCTAGTAGATCGCACTCAGCGGCAGCCGCTTGCTGGGCCTTTCTAGCAGCTTCCGCCGCCTTCTTGCCCTCTATGGCGGCGCACTCCGCGCCCGCGTACCTCATCACGGCCGCGTTAGCGTCCTTCTGCGCCTGCTCGACTCGCTTGCTCATCTGAGGGAGGGGGAGTTTTCGAGATCGTATAAACACGGACCCAATTTTGGGTAAGGTAAAACAAATATCGTATCGGGCACTGTGATATCATACGCCTTGATCTCAGTGCCAGCGCGCTCGCCTTCAATCTAATATGATCGAGCAACCGAGTTCGAACCCCGGTGCTGGCCAATGAAACTGTCAATTTGAATTGCTGACTTCTATCACGCGCTCTGCGGTGAAGGAAAACATTGTGATAGGTGCACTTCGAAACAATAGCAAAAAAAAATTCGAAGATGTGAACTCCGCCGACCCGCAAAGGGGCCGCGTGGTGGAACCATGCTTCCCAGCGGACTTCTATGGACTTCCCAGCGGTGGGATATGTATAGGCTCTTGCTTTATTTTACTTTTTTTTACAAATATACACGCATAGAAACAAGCACTCTGAACAGTTAGCCTATGAAGTAGTGTTGGGTATTGATAGTCTGCTATCTGCTTGCTGTATTAAAATATGTAGAAAAAGTGCGAAAAGATTGTCGCCGCTGTGGGAATCGAACCCACGTCTTCGGCATTCGCGGCCTGACGCTCTAGCCACTGAGCTAAACGGCTGATTACCACACCGACGAAAATCTTAACGCATTCTTCCACATTGTTTTCTTAGCATTTGAAGCAATACTTCAACACAGAATAATTTTATACTACAGTAACGGGATAATGTTTTCGAATGGAAGACTACAAAAGATCTCCTAGATCAAAGTAGTGGTTGTGACTTACTACCCAACCCGAAAAAAAATACAAATACATGTGACTTTTGCCAAATCCCAATGCCAGGACCCAACCCAAATCTTATTTAACTTACCAAATCCAACTTGTTCTCCATTTCTTTGAACCTCTGGTCTCTTGCATGTAGGTCATCAACTTGCTGCTTAACTCTCTCCCGTAAAATTGCATTTTCCTTTCTCTGTTCAAACAGCATTCTTTCTAAAGATTCCACTTGCAGCTTCAACACATTGTTTTTCGCCACAGGATCATCTTCACCATTAATATCTGATGCTTTTATTTCATTCATATTTACACTTTTTAGTTCTTCAGTTATTTTTTCAGAACCACTGGAATTTTCCGGCTGCACATCAATTGCATCTTCAAATATGTCATTCATAACTTTACCATTAACTATTTGCTTGGGGTTCTTACTTGGGGCCCTCTGTGCTGATACACGTTGAGTATAGGCATTCTTAAGATTACCACTTACCGACCAGAATATTCCATGGACATTTTTAACAATACTGCCCAGGTCTTGGGACAGGATTTCTTTTGGTAACCTACTTTGTTTAGTATCATTATTTATCTGAAAATTCTCTGGAATTATCTTTTGTATAGCTGTAACTTTACTTTTTTGGTTACTGAACTCGGATAAAATTTGTTCCTCATTAAGATTGCTGGAACTAGAGTTAAAGTTTTTTGTATCCTTAGTTTCTTCTAAATTTGATATGTTTTCAGCACTTCTACTATATGGAGATTTACACATAATACTGTTATCTGAACATAATGTGGCATCATTTAAGCTAATTGTTGAAGTTGTTAAGTTTCTGTTGCAAGAATTATCTAAATCTGATTGCATGTACTTAGGAACAATATGGTTACTGTTTACATAATGTTCTTCGCTAGCTAAACTGGATGGAATATGTGGAATATCAGCATCTAAAAGTTTAATATTTTCATCTTCAGCTATATCAACATTGTCTTTGGTTAAAATAGATTCCTTGTCAGTTGCTTCAGTGGGATGTAAAGGAAAATCATTAAAAGTAGTATTATAAGTAGCTTTCTGCGGAAATATGGAAGGTAGAATACCCTCGCTTTCGTTTCGAGGGGTTTCAACATTTTCATGTTCATCGCGGTCATCTTTACAAGTTCCTAAATATTTGAGAGGTGATACGTCAGAGTCTGAAGAAATTGTTTGAGTAATAGAACTTAGTTCTTCAACATCCAGCCCTGAGTCACTGTTTGAACCACTTTTCAATATAATTTCTTGCTCCAAACCGTCTACGTCGACACTATCAACATTTGGAGAGTCAACAACGCTCTCTTTGGACATGGCTGCTATTTACAACTGCAGCTTGAAATATACACATAAACTTATTTTGGTGAATTTAACTAAAGCCATGGGAACAGAATTTTAGAATTTTTTTATCAATAAAAATAAACATCTGTAGTTGACGTTAATCTTACGATGTCGTTCCGTTCCGAGCAAGTTAAAAGTCAAAAATTGACACACTCTCTGGCGCAGAAAACATTCCATATGGTACACATAAAGGAAAATATGTTTCATTAAAGGAAAAATAATTGTAGTCTAAGATATTTATTTACCGATTTTATACAATTTCCTTAAAAATATTATTCAGAAAAGCTTTAATGGAAATAGTTTCAAATATTTGTCATTAATGGTTATTACAATATTATATTTAATCCATCATTAACAATAATTGCCAATAGATTTAAAAACCATTTAGGTCAATTGTATAACCATCCAGTTTTTATGGAATATGTATTAGCAGTATTTTAATTAATAAAATGATTAATATAATATGAATAAATTAATGTAATATACACGTTACAAGATTAAATGAATACTTTACACTTCTGTGAAGTTTCCTTCGCATTTATTATTTTACTAATGAGTTTCATTTGCAGAATTATAAAAAGTAAAATTTTATAGCTACAGAGAATATTAACTTTTATTCACCAAAAGTTATAGGTACCTAGTGTCAGTTGATCAAGATGTTATACGTTTTTTAGGCTTTTCCTCATGAAATAATTTCACGAGGAAAAGCCTTGAGAGAGAACAACCATTTATTTCACCCATATGAGCTGCATCTTTTTTTTTTTGTTAATGTTAGCGCGCATATTACACACCAACGCACGCACACACGGAGGACTCGGTGGCCCGCTTTCCGCATCTAACTTCGGGTCGAGCACTCACCGACCAGACGGCGTTACAGCGACACGTGTAAAATTATCTTGCATTAAATTTTATACATTTTAAAGTTGAAGTTCATTATTTTCCAACAACGGACATCGCCAAGAACCTTCCTCCCCAGTTTACGTGGGGGAAATGCCTACGCATACCCACCCTCGCGGGGGCAAGAGCGGGTTATGTCGCACTCGCACCGACTAAAAACCCTACGATATTCCACCTAGGCGTATATCGACACGCCACAGGAACGATTTCGCACACATCCAGCCATCACCAAACACACGACCCTACCAGCGCTGGCCATCTCAGCAGCCCCCTCTCGGGGAGCAACTCCCCTCTTCTCCAAGTAAGACGCACTGGAAAATTCAGCACATCTTCCTACACGGCCACTTTTTCACGGTCAACGGAACTTCCCCGAGTTCGCTGACCAGAGGCCATGGGAGCCAGGAGTGCCAGTGCACATAAGCAGCAAGCCTCCCAACCTCCAGCGGTGGACCTGGTATGTGGCTCCGCCGCTCACCACGTTTCGGTCATGGAAGGTAGGGAGAACGGTGCGCCGCAATACCGACACTCCTCTCCCCCCACGGCCTCACCGCCACTGCATCAGCGTTGAAGCCCCGCCGAGTCGCGGAGGATAGCGCGGCCAACGCAATACCGGCACTCCTCTTCCCTCGCGACTTCTCCTCGGTAGCAGAAGACAGGGAGAGTGGCTCCACCTCTACCACCCTCGATCTGTCCCTCCTGCACGCATCTAAAGTGGGCTCAACGAGCCTAATTTGAATGGCCCTCTCGGGCCAGCCTTACACCATAGGCCGGTCCAGTGTGGGATCCTCTTAGCTTCGCCGTGCATGAGTGTCCAAGCCACGGCTACTAAGCCCCTCCGCCACGGCAAAGCCGGAACCCGTCGGAGGGGATGAGCTGCATCTATGAAATCATTGTGTTATGATACTTTGTTGACTAGTTTTTCCCGACATCGTTGAATTATTTTAACAAAATTAACATGCGTTTTATCTTCTTTTATTTCAATTTTAGTTCAGAGATTTGTTTCAAGGATTGAATTTTATATAATTTATAATTTTGCACCCATTATTTTTTGTTTTGCACCTACGTCAAATTTTCACAACTCTAAGGGTTGACTGTAAGACAATACTTATTAGCAATATGTTTGCCTTTTGTTTGGCCTTATGTTGGGGTGTAAACAATAAATTTTTAAATAAATAAAATAAAATATTTGTAAATTAAACATATACAGTTTTACTATGTGCATAGTATAAGGCCAATTCAGTTTAGATAAATTCTTAATTTATTTAACTGAACTAATTCAAACCACATACATAGATAAAATATTTCAATGCCTGTTACACAATTGCACTGGCAACTTTACTTAATGTCATTTCATTTTCTGTACAAAGCGAATCGGATTCAGAAGCCCAGGGAAAAGTAGGTCGTCAGTATTGATTTTTACCCGATATTCGACAAACAAAGACGTAACTTGCATCGCGGAGTAAAATACACGTTCTAGTGATTCCGTCGAAGGTGAACGTGGAAGATGCCTGTAAGTGTCCGTCCTCACATCTTATCTCTTGGCTTCCGGAAATCGTGCATGGTTTCATAACTTTTCATTTCCTTTTTCTACTAGTTATAACATTATTAATTTACAAAAATCCAAGAAAACTGAATCGAGTTGAATAACGTTCTATTAACGTTTTCTTCGCGTTTCCCCCTTTCAAATTATTAGGCACTTCATAGGTACATTCGTTGTAAAGTTTTCGCTTGTGTGAGTCATGCAATCGGTGTCAGGGTCATGCCGACGAGTGCTGCGACGTACTCTGCCGCAACTACGCATTTGAGTCCACGACACCGAGGCGTCAATATCTGCGTTGCTTTTCTGTTCGAAGGATGCGGAGTTGGTGGCGTCAACTGTTGAAAATGTTCGGGTGGTCGTTCGGGTGCGGCCGATGGACCAGCGGGAGAAGATCGACGGCTCTTACAACTGCGTGTCCGTGGATCCCGTGAATAGCACCATCGCCGTCACCAGAAGCAACGCGTCACCGCCCGAACCCCCTCGAATTTACGCTTACGATGCAGTTTTCGACACCAATACCAGCCAGGTACCTAATTATTTTTTATTTTGTTTTATAACGTACGTCGATAAGACGTTGTTTTTATCGTTTAATTTTTTTCATTTATAACTTTGATTTTGGAACAAAGCCAAAGTGATTGGGTTTGTATTAGTTTCTTTGTCTTATTCAGTTTGTAAATTTGTTATTCCTTTGTTAAACATAACATGTGTGAAGAACTTGTTTAAAATAGGACATACTGAAATAAATCCAATTAGTATTCCTTGGTACTAATTAGATTTAAATTGTTGAAAGACTAATTACAATGCATTGTCAGGTTCTTCATTGTTTGCCTTGGATCAATAAACAATGCAACTTTGATCAGCTATGAGGTTTTAGTCATGACATAATTAAATCAATAATATACTAGCCTGCTACTGGTGGAAAAATAAAAAACCAAACTAGACAATTAGGAATATTCTTGTTGTCCTATTAAATACTTTGGAGCATATTAATTCTGCTTTCAAACCATTGATGATATAAACTAACAAATTTTGAGATAGCTAAATTGTTTACCACAGTTATTTTTGTCTTCATAAATTTGTTATAGACTGATCTGAAAAAAAAATTTCAAAAATTCAAATTCCTTATTTGTTGATACCGCCAAAACAAAGCAAGTAAGAATTTTATAGCTCCATAAAATATTTATAGAGTTAAACATATTATAAGCAAAAAATAGAAATGTCTTACAAAGCTTTTTTGATCTTTGTTGATATAAATGCAGACAGCTTTATATAATGAAAAGCTTTTGTTGATATATATTATAGGTCCGTCTACTTCCCGTTAATGATAAAAGCAGAAATGTTACTGACCACCTTTAATACATTGTTATAAAAGTCTTTGTATCAAATATAATACACTAAATCTAGACTGTATAAATTGAAACTGGTATTACACTGAATAAAATGTCGACTGCCCTCATTTTCAAACAAAGGGTATGCCAGACCCCTTTGCTCAATTTGTCCAGGGGGATAGTTTTAAAAGCTGTTTTATGATTCTATCTTTGTATGTTAGCTCTAACAGTAATTGTCGAGTAAAATGCCTCATTTTTCCTGTATAAAATCAATTATACCTATATTCTTGGTAGCACATAAGCATAAAAAAATAGTTATAACATGTTAATAAAACAAAGGGTTGTAATTGTGATAAGTTACATAAAAAGTGTAATGAATAAGTTGATATTGCATGAAAAGTTTAACATGTCAGTGTTTAAGATCAACAGAAGAAAGAAGACTTCGCAGAAGATATATGCTGGTCCCCTCCGCCTTTCGTCTTGACTGGCGCTGTGTTATGCTTCAGTCTTGTCGAATGGTGGGTGGGCTCAGTGCACTAACATCGAAGGAGACCACAAAATATATTAACAAGTTCATTGTTTTTTTGATTTTTTCCTCGTTACCGGTAAATGCTTTAGTGGTAAATGCAAACGGCTATTGTATTATTATATTATTAACCAAAAATTATGTTTTTGTGTAAAAAAGTATTTTACCTATTTTAAATGAGAAAATAGGGCATTTTTATTTCTAGTTAGTAGAGACTGAATACTCTCATTAATTACGTCAAGGGCGTGGCCGATAGATACGGCAGCCTTCCTGAAAACAGTATGGCGGCCATGTACTAAAACGTCAAACAGAATGTATTGTACAATTGGCGCCAATCCATACGATAATTTGAAACTTATATTTACATCTGTTTAGTATATATTAGCTGTGGCTAAATATCTTATGATGCTTCTTTTTGTTAAATATAAGACAGAAAATTAGTTTAAAAATGAATAGTCTGACCTGCCTACCCTTTACTAGGTGTACGATTAGTATAGTATTTTTTGCAATTGTTAGAACGCGATACACCACTGCGTGGAATAAAATTAGTATGTTATCAATTCCGACTCGCTTTTTTGAGGAAGCGGTGAGGCCGTTTTTTTTCTCATGGTTAATTAAAACAATGCGCTAGTGAACATGAAACAGATAGCTGCAGGAATATTTTATTGTAATACGCTTAAAATATATGACATAATAAATTCTTTTTGTAATGTTTAGAATGTTTTTATTAATGGAGGAATTGTTTCGAAACTGTACAATTATTAGTATTTAGATATCATTTTTGTATTACGTAAGGTTAAAGCTACGTGTTTATATTGATTTCCTGCAAGGGGCGCCTGGCTGAGTTATTTTTTTGAGGAAACATTCCTAATGCATCATGCCGTACGTTGAGATCTCTCGGGACCTCAGTGACGCTGATGCAAGGCATTAAGAGTCTGACCGTTTAATGCATCTGGAATGTTCGCTCTATGACGACGACGAAGAGTTGGAGATCGAAGATGGAGATTTGATAATTAATATTTTTTGAACTGGCAACAAGTGTGGGATTAAAATCGTAACGTTTAAATAAAATCGTAATGGTTAATTAAAATCGTTCTCGATTTCAGTACCGAGATGTGGCTGAATGACAATATAATTATGTATCTTATTATAAAATAGCCGTGTGGAGAAATCCTTAATGAAAAATTATAGAATAAGTTATTATAAAATAGTTTCAAACTATGAAGTGTTATTTAATAATTTATAACTAACAATGAAAGAAAAATGTTTATTTATGTATGTAATGTTCAAAATTATAACAGTCATATCTATAAAGTCTTTTATTCAACGGGAAGTAGCGCGGACCCATTATATCAACACGGCCAGATATACTTTAAAATTAATCTAAAAACTTGCTTAGCGAATTTCAAATTACGATCATCACTTCAAAGTTATAAACTTTTGATTCATACTTTATGAACACAAAATCATACAATTAACAATTAAATAAATTAACAATTAAATATTATTCGATAGGTGTAGACTCGTTCGATCAGCAACTTAAAAAGTTTTTAGCATTTATTAAACTATCCAAATTTTATTTCTGTGACACTATCTGTCTTACGAAAAGTCACGAAACAAAAGTAATGTACGTTTTCGATCTGTTAATTGTAAATACCTACTGTAATAAATTTTGAAATGCTCTGTGGCGTAGCGATATTTCTTAATTGGCTACTTTCACCAGATACCTGTTTGCCATAAGTTGCAAATTTTAAGTGATATAAGTAAAAATGAACCCAATTATAAAGTACAGATTTGAACAATTTCGGAAGAAGGAAAAGATGCATAATTTTCTTAACTCAAAATGATAAATGTTTTCAGGACATTTTAACACAATTTTATCTAGTACCAAACAATGCCTTTACTACAGTTGCTAGGTAACTGAGAAACACACTTAAGAATTTATTTTGTAAATACATACATGAAATACAATATATAAACACCCAGAGACTAGGAAAACAAGAACATTCATCGCACAATATTTTTCTAATAGTGGGGATTAAACCCAAACCCATGACGTCTGACGAAAGAGGCATTATCCACTACGCCAATTGGGTCTTCAAAATTATTAGAACAATTGCTTCGTTTTTACATAGCGTTTAATTTAAATTTGCGTTTTGAACTGCAGCGTTCATGGTCAGGGGACGGTAATAATAGCTAATTGCAAGAAATCGTTCTCCAAATTTGCTACATGTTATAGAACTGGAAGGAATTTTTATCCCTATGTATATTTTCTTTTATTTGAAATAAATTATGTAGTCTGTTTACATAGGATCCAATCTATCTCGTATATTAGAAACTTTATCAACAAATTTTGCTAAAATCACAAGAATCGAAAAACTAGGGGATATCGTAAAGGTATTAAAATTAATGGTTCTTTATAGGAGCCATTGATATATCACAAGGCTGAAAATAACAATACATATCGAATTTTTATCACGCACAACGATTCTGTCAGGTTTCCAACCACAATCACCCTTCCACGGTTTAGCACGACAATGTTTAATTACAAAAACACTAATTGTCAAATGAGTGATTTCGATGTTTCTTACAAATTCACGCCTTGGCCTTGGTTTTAAAACTTGAATAAAAAAATTCAAGCATACAAAAGAAAATACAGTGTGTATCAGAGGCTGGCAACTTGTTCTACAAAAAAATTACATTTTTTTTAAATATTTAGTGTCGACTGAAAAGAGCCTGGAGACTTGTATGGAGCTACATTTAATATAAAATAAATGTAACGATAAGTTAAATATTTTCATTTAAATTGATACCGTAGCCGTTGAAACTAGTTTCGAAGGTCTGGACGGACCCTGATAAACGTTTGGATTAACGTTAAAAGGTTAAAACATCAAGGGGGATAAAAATTGGCCACATGATCCTGTCTATTATGTATTATTATTATCTGCACACGTAAACGAAAATTAAGACAAGTATTTATAATCTTATCTATCATTGGGAACTGTTTCTAGTCATAGTAAGTTGAAGTTTAACAACAAAAAAAAGTTATTTTTAAAAAATAGAGCATGAATTGGAAAGTCTAAAAGTAAAATCCGAAAATATATTTAAATTTAAATCTTAATTATTTTTGGACATACAATTAAAATAGTTTTAAGAACAAGTTATACTGATAAAAATAGAACTATATAGAAATATACACTATTATCGATAAAAGATACAATTGAAATGCCACATAATATGTATATATTATTCACGCGAATAAACGATATATTTTTGTAGTTGGCAACATAGTGTAACTTCCCGCCATTTTCCAAGTTTTTTTTTAGACTGATAGTGGCTAGGGGCTATGCAGCCGTATATGGTAGATGCGCTGACGCAGCACTGGAAGTGACGGAGCTAAACATAAACAAAAGTGAATACTCATGTAATAATTATAGCTATAGGGTTTCCAACATTTCTTTGACTGATTAGTATTATTCAAAATATGATATAAAATATAGCACAGATAAAAAAATATGTTTTTTTGGATAAAGTAAAGAATACGCAAAGATATATTTGTAACTTATTTATTAATAGATTGTGAACAGACAGCAAAAAGGAAGAGAAACTTATTTAATAAAAACAAAAGCAGACAAACTAAACGATACGAAATCTATAAATATAATAAAAACT